AGATCGTTGAAGTGCCTGCCCTGAAACATTGCAAACTAATACAAGGAAACAAAGATGGCGCGTCGGTTTTCAAAGATTGCTTATTGTGACTCTTGCTTATGCAGCACTACAGGGAATTTTTTGAGATCCACATTTCCAAAATCCCATATGAATATCAAATTGGGGAAAGAAAGGAAAAAAAAGATTCTCTCTAAACCAAATCAAGCCCCAAAAAAGCGCTCCTGACAGCAAAGATCTTGTGAAACAGTTGTCATGAACAGGAGCTTATGGTTTTAGGGATGGAAAGCACCTTTTTAACTGTCCTCATTCAAGTATACCTTAGCATCATCCCTTTACTTGATGCAGGATCTATTCATGAATGTTTGAACCTGTTCTGCATCATAAGGCTTACTTCCATTGGGGGCAGAATAATTTCTGTTACAACAGAATAGCTGTATGATTTACCGATTCAAATGATAGAATTATGAAATTTAGAATGCTACTCTAAAATTAAAAAAAGATTTTCTTAAGGTCGCAAGTCAAGAACCTGTCAGTCAGCCCACCAGTTAAGCAGCAATCTGCTGTATGAAAACTACTCCAATGAGGGGAAAGAAAAAACAATCAAACGCCCACCTGGAAAAAAAATTTCAGAGAGTTTTGCAAAATTCTATTAAAAAGTGATAGGCACAACAATTTTCATACTAACACATTTTTTTAATGTGAGAGGACAGGCAAACACAAGCATTGCAGCAGTCGGTGACCAATCAGAGCAACTTCAGAGAATAAATTTGACTGCTTTTATGCTGAGAAAAAAAATAGAGATGCAAAAAAAGAAATTTTTATTGGGGAGAAGATTTGAGCCCACTGACAACTGCTTAAGAGGTCGTATAGGGCAGGCTAACCATATATTAGTCGGAAAGACGCAGTTACAACAGTGAAATGAAAAGTATCACATACTACCTACGCATACATGTAATAGGCCATGATACAACCATAAGAATGTACAAACCAACATCAATATTGCAAGTGTGCACTACAACCGTTACACATGCAAGAGACCTTAGAGATAGAGACAAAAATAACTATTTGAATACCTGCTTTAATATATTTACGTCTTCCGCTGAATAATTAGGACCGAGGGTGATGATATTGATCCGTTCCTGAGCAATAAAAAATCTTGTAGTTTAATAAGGATAGGTTCATGCTAAGATGGATGAACATAGGTCAATGTTGAGCTAAACACGTGATATTTTGTCTGAGTGAAATCATCTTTACCAATTCATCTTCAATCTCTTTGTACATTGGGATAAATGGGTCATCCACTGTTTCATTTCCTGCAAAATGTGCCCTTGTGCACAAGGGCAAAAAACACGCTAAATTTAAAATACCGGGTTAAAATACTAACCTCTTTTATAAGGGAAATTCTTTTCTAGGGGAAAAAGACGTAGTGCATATTCATTTGAATCAGTTATTGGTTCACCTTGCCGGTTTTTTTTTTCCCTTTGTATTATTAAGCCCACTGTTTTTTCTTCAGTCAAAAATTGTGGTGCCGAGTCTTGACATTAATATTGATTCTGACCGAGCAAACTAGGCCAATACAGAAGCGGCTACAATATAAAAATATTTCAGACATTACCAATCAATTATGACACCTTAGGATTGCCAGCTAGCAATGAATGCATATAATCAATATTTAGACATGAGAAAGCAAAGAGGAATGAATGCCATAATATAGAAAAGGAAAGGGGGGGGGGGGACGGGCGCTTATTTGTTAAATTAATCCTTACCAATCTTAGTTCAGCCACAAAAATTCACAGCGCTTTAAGGCAGATGCCCTGAGAATAGAGAAATACTGTGAACACCCAAGAGTCTCTAATAATTGCCCATTCTCCATGTCTTCAACAAAAAAATTAAGGTCAGTTCCTCAAACATTAGGGCTTATACAAGCAAAAAAATATGTGTTGGTATTCTTACTGCTTCGAATTTACTATCAGAGAATTGACCACAGGCTACCAGGACAGCATAATCCACATTCGTCTCATTAAAATCCATAAACAAAACTGCAAAGCATTAAGCTCTTTATAAAGAAGAACAACATCATATTAAGTACAGATGCCTTATGATAGATATCTCGAAGAAGGTTTATATCTAAATCTCTGTGTCTTGGGGTTACGATATAAAAAGAATCGTTTTTGGTCTCTTCCATCAGCAATTCAGAAAAAAAACTACATTTGATTTCAATTATTGAATGATAGATGCAGGAATGAGACCTTTATTAATTGATTTTTTCAAATTTATTGTAATGAGAAGCATTCAAACTTACAACAAAACTTCAAAATCTTGAAAGCTTCCTCTAGCAAAGGTATTCCATTTCAAGTTTTTCTTCAAAAATACATAAAGATATCCTGCATACCACAAAAAAAAACCAATGGATTGCGGAAAACGTGGACCAAAACTCAAAAGTAAAAGACATAATACAAAACAAAAAATTTAAGAGAAATTATATAGCCCTAAAGGGTACAAGGCTGTAAGGAAGACAAGGTACACGCTTGTTTCAAATATGAAAACTCTCCTGCTTTTCCGTTCAAGAAATTACAGATTTTTCAAAGGACCAATTGTCTTCCTGTCATGGAAATAGCTCCGCATATGCCTAAGATGACAGAATGAAACTTCAAATTCCTTTCCCACACCGACTTACCATCTTTGTACACACAGGAAAAATTAGCATCACAACAAGCAATAAAATTCAGAAACAGGTGATCAGAATTTTAAATGCATCAGTATAAGAACTTCAAATCCAGTCATGAATCATCTGAAGCTGATTTATTCAAAACATTAAGGAAATTATAAAAAGATCTAAATTACACATATCAGTTCTTTCAATGTACCATTATTGCGCAGCAAAAAAAGACAACCTCGCCCCATATTTGATGTAAAAAACAATACATGGAGTGAGCTTCTCATTACTCAAATGCGGAAGTGGCGTTCCAACAAGGAAACCTGCAAAGAATGGAGTTAGAATCAAATCAGTTTCAATTTCCTATTCTAATTGATTGCACCAAATTATGAAACAATTACCTTCTGCAGAAAATCTGGCAGTCCTCATAGATTTGTCGCAGTTCATCAACTGTTTGATGGGCAAGAACAAATTATTCCAATTTTAAAAACTCATTGTAAAGTATTAAGCCAGGAACCAGTTAAAATGAAAACCTTATGAATGGAGGAGCATTTGCTAATTTTTCAGCAAAGAAAACGAAAAGAAATAAAATCATTTCAAAATTTTGGATTCAACCGTGGGATAAGATATTATAAGTTAATATCTCTGCAAAATGAAATGAAAAAAAGAGAAAAAGAAAAAAGAATAAAAGAACTTGCTTTGAACCTAATAAAAAATAAAAAGAAAAAGTCAAAAAAAAAAAAAAACTAATCTGCAACCCTCTTCGCAGAAACCCCCTCTTTCACTATGTTCCATAATCCTTCTTTTACTTTCTATTAAACATCAATAAACACCAACACCTAACAAAATACAGCAAAATCAAAAACGTGTAAAGAATATGCCCCAAGAATGAAGAAAACAACAACATTTCAGAAGGAGAGTAAAATTCATCTTAAACATGGACATGCAAATGGCATTATACTATTTAAATGTAACCACATTATAATGAGTTATTATACAATTTAAAATTTACGACAATTCAAAAATCAATTATTCATGCACAGGCCGTAAAATAAACCAATTAAAAGAGCTGGGACTCAAAACAATCGATTTCCCCTTTTGTCCTTTTGTCCATTGTTCTACAGCTCCTTTCGCTTAATTCTATTTTTTACATTTTTTTTGAAACTTCTGTTCTTTTTGATAATGGACTGGAAAACATACACCTTAAAAATTTATCTATTTTTTAAGAAAAAGTACAAATATAGTAGCATAAGAGTTAAAAAGAATTTAAAATTAGCCCCACCAAAATATAAAAATCAGTCTAGATTCTTCCAAGTCGTTACCACTAGAAATTGCCAAGGAAAAATGTAGCTAACCAATTCATAGGACATAAGCCAATTCTGTTTGAACATCAAAAGCCAGCCCTAAACAGTGATAAAACAACCAAAAACAATAAATATCACATATAAGGAAACTTCGAGAATAGATGATAGTATACACCTTCACCAGAAAAAAAAAAACAAAAAAAAAAAGACGACATCAAGAAAACGATTCTAAAAAAAAAAAAAAAAAAAGAGACATCAAGAAACGATCTAATACCTGCTCAATGATGTTGAGATTCAAGCACTTGGCCTGCTCTCGCAGACTTTCGGATATGCCTACTTCAAATATCTTATCAACATGCAACAATGAACAAATGCTCTACAAGAGAAAAGCACATTAATATTACACCATGTTTAACCCTAAATGCAGCTTAATTTTATCCATTGAATTTCAATGTAATCAGTGAACTCAACTTTTGTCAACAAAATTATTTAACCTATATGTTATTTCAATATGTCAGTATTGCTCAATATTTGTAAAGATTATTGCAAAATTTTATTTTTTGACTAAATAGAAAAGTCCTAAGTACTATTTTATTTGTAGAACAAATTTATAAAAATGGTAGTTGGTTATCATGTCAAACATCTAGCTACAGTCTACCAAAATTTAGTAATAATGACCTTATTGAAATAAAATTAAAGTATAGCGATAATGATGAAGTTAGTAATTAATTCAATAACATAGCTGAATTAAGCCCTCAAAGATCTCCTTGCTTCCTTTGTAAATCATTTATTTTACATGAGCTAACTTGCTAGAACTTAAAAGTAAAAGTACCATTTCATGAGAAGAAATCCCACATCACATCATAAAATCTTGTCTCGAGAAGAAACCAATCATAATCTCATTTAGCAAATCAGATGAAAATCATATGAAGCATGTATTTACATGTTTCTAATATCATACACTATGCATAAGTAAATATAATGGATATCATCCTGCAACCATGAACCATTCTTGCCATCAACTTGCCAAATAAGGAGGATAAGCAATATTTGTCCAGTAGGACAAAGGACCAGAAGTTGAAAATAACTTCTGTAAAACAGGATTACCTTCAAAAAGGATGTCCAATCACCACTAGTACACATTGAACTTGGCGAGTTGAATTTCTTCAAAAAAGAAAGGAGATTATTGCAAATTTCAGTAGAAAAAAATGATAAAGAAAAGATATCACCAATACAATCATCACGTTACACCACAAGGACAACAATAAGGACAGTTGTACCAATCACCATGGCCAATTTGGGAATTGCCAAATGTCTAGCACTGAATAGTTAAATAGGTAAAAGGATCCCTGAGATTGATTCTTACTTAAGCTAAATCCAGTTGACATGTCATAATAGCAAAACAATACGATTGCTAAAAAATGGTATATCAGGATCTACCAAATTGGTCATTTTAGCATGGCAAAGAAAGTGCGATCTACTTTTTTTTTTAGATTAAGCTGAGTTAAACAGGAAGTTTGGGATAGGATATATATATATTTTTTTTTGAATTAATCATTTTGTTTCCTTTAATGGTATTTTTGCAGAAATATAACATAAATATAATCTAGAAATCCCAATTTTGGATGGAAGTGATACTACCTTCAGTATATGGGAAATGTCCTTGACAGACTTCAGTGTTTCATACAGAGACATCGTCAGTTCTTCAGAACATAAAAAGAATGATATCTTGGTCTCACTAAGGAATACGAGATTTCGGTGCTACTAGCTATAGAAGTATCAACTTAGAAGTTCAATCCCTTATTTCTTGATGTCAATCAAATTCATTTAAAATATTTGCAGGTAGGTAATATAAATTTTTGTCACTCTCAGCAAGAGCAAGTGGCAAACCCTATTTCATGGTGGTGCCGGCCTATTTTCCTTTTCTTCTTTTGCTTGTAACCATAAAAAAGTTGTAATTTATGTAAAGGAAAAACAGGTCTTCACTTGCTCAGATAACGAAAGGATACAGCATTGAGACGGCCATTCAATCTTTCAAGGTCCAGTATGGGCCTCAGAAACCAATTTCTAAAGCCAGGAAAATCACGTGTCAAGTCCCAGGGATAAAGATAATGTGCAAACAAATAATATCAGAAATACATAGAACTAATTACTTTTCTCAAAAAAACATAAAACTAATTACTTTAAAAGACGTTGACCCATTGGTGTCGCACACTGATCAAGGCAATTAAGGCAATCATGTCAGTCCAATCTACAACCACAAAAAGATGCTACATACTAGTGCAAACAGATAAGTATATTTCTACAAACCTTATTCATCATGCCAAACACAGAGAACCTGCATGTCAAGTAATCAGCAGAGATCTTTCCCAGATGAAAATATTTACAATCTAATACAGAATTACCCTTCTTTTGATCTACCGATGCCCATATGGCTTGGATGTTTATCTATTTGGAAAATCTGCAATGCCTCATGAGCTGCTGCATCAAGCTTGAGAAATTTGTTTCTGTTTTTAGATTTAAGGGAAAAAAATTATTGTCCAAGTTTCTTTTCTAGGAACAAGTTAAAACACATGCACATATGCCATAGATCAGAAGATACAATGAAATTTTCGTTACAGCATCAATTGTAATTGATGCATTCCCACATTCCTTTTGCTCAAGGGCATCCACAATCCTTTCATTCTCTAATATGGCAAGAAGACCACCACTTACTCGAACTTGAATTTCACTTCCCATGTCCATCATAGAACTAAGCTGGCATTACGAGATAGAAAAAGAAGATCGGTTTAAAGGTAGATAAGGTTTTGGAATGCAAACACTGAAACAACAAAAGAAGTATAGGTAAAAGGATGCACATAATCAATGTACGAATGCTGTTAAATACATTAATAACAATTCCAAAGGCTGAAAAAGAGTCTGATTAGAGAGGAAAGAGAACAGATAAGCATGGCAATGCAGACCAATAAGGCCTCTCAAACAATTTCAAACAGAATGAATAACTATTGATGACTTTTCAAAGGAAAAAGGAATAACTACATGGAACACCTTTTAAAGTATTACTATTGATATGCAATTCTCAATTTACTGATCAAGGACAGTATACTAATATCTCCTACACAGTAATATCAAAATATGCAAGTACTATAATGTGATATATGACAAATGTTTTAAGATTCCAATACAAAAATGATAAATCACCAAAGCGGTATTCTGTTGATATGCAATCAATGTCACTTACAAAATAAAATGATAGAAAAAATTTCAAAAGCAATACGCTGTGCTGGCAGAATTATTACATAATGGATGCAATGTTTTAACACACTCAAATGAATGAAATTTCAATTGCAGAAAAATATTATTTTTAAAAATAGCATATGATAGAGATAGCCATTATAAATAAATCATGTGTAATATGCACTCACATAACAAATTCTTTCCTTGATGTTTAACCCATTATCCATTCCTGTTACTCGAAGGTATATCAATCTGCAATGCCAAAATGAAAAACTGGGTAAGAGGAAGAATTGGAGACTAGAAGGATTGAGAAAGACTATCAAATCAGAAATGCATCATATCTGCTGCACACTCGCACAACGCTGTTATGAAAAATCGAAATTACCAACCAATTACAAAGTACAAGAGTCAAGGCAAAGAGAAAAGACATTATAATAGAGAATTTCAGCAAGCCATGAGATAAAACTGAGTTAAGTCATCTTAGTTGAGTCAAACTGCATCCTGAATAAAGCATTTCTGATGTGGAATGAAGAAGTAGAATGTAAAATCTGTCCTATGACTTTGCTTAGTTGGTAAAAGTCAATACCATGATGATAAGTTTGTTAGATGCCAGGACAGATGCACAAAAATTGTGATTTTGTAAAATTTGCAGCTATTAGCAGTATGCAGAGTTTTTTACCAGAAGAAACTGAAACACGCAACGATGTGCAATCAAAATTATCAATGTCATTCAAATTGCTGCAGCTTACTATTAAAGTTACTATTGTAAAGGACACTCAAATGCTTTGACTTGCAATTTTCTTTTTTTTTTTTTTGTCCAACCCGTTGGATGTGCAAAAAAGTGTCAAGTCCATTACATAGATCTTTAATACCTGTGCCATGCTTGCTCATAGCTGAAAATTGAACTTTTCACCAGTTTCACTGTGGGTGCCTCAGGGGTGCCATCTGCATTACTCTAAGGAGTAAAGACAGGTCATAAATGAAGTGTTTTTAAGTCAAAGATATGAAGAGCAATGTACCACTTCGTTGTAAAGCGGATATGAAGGATTCTTCACTTTTACTGCTCGTGTAAATGGTCAGGGGCTTAGCCTGGTATTTTACTGTACAGTTTCTCAGCAAAAAAAAAAAAAAAAAAAAAAAAAATACTGTACAGTGTTTTCTCAAGCAAAAAAAAAAAAAAAAAAAAAAAAAAAAAAAAAAAAAAAAAAAAAGAGAGAGAGAGAGAGAGAGAGGAAAAAAGAACAAATAAGATAATGAAGTTATGACAGGCAGAATTGTATACAAATGCTTTCAGCCAAAGTGAAAGCACAGAGCATAAAAACAAGGAATAAAACATAAGATAATTATAAAGACAGGAAATGAATAAAGAATTGTTCATTTCCATCACAAGAAACACCATTCTAAACCAGTTCGCACATGAAACAATACCTAGATCAATCAGGGGGAAGTCCGAGCTGACATCTTCCCAAATTTCGAGCACATGAAGTTGGCGAATACTTGAATCATAATAAGAAATACCAACCCTGTATTGGAATGTAGCTAAGATCTATTTCAGATGTCAACCTATGTAAAGCAGTTTGGCAAATACAGTCTTGCAAGAAGATACTTACGTGTGGCCATGTAGAATACACGCCATGTAGACCTGCGTTTAGATTCAAACAAATGCTGTAAAAACAATTCATGATCTTAAAAACACATAAAAACAATTAAAACAAAATAATATAGACTTTGTTCAGGGACCTTGCTTTTATTTGGTTTTTGCTATTGTAATTTGCAAAAGGAAAAAAGGTAAGTTTACAAAACGAAGCCAATAACACAAATATTTACTCTAGATTACAGCTACAACCATCGGAACAGGCCATCAAACAGAAATTCAAAGCCATCGTTATGTAAATTCCTAGTTTGTGTTAGACTCCATTACATTTGTTAGTCCAACTGAGAAGTTCTTTGCGAGTACAAGCTAAATTTCTGTAAGCACGCACAAATCACTACTTAAGAATGATTAATTATGATTAATTACTAATAGGAACAACCTGAAAACCGCAATCACGACAGGAATTCAATTAACTATGCTTCTTACAATAAATTCATTACAGCGCATTAGTCATCTGTTTCTTCTCAAATTGATCATGAAAAGCTTCAGGATTCCATTTAAATAATGAAACCTTCAGTATTTAAATTGATTTGTTTTAACTCATTAAAATTTTTATGATGATTTTTTTCTTCATTTTCTGGAGACGAAAACACAATATGAATCGCAAGAAACTCAGAATTTTCTCAACGATGTCTTTTTAACTACATCGAATTTTCTATTCCAACTTTTCTCTCGAAACAAACACATATTATAAGGAAAATTTTATTTCCTTTACAATTTTTTGGCGACCAAACGGAAAGTAAGAAACGCATATGTGAGAGAAGAAGGAAAACCGATGGAAAATGGACCTGTTGTTCGGCCTCCGTTTCGTCCATTTCCTCCATTTTCACGCTCTGAGTGCTGGTATTTGGTTTTGAGTGTCAGTGAACTCGGTGACTAGCAAAGTAAGCGAGGGAGTAAAGAGGAGGTATATATATAAGGTCGCTTTACCGCCTCGCTGGTCCCCAATCATTGTCGATGCCCGGTTTCGACAAAGTCGACTGGACACGTGGCGGTATTTTAATGAGTCTTGGTATCGATTCGATTACCAACCTATGTGGGTTGGCCTTAATGGTTTAAGCCGTATACATCTTGGAATGGGCTAAATCTAGTCTGGGCTTATGAAAATTGAAAATAATAACGGAATACTTTTTTGAACTGAAGAAGTATAAAATATTTACTAACATAGTATTTCGATAAATTTATGTGAAATTTATTTTATTTGAGGAATAATTTATTAAAAATAATTTATAATAAATTTTTTCTGAAAACAAATATAAAATCATTTTAAATATTTTTATTTTCGTAGTATATTTTTAAAATTTATAAATTTTTATACTTATGATATGTTTGAGTCCATAAAATATTATATATGTAAATAATAACCAAACTTATAGTTTAGAGCTATAAAAAATTTAAAAATGAATTTCCATTAATTTTTAAATACTTAAATATGGATTTGTAAAAAAATTTCGTGAAAATCAACTTCCATTTTATAATTTTTTTTAACATAAGAAATGAGGACTTTTTATTTTCTTGACTTAGCAAATTAGACGCAAGCATTTCTTTAAAACAAAAAAGACAAGTGCATCATGAGCTTAAGTGATTTAGGAAGATATTAATTTATTATATTATTATATTCTACCATTATTTGTCTAAAAATTAATTTAATTATTTTTATAATAAATCACAAGTAATCCATACGGGCTGACTTATATTATCTTCTATATACCTATTAATCATAAGTTTACCGTTATATTTTATGTGAAAAATTTATAGCACGTTTTAATTTTTAATTTGAATTATTGAACAGTTTAATCATAAAATTGCATATCTTAAACACTAAAATTGACAAAAAAAAAAATCTATTAAATATTTCAATTTATAAAAATAAATTAATTAAATATTTTTAGATAATTAAAAAATATGAAAACTATCAATTTATAAAAATAAATTAATTAAATATTTTTAGATAATTTAAAAAATATGAAAAATTATGTTAAAATGTTGTAGTAATTATATATCAATTATCTTTTAAAAAATATATATTTAGATAATTAAAAAATATGAAAAAAATTATGTAAAATGTTGTAGTAATTATATATCAATTATCTTTTAAAAAATATATATATCAAGTTAATATTTACCCTACATTAAAAATATTAAAAAATTATTATTATTAGTACGAATAGGTATACAACGTGGCTAAAATTTATAACTGTATAAATACGGTAAATTTATATCGATGAATTAACGTATTCTATGTATTTGTTTTAGCAACAATTAACGAGTAGATGATGCGTGCGACTATGGCATGACTGATGAGACAGAAATTCATTTTTGTGGTAGGTTGACATGAGTTGTCTGTGTCTTTACGTTTGTGATTAATAATAATCCTCCAAAAATGGACAGCACGGATAAACACAACCTGTCTCTATTAGCGCTACCATTGAGCCGGAACCGCGTCCGGCATAAAGAACAAATCCAATAATCTCAAATCTCAAAGTATTTCATTTCATATAACATCAAAATTATATTCATCCATTACCAAGTCAAAAGGATGTATACTTTAATAATTATAAAGCTAAAAAAATACTGTGATAATTTGAATTACGAATTTCAGTTTTTTTTTTTCAATTTAATATTTGTAAAATCTGATTCTTGATGCTTAATACTAAAAATTCATGTATTTAAATTTCAAAATTTAAAATTTATATCAATAATTATCTGACATTGGACTTTTAATTTTACAACGTAAAAGTTTTAATTCTCAAAATCTTATAGAAAAATATTTGGAAATATAAAATTTTGATATTTAATATATTCATAAAAAGAATGTTTTGGAGACCGCTAAATTACCGTATTTTATGAATATCGCTTATCTTTGACATGCACTTAAAAAAATAATATATAAAAATACATTAATAGTTATTTTATATAATTTTATAAACAAAAAACCTATGTATTCATAAATTTAAATCATTAGATATCTGCCACCATTTACAGCAAACAATTTAATCTAAATAGTCAAATTTTTTTTAAAGGAAAATAATAGAGCTCTAAATTTTGGCTAATTAATATTTGAGGACTTCTGTTTCCAAATATCAAATTGAATGTCCCTAAATTTTAGTTCCGTTAATAAAGAGATCATTCTGTTAAAAAACAAAACATTTTCCGTTAGTCTCTACACTTAGGTTGAGTCTAAGGAGAGAGAAATAAAATCAATCCCAATAAACACCCCAAGCTAATTAAGGAACATATGTTAAGGCGTCAAACCATAAAAGGAAACACATTTGAACTGAAAAAGCCAAAAACCTCACTGAGCACAGAAACTTCATTCTGGTATTGGCTGCCGTATAGAAACCTCACTCTTATGATAGCGTGAATGCAAAGGATGCCGAAATGGAATTTCTCCTGCACATACCGCTAGAGAGAACCTTTGCTTGAAGCCATTAGATGCTTAAATAACAAATAAAGACATCCTTTGGTGCATATTACTATTAGATCTGTTCTGTATTCATTAATTCATTTATTTATTTTTGCTTCTTCTTGCGTATGCTAGCTATAGGAGTAGTCTTTAGTTAAAAAAAATCTATCCATAGTAGTCTTTTGTAGAAGTTTTGTAATAGCATATGCAACCAGTTTGCAAATTCTGTAATCTATTGGACCCAGAAATGTTTGACAGAAGAAGAAGAAGAAGATTTTATGGATTTGATTAAGGTATTGGCCTTTGATTTTTTTTTTTTCATTTTTTATATTTTTTAATTTATGGTTACCTTATTTTCTTTCCCCTTCCTCTGTTTCTGGCTCAACAATGGCGAGAGAGAGAGAAAGAGAGAGGGAGAAGTGAGGAAAAAAAGATTGAAGAGTAAATGGACAAACAAATATTCTTTTTATGTAAGGGCAATTTCATACTTTCACATTTATTTGACGGAGAAAAGCCTTGATTTTAGACGGAATGACCCCCCTTCAGACAATTAAAATTAAGTAGGTCTATGTGATTTTTAAAAATAGAGATATTCGTGTGTTAAGTAGGTAAAATTTAGAGACTTTATTATTATTTTTTTTTTTATTAAAAAAAAAGGGATGAAGTTAGAAATGGGATGCTTTGTAGCATACATGATTATCCAAAATCCAAATGGACTTAAAGAAGGAAAGAGTCTATTAATTAGTTAATTATTAATTAATTTCCTAAGATTAGAAGTCAAAATTATATAAAAAAAAAAAAAAATCAGCAAGTTGATTCAAATCACTGGATATACACTTTCCTGCGATACCACCCTCCCAAATTTACTATCTCCCCCTTTCTCCCCATAGACATGCCTACATTTTCGTGTTTCAGCTCTCTCAATCTCCAGTGTCTATAATCTTAATCCATTGCTTGCAGGACAATGGAGGCGCCTTCTTTCGTTTCCAAAGCAAGGACTGCCTTCCATTCTGCTGCAGCTAAAGCGGAGCGCGTTTTCACCGATATTAAATCCGACTTTATATCCGATCGAGCAGGTTCTTAGATTTTCTAATTTTCCTCGTTTTTTAATCTTCTCTACCTATTTTAAGCTTTACTTTCCTTGCTATTTTCATTTGTCTATTTCTTTGACTTGCCTATTTTTTTTCTGTTTGATCGGAGAAGATTCTGATAAGCAATCGCCGAATGAATCGAGCAAGCAATTAGATGTTGAGTCTATTAAGATCAACGACGAGTCAAAGGTATTCGAAGTGGAAAAGATTAATCTGTGAAATTTTATTTTGATTTTCATGAGAAATGTCGGTTGTAATGTTGGAGTAAAAAGCATAGAATTTTCTGTTTGGTTGCTAAGAAAATGGAAGGTTTTTGTTGATGAGTTAAGTTGTATTTAGCTTGATTGTTGTTTGAGAGGGAGGTTTTCTTTGATTTTCCTTTTTTTTTTTTTTTTTTTTTTTTTTTTTTTTTTAGCTTGAATTGTTGTTTTGAGAGGGAGGTTTTCTTTGATTTTTCTTTTTTTTTTTTTTTTTTTTTTTTTTTTTTTGGTTTTGTTTTTCCGCCTTGGCAAACCCAACTTAGAATGAGGTTTAGTTATGATTTGTATTTTTTTTTTTTTTTTTTTTTTTTTTTTTTTGGTTTTGTTTTCCTTGGCAACCAAACTTAGAAATGAGGTTTAGTTATGATCTTGTATGGCACGGTATGAATTTTTTTTTTCCGAAATTAATGTTTTTTCTTTGATAATGCAGAGTAATAGTGAAGGGAAGCATTTGAGGTGGAGACCGGCACGTATAAGGTCAAAGCAGGAGTGGCAAGATAGGTTTAAGAACATAAGAATAGGGAAAAAAGGAGCTGAAAATCATACAGAGAAAGTTGAAAATTCAACCATGGCTGTTGCATTTTATGATGAAAATTTGTTCATATTGAACATGAAAAATGATGTCGAGGCAAAGGTAATGAATTTCATATATATAGATATGTTTAGCTGTCAGTTGGAATGGCCTTTTATTTGTTGTAGGATGAACTAGATTTGCATGTGATGAATTAGTAGTTAAATTGTTGTTTATCTCATTGTTGGCCCAAAAAAGGGCGTAAATATGTAATTCTTGCTGTTCATGATTGGGTTGGTATTTTATAGGGTTCGCAAGTATCCTTTATCTTAGAAAGATTAAATAACCTCAGCCCAGAGAGCATTCCTCCAACGTCTGTGATGAAGCAGTTGGCTATAGCTATTGAGTAAGTTTTTTTTTAATTATAACTTTTCTTTTTCTTTTTCTTCCCGTTGTTGTTTCGTTAAAATACTTTTCTTTCATGGACTTATTCTTCTATGGCACATGCTGACTTCTATGGGATTGTTATTTAATAAGCTATTGTTTTCCATTTTGTATAGTGTCCTTGGTTGCTTTTACTATATTATTTGGTTCCTTTTCCAGTGCTGGGAAGAAGTACAGGTCAATGAAAGATATTTTGGCATCATCTGGGGGCTCATCACCAATCATTGAGAGGGCAAGCTTGAGCCTTGCTGTGATGAAGTCGTTAGTTCGTCGTGACAAGGAGGATAAACTTGCATCTGAGTTTGGTGGTGATGATGAGAAGGTTTTGGCCTTGATAGATTCACTCTTTGATTCAGGTAGCTTCATGATTACATGTCATTCAGAGACTGGCTTTTGTCTAATAGTTTTTCATCTTGAATATTTTGCACCATCCTGTGATGATCTTTCACTTCCGTTGTAATATCTGCAAGATACTCGCAGAGGGAAAGTTTCTCAGAAGAAACATCAGTTCTGGTTTGGACACATTATCTTTGCCCAGAGATATTCATGGTGCCCCTCCTGATAGCCTGCTTGTCAAGCTAGCTGAAGTAATTGGAAGCTTTAGAGACTTGAAGAAAATGACATTGTTGTGGTACAGAATTGTGGCTGAAGTAAGTGGATCCTGTGAAACTTCTATCATCTAAACTGATAGCAAGAGTTATCAATGTAGGAACATTTGCTTATAATGTTATGCTGATTGTTTTAAACTTTGAATGTTTGATTTAGATTAAGAAATAGATGCATCTCTTGATGAAATCTGAAGCCTTTTTTGTGAAATTCTTTTGGACAACAGACTGCAAATATATATATTTCTTTGTTGGTAGAATTAGCATTTAGCACCATAGTATGGGCAACTAGGATTGTTACTTTACTAGTCACAGAATCTTAGAGCTGTTCCCTTTTCTTATGCATTGGATTGAAGCATTAATGATAATTTATGCCTCTCTTGACAAAGTATGTTTTGAATTTTATCAACATATGCAGCTGAGAAGACTTTGGTCTGAAGAAGTACATATACCTGGCATTCCTTCAGATGTTCTTCCTGATCTGAATTCCTGTCTTCTATACCAGCAATTTCAGGTTATCAATTGCTGTGTTTCCAGGAAAAGACGTCACATTCTTGCCACTGAATCAATAGAAATGTTGATGAGGGATGCCAGTTCATACTCCAAAGAGTCAGCTATTTCTGAAGGGACTGTTGGTTCAAACCTTATCTTGTATGCAAGATTGAGCAATGGGGAAAAAGTCCTCCGATTGGGTGCTGATGAGCCAGCTGACAATTTAACCATGTTGGAAACTGGTGAACCAGTATACTCTCCAGTAATGCAGGTATGATTAAATTGTGCTAGAATTATGACTGTTCATTTAACTTGTTATTCTGATATTTGCACTCATGTATGTCGTAGGAGGGGCCTCTGCTTACTGAAGATCTTATCAAGGAAAATGAGGAGTTTGTGCTTCGAACTGGGAGGTTAGTTTTTTTAAGTATATCCTACTTGACTTGGTCAGTCATTCCTAAATCTTGAGCTGTTATCTTATTCAATATTTCCCTGATTCCCTTCCATGTTTTCTTCTATTTGCACCTGTTCATAATGTCTCGTTCCTATCTTTCTTTTATTTACTTTTTCCTTCACTGTCAAGAATGTGAATCGGGTAATTGGAATATTACCAATTGGCAACTATTGTTTATTTTGTGTCATGTATGCAATGGGCTATAGCTTAAAAAGTTCATGAAGAAGCAGCCATCTTTTGTCGAAGTGTACCATAGGTATTTTATTCATTTACGAAGACAAGAAGTTGGAACTGTGCATGTTCATCTATTTGAGATTTATAACTTGTTCATATGGAGGAAAGTAATTTAGTTTGGGCATCCTTTGATCAATTTTATTGTTTCTTTTCATCAGTGTTGGTGCTGGGTGTTCTCAACTCCTTTCCGACATGCAGGCCTTCAAGGTAGAGTTTCTGAATTAAAAAAGTTTGTCTCTGGATCGTTATCAAGAGATGAATCTAACAGGATTCTATCTCTAATAATATGTTAGGCTGCAAATCCTGGTTGTATCTTGGAAGATTTTGTAAGATGGCACTCTCCTCCGGACTGGACTGAGAATGTTGACGAGGCTAACGAGTTTTTTGAGGGAGGTGATTCATCTTCGACAAGAGGTCAACTAAGTAGTCGAATGCAGAAAGAAGGTATGCTATTTCTCCTATTCTCCATTGCTTAGTAAAGTTTTTATCTTATGTACATATGTTTTAAGTAAATGTGTGTGCAAAAATATAAAAGTATTTCAAAGTATCTTTAGACTGGGTTTCTGTCAATTTTACTGGATTGGTATTGTCCATTTATAGTGAGAAATGATTTTCATGATTGTAGGTAACTTGTGGCGTGAGCTGTGGGAAACAGCCAAAGCAGTACCAGCCGTTAAACAGGCTCCCCTGTTTGATGAGGAATTAGCAGTGTAAGTTGTAACTATTTTATGGATGTTTCGTAGTTATATTTAGTCAACCTTATATTACTGAATTACTAGAAGTTGATTTCTAATTTGCAGAGAGGGTATTCTGCATGACTTAGAGGAAATTCCACCTACTGAACTGTTTGAACAACTGTTTATTTCTTTAGTAAGTTATTTAATCAACTTTCAGTATACCGTTATCCAGTCTAGAACATTTACATGATGAATATCTTGTATTTATTAATATCCAGTATGGCTCATTTATTGTTCTATAGAAAAACAGGAAATATATATATATATATATTACTGAGAAATTTAAGTCTGTCAGGTGCTGTTGTTGGATTAGGTTGTTAAACATGTTATTATGAATCTTATGAAGTTTGTATTAGCCTTCTTTCAATTCCTAGTCAAAATTCATCCTTTATCTATTCCTTTTATACTTTGCTGCTTGGGGAATTTTTTGTTATCCTGCAATTTGATATTTGACATTATGAAGCCTATGCTATTCACAATTAAATGAGATTTTGTTTTTTTTTTTTTTTTTTTTCTATTCCTTTTAATAAACTTTGCTGGCTTGGGGAATTTTTTTGTATCCTGCAAATTTGTATTTGAGCTTTATGAAGCTATGCTATTCCACAATTAAATGAGTTTTTTTTTTTTTTTTTTTTTTGAAATAACAACAACATTCTTCTTCCGTTTAATGATTTGACAATAGTATTTGTTCCTGGTCACTTCACACATTATTGCAACTTTACATTCAGTCCAACATTTTTCAAGGTGCTAACTTTATCCAACCTTCTGAATATTTCAGCTTTGTTTAGGATTTGTAATAGCCGAGGCTAAACTCTCCAGTAACTTTGATTTGTCAAAGCTATATCACGAATGCAAAGACTACGTTATTGCCACTTGTCAAGGAGGCAGCTGGAGTGATAAAGTTGATGATCTCTGCCACGTAGGTTATCTAAGTCTAGAATTGAAGGAAAATTGATAACTACATGCATATTAGCTTTTACTGATTCATTTCAAATGCTATTCAAAAAGAAATTGCATTCGCCTTCATCATACGAAGAAAGCTCGCACAAATTGAGTTACATGCCTCTTGTTATCATTTTGCCATAAGAAAGCAGCTTACATAGAGCACAAGCTCATATATAAAAACCATATGAATCAATTTTCTGCTTTTTCTTTTCTCATTAAAGTTCTCAAGGTTTTCTCATCCAAAAACTTATATTATACCAATCGGCTCACAACTGCACTCATCCATAGTTTTCTTCCCCATATATCCCAATTATGATACAATAGAATCATCTTTTTGTTTAGGTGTATGAAACAGTGGAGAGAATACTACTCAGCCCTGACGAAGTCTTGAAGGCAGTAAAGCAAGCGGAAGAAGCCATCACCCCGACTGTTGGTGAACCTAAACGAAGATTTACGAGGATTGGCCTGAACTTTGGCAGTAGGGACAGAAACCAGAGACAAGAAGAGAAAAATCCGGAGATTTTGCCTCAACAGCCATTCTCTAATTTCTTTGATGGCAAGTCATCCTTGTTTTCAAAAAAGCCTCCAAAGCCTGAGAATGCATCTGCAGGAGACAAAGCCCCTAGAACAGTTGAAAGTGATTGGACAATTGTTTAATCATAGTAGAACTCGACATTTTATTTATTTATTTTCTCCCATTAATTTTTGGGTTAAGCTGTATCTGGCAGGAAATTGTAAATTATTTTGGTAATTTCTTGTCCAAATGAAATGGAGAAATGAAATATAGCATTTTTGTCTTTTAGTTAATGTTTCATATCTCATGTAGTGTTAAAATTTGTTGCAAAAGAAATTCCTTTAGACCCACTTAAATTGCTTTTGCCACAGCATCTTCATGTACTATTAAGGTAAGTAACTATACATATATCATTTTCTCAGGAACTAATTTCTTTGAAAACTTTTATAGGCACAAATCAATAATAACAATAACAATGTTCAACGTAACTTGATTTAGTGATTGAAGTGCATTGAATTTTACCTTATTACAAGATTAAAGATTAAGTCATAAAGTTGCATTTTAAAAAAGACTTTTATAATTGCTCCCTAGCCTGAAAAATATTAGTCTCAAATCCAACCCTTGATCAAGATTGAAGGGTAGCATTATAATAATAATAATTATAATTAAAAAGACAGTGCTGATGATGATTCTATCCTTAACGATTATTTTATCCTCACTAAATGTACCTGCGGTATGGAACAATGAGCTTTAACTGTGATTAAATTTCAAGCTGAATTAAGCGGTATGAAAAAATGAGCTTGTAATTAAATTTCAAGCTGAATTAAGCAGTCTCCGCTAATCGAGCTGAATTAAGCGGTCCTGGCGATGGATCCCAGGTTCACACCGAAAATAATTAGAAGACAGTGCTAATGATGATTCTATCCTGTACATAATCATGTTCTAGTGCCTTGGAAGCCTCGTTTCTTTCTTAGTGGTTTTGTTTTGGGCATAGTTGCCTTCTCATCAGCATCGCCATCATCTACATAGCCATCATCTTCTGGCACAGAGTCTTCAGTTTCCTTATCAAATTCCAAAGATTTGGAAATAAAAGCCGGAAACACAAAGTTTGCTATCCCATATACAAACAGAAGCAAACCACTGTCACATCAAAGACCAAAATGAATGAGCAAGCAACTACCAAAAATTTCTACTATGAAAAATTAATTCGAACCGCTAATTTATTATTAATCCAATAGATTTTGCTTGACGTTGCTATTAGCATAAGCAAAAGTTAACTCACCCAGTCTGAAGGAGGACGGAAATGTCGCCGTTGGAATTCGCCGGAAAAGTGTCAGTGACAAGAATGAGAGGAGTGGTAGTAGCGGTGGCAATGACTCTAGTCCTTACTGGTATTGTTGTGTGGGCAAGTTTTGTTTGGGTAGAAGGGCAAAGCAATTTGTGTGTGTTAAATGGTTGATTGGGGTATGGATACAATAAAGGAAAAGAAGAGTGAAAAATGCACTTCATAGTGTAAAGTTGCTTCTCAGATTAGTAGAAGAAGCTCAGCGCTGTATTTTCCTTCAACTGTTCAATTCAGTGTGGATAATGTTGTCCACAGTGGGAGATATTTTTGTTTGTTATTTTTCTGGCTGGCTGTGAAACTTTGTGTCACTGTGACTCTTGACAATGGACCAGGGATTCAATCTTGGGGCTTGCGCTTGTATATCTAGCACGGTTTAACTCTCAATCGTATCAAGGATCGCTGAAGGAAAATTCTGCGCCCATGCACGGTGATTTCGTAAGCCAAGTCGATCAAAAAAATATTTCTTCTCAAACAAATTAATCCTATTAAAATATAAATCTAAATCGTTTTTGATAATTATTTTTTATTATTTTAAAAAACAATAAATAATATTTTTTAATATTATCTTTATTTATATTAAATACAATAATTACCTTTAATTTTGAGATAAAAGATAATTTAATCAAATTATTTTTAACTTTGCTATAATCTAATAGAATTAATTATTTTCTTAATCCTCATGTAGAAACCTTAAACTACTTATATTTTGTGACAGATAGTATTAATTTTCCATTTTTTCTCAATATATAGTTAGAAATATAATGATTTGAATTAAAACATTGCTTATAATTGGTTTAGTTAAATGTGTAAATGAGCTGAGCCGAGCTCAAACCTGCTATGTTTAAAGCTCAACTTGTTAAAATTTAGTTCAACTCGAAACTCGATGGACGTAAAAATTTTAGGCTTGAACTTGACTTTAAGCTCGAGTTCAACTCAAAAAATTTTAAATTCGAGCTGGGCTCGAGGCTTCATTCACATAAGTTTAATATATATATATAAAAACTCAATGAGTCTCGAAAAACTTTCAAACTGAGTATCATTAGGTTTAAGCTTAGCTCGTTTGCTAACGAGCCAGCTCGAGCTCGATCTAAGCTAAACTTTTTCGAACTTTTCTCATGCTCGAGCTTGATTCGAGTCAAACTTTTTTCGACCTATGCTTAAACATTTTGTGAGCCAATTCAACTCATTTACACCCCTAAATTTAATGTATAGGTGTCACAACCCATTTCCTTGGATCGGACCGGCACTAGGACCTGGGTGGGCTTAAGGCCCCCGAAGCCCGTAGTAAGCCTGTATTACTTAAACTCGCATTCTATTCACAATTGTGGATTCTTTTCGACCTATGCTTAAACAATTTTGTGAGCCAATTCATACTCCATTTAACACCCTAAATTTAATGTATCGGTGGTCACAACCCATTTCCTTGGATCGGACCGGGCACTAGGACTGGTGGGCTTCGTTAAAGGCCCCGAAGCCCGTGTAAAGCCTGTATTACTTAAACTCGCATTCTAGTTTCATACAATTGTGGATTCAGGCCCAATAATTTATTTCACAAAAATTACCAAAGTACAATCCATATAATAAATGTCTACACTCTATTTATTCATTTACAACCCAGTTGGAATACAATTGCGAAACTCTACCTTAAAATCAACATCGTTATTTCTATCACTAATAGCCTTCTATAATAAGTGTTCAACTCCATAGGGCTTTCCTTACTTCTATTACCTGGAAAAAAAAAATAGTAGGCAGGGGTGAGCGCCAAACTCAATGAGTAGGATTAAATAACCCTCTCACCCCACACAATCACACAAATGCTAAAATATTTTAATTTGGTCACTCGTTTAGTTATATGATCATGCAATTTGTCACACAAATGTTATATGACATGCAATTTGTCACACAAATGGCAATTAACAACAGCAATCACAAGTAATTATCAACCTTCATATAATCAACATCACTGTGGAAAATTAGTCAGTGGCTACCACCCTGAAACCTACCAACGAGCCGTCCTCACACAATGGCTCGCCCTCTCATACACGTGCATCGCAGGGAGTCGATCCCTCCATACGGCCAACTGGTCAATCTCATACTGGACCCAAATACTCTCAATTGGTTTTCTACTTCCTCAATTCTCTCTTTTTTTTTCCATACAACAGAAGGCAAACCCGGTTTTTGGTCTCCATCGCAAATCTAGATCAAGTTGCCTCACAACAAGGACAGCCATCACTGCGGGGCTACAAATCAAATCTAGATTATTCAGGTGCGCAACAACTAAGAGGCCATCCATGTGGTTCGTTAATATAATCCAATTCATCAGGTGCAACAACGGGGAGCTTGCACACGATTGCAGAACAGTGTATCGTGGTACAGTGCATGCTAAAATGGAGCCTATTTTTTCCCGCGTGCCGCGAGGTCGGTGGTCTACTCGAATATTCAGATTTATCATATTAGGATGCATATCACAGACCATCACATATCATATTCAGGATCCATATCACAGACCATCCTCACAAACCCATGGTGGTCCACTTCATCCCAATTCCACACAAACAAGGCACAATATATTCATAGCACAAATAATCAAACAATTCTTAATATCAACAATTAGTGCATCATAATATGGCAATTCAACGAAATAATGCATGATAAAATATGGCAATTCAACGAAATAATGCATGATAATATTTAGCCGTGAATGCATGAATGCAGGCGGATGATACTAGTTATCTAACAGTACTCACAGTTCTTTATTGTCCTCTAAGGGAACTGCCTTTCTAACCACATGCTTCCAACATTTGTCCTCGCATTTCGGAATTTTATAAACCTCTAAAATAAACAATAAAATTCTAAGTAAGAATTTTAATTTGAAAGATTCTATTTCATATTTGTTTATTAATTTTGGTTACCAGTCATTTAATTCACTTTTTAATTTAAGCTATATATATATTTATAGATATACATTGGGTTTCCTTATTTATATATATTTATTCTAATTTATTATATATATACTATATTATTAGTTATTATATAGTATATATATATATATATTATGATATTATATTGGTTTTCCTTATTTATAGTAATATTTATATTCTAAATTTAGTTGGCCTTTAAATAAAACTGATTATGCATTATTGTTAAGTAATTAATTTTAACAATAATAACTAGAGAGAATAATCAAATATTAATCATACTAATAATAATCGGATTGGATAACGATAATAATTCCTAGTCGATATTAATTTATTAAAACTAATATATATCTAAATTTGTTAACTGCTTTGTTTTATTTATTTATTGGTTTATTGATAAGTAATTTAATGTTCCATAATAACTATAATTATATTGAAGGCAACATTAGTCAATGGTATTAGTCCAGTCCTTTTAATAATTTTCTTTTGTCGAAAAATTCCAACCTTAACCTCATTTCTAACATATTGACCTCATTTCTACAATATGGATGGACGTCCTAATAATACATACTTTATATAATTGACGTTATACCGGAACCAAATATACTTTATTGTTACTTATTCCCATTTTATAATTTTAATTTAACCATAATTAAGCAATATCGACGTATATAACTCTGTTGATTGATTAATTTTGAAATTTTAAGCATTTGGGTATATTTTTTCCTGTGAAAGGGTGAGCTGTTAGGTACTTATTCAGGTGTATATTCGTAGGTCATGCTTGTCCGAATCTCTATATTCACATGTTCCATTATATTCACTCACTCGCTCAATGCTAAGAAATCTCTAATTTTGACTAATTCAATTAATCTTATGTTCAATTAATTAATTAGTCCAAGTTTTGAAATTTATACTGAAAACGAGCAACTAGGCCTTACAATGTACCGATCAAAAATCAGATTTGATTTTCGTGATCCGCCCGAAGAGGAGATCATTTTGCCTCTCGGAGTCCTCGCCGGACCGCCGCCGTCTTCAAGTTTTGAAATTTATACCGAAAACGAGTAACTAGGCCTTACAATGTACCGATCAAGAATCGGATTTGATTTTCGTGATCCGTGCGAAGAGGAGATTATTCTGCCTCTCGGGTTCTCGCCGGAGTTTCGCCAGAGCCTCGCCGGACCGCCGCCGCCGCCGCCGTGCACGGTGGTCGGAAAATCAAACCTCACCAAAATTGACAAACAATACATCATTTTATTCGTTTCGATGAGAGGATCACTAATATGTGTTCAAATCAAGGCGGGTGTGAACTATTTGGCCGAAAATTGACCGAAAATGAGTCTCTCTTCTCATTTCTCTTTTCTTTCTTTTTTTTTTTTCTGGAATTTTCTAACTGGTTGATGGGGTTTGGGTCGATTCGGGTCTAGTATGGTTTAAATCATGGTTTTAGCTTGGTTTTTCAATTGATTTATGGATTTTTTACCCGGTTTTTGAAAAATTAATTTTATTTTTGGGTCCGGTTTAATTTATTTGATTATTTTGTTCAGTTCCGTAATATTTTCTCAATTTATTCAATAATCATAAAATATTAATAGCAAATATATTTAATTTTAGGCTGATTAATTTATATTTAGTTACATATATATAAACACATTTTAAATCTTATGGCAGATTAGTGTGCCATTTTATTTTCATCGAAATTTTAAGTATTACCCAAACGAAAAAATTAGCAATTAGTGTTCCATTTTATTTTCATCGAAATTTTAAGTATTACCCAAACGAAAATTCTAAATAATATGTTTTTGGGCTTGGGCCCAATTCGTAAAATTTTGGGCTCAATTAGAATTACTCGATCTTAACAGCCCATACTATCATAAATTTAGATTTTTGATTTAATGAAAATTCGAAAGTTTCAAAAATAAAAATTCGGGATATTTCAGTAGGTGGACTCCTATAACAACTACGGGTAAATCTTTCTTTGAAGAGAAAAGGGCCTCATCGACTAAAATTCAGTAACTAAATACCATAATGTCTAATCATAATTGTGTAATTTTGATTTTGGAAAAATTCAAAATGAATGGTACCTAATTGCATATGGATTAATTGATGAGGACATTAAGTTTGGTGGAATATTCTAAAAATTAAATGGAGTTAAATCCTAACAATAATTTTGATGAGCCTAAGCAAACAGGGGCATGTGGCCATTTATAAATTTGTTGAGGCTACTCAAATTATTATGCTTGGATCTAGGCCCATGATTTAGTGTTAGAGAGAGGAGTAAACGCCTCTTGAATTGCTATAGTTATCACTCTATCTGTTGTCCGCATCATAATTAATTAGTTCTGTTAGTAATATGGACATGGATTTAATATTTAATTGAGAAAAATCTGTCGGTAGCGGTTTTTTTTATTACGAGAGCACGAATATGATTATATATTTAGGTTTAATTCGATGGATTAGGGATATTTATGTTATAAATTTAAAAAATATAAATTTTGATATATTTAATTTTACTAAACTAATTAATATTGGGGTGATAATTTAATGGAAATTACTTAAACTCCATGCTTCAAGCCAACGGATTACTGTTATTTCAATAATTTTTCATAATTTGGTACTTCTTTATTTTATTTTTTTTGAATAGTCAATAATGCCCTCGTTTATCCTATCCAGTGAATAATATGTGTGCTCGTTTATCCTATCTATCTTCATTAAATTAGCCTTTTGTGTCACGCCTCATCTATACACTAAATACATATAAATGTTACTCCTTAATTAATACTAGTAAAATGGTAAAAACTTTTACAATGAAGAAAATTCAAATTTAAGAATTTTTTTTTGATTATATCATAGGTGTCATCAGTCCATTGGATCAAACTTAACATTTAATCTTTTGTTTAAAGAATATAAGTTCTTCTCATTCAGATCAATTCGGTTGATAGAATTTTCATTATTTAGTCAAAGTGGAGATGGATAAGTAATATTGATGTGCAATAGGAAAGGTTTGAAAAATTAAAAGAGTTCAACTACTATGAGAAATAGCTCTAGAATAAGAAAAAAACCAACATTTGATTATTAGTTATTTATATATACATATATGCATGTGTTTCGTTTTCAATGTTGGAGATTGAATCGGTCATAGGCTATATAATGAACTAGTCTTTTCACTTTCATTAATTTCCTTTTTCACCAATAATTGATACTACGTCTCATTTTCCACTTTCTTCAAAAATAAATACGAACTACATAAAATTATATAATTATAATTATATTTATATATATAGATATATGATTTGATACCATCACATGGGCTCTCAAGTGTTTCAGTGGCTTGGGTATATAATGTCGGCTTGCATATCAAACTCTGTCGTAGTCATATATATTATACTATATATATATATAAAAGAAGGTAAGAGCAAAAACCCAAAATAATTATAAGGAATGGCAAGCTCTATATATATATATATATATATAAAAGAAGGAAGAGCAATAAACCCAAAATAATTATCAAGAATGCAAGCTCAAGTGCGTGTAAAACCATATTCTAGCAAAAAGAAAAAAAGCAACAGAAAAGAAATTGTTAGATAGAATTTTTAACTTGAATATTGGAGTGGTGTGGGGTATATATGTTCGGGGTCTTGTTTTTCAAAAGTGATAGTTGGGTGCATTTACTGTCTCAGCACGATTTCTGGATGAGAAGATGAACAAAATTTAATACACTCAACTGTGCTCTCTTCTTGGCATCTCTGAATCTCTCTATATATAACTTTCCTTTGGTTCTCCATTCATCACCAAATTCATCTTTTATATAGTTAACTACTAAAACTTATAAAGATGACTTGTAATAATAGCAAGTTGCTTCTTGTTTTGCTTCTTGGTGCCCTAGTTTGCACTACTTCTTTTGCTAGGAAGCTTGTGAGTAGTTCTTTTCGTGATGAGAAGAACTTGTTTCATGGTGGTGGACTTGGTGGTGGACTTGGAGGCGGCGGTGGTGCTGGTGGTGGATTAGGTGGTGGAAGTGGACTGGGTGGTGGTGCTGGATTTGGAGGAGGTGCTGGTGCTGGAGGTGGAGCTGGGCTCGGTGGTGGTGCTGGAGGTGGTGGAGGATTTGGAGGTGGTGCTGGAGGTGGTGGAGGACTAGGTGGTGGTGCTGGAGGCGGTTTTGGTGGTGGAGCTGGAGCTGGAGGTGGTGTTGGTGGTGGTCTAGGTGGTGGTGCTGGCGGTGGAGGTGGATTTGGAGGTGGTGGTGGAGGTGGACTTGGTGGTGGAGCTGGTGGAGGGTTTGGAGCTGGTGGTGGTGCAGGTGGTGGACTTGGAGGTGGATTGCCTTGAAGACATAAAGACATTTCGATCCATAATTCCATTATGTCAAAGATTATTATTACTACATTAATTACAATGTAGTTTTACAAAATATGTTAAGATCAATGTAATCAAGAATGTTATGTTGCTTGTTAAGTTATTATAAAGTGTGTTTCAAGTCATTGTTTCATTTTTTTTTCTCCTAATAAATATTTTTAACGAAGAAATAATTAATTTCATAAAAATTGGGTTAAAAAAAAATTGTAATGAGGCTATATATAAAGCACGTACGGGCGATTATAGTCTAACCATGCTCAATTAAAATAACAAAATTAAAGATTTTTAAAAAAAATTATTACTGTTTTATTTTATTTTTCAGCATATGATCATAATATTCTCTTTGACCTAACAAACTGTTTTTAATTGGTTTGGTATAAGAGAAAGCCCGTGTACTGTACCCAAAGTGTAAGTAAACTCTTTCCTTTTTTAAAAAATTTGTTGGAATGTGTAGAAATAATTAATTTTAATTTCTTCCTTATTCTCTAATTCTATGATATAATATTTAATTTTCAAAAAAAATAATATTTAAAGGATAAAAAAAATTAAAATGTAGACTCCATTTATCTTATACTCCACTAAAATCTAATATTTTTTATCAATACCTAAATAATATAATAGAATTTCCCTCATTCTGTTTTACGTTGCATGTTGTATTAAATCTGTCTTCTCTTCCGCAAAAAACTCACGTGCAGACAGTATTGTAAGCATACGATAAAAATGTACGAAGCCATTAGCAAAACTGCAAGAAATTACGTATCCCTTATTAAGCTAGGAAAATATACATTACAATCAGAATTCATTGCTTGCTGGTGCTTTTTCTGTTGGGGCGGTTAAAATTGAACTATTAGATCAAACCCATGGTTCAATTTGAGATTTTAGATTAATGAAAAACAAATGAATTTTCACAATAAAATAAATATTTTCTTTAAATTTGTTAGTTTCTTACATTTTATTCTATTTAGATGACACTTATTGAAAATCAAAATAGCATTAATATCTTAATTCAACTTTATCCTTGTCTAGATAAATAATTATGAATAGATGAGGGATTTTAGGGTTTATATAAAAATTTCCCATCCCTTGAGAGCCTCTTCCCAAACAAGTCAAACTTAGATTGTGTTTAACAACAACTTTTTAAGTAGTTTTTAACGTTTTAAACACTCAAAATGCTAAACACTATTTTTTTATAATGTTTGCTAATAGTGTTCAGACTAACTTTTAGAAATTAAGATAGCGTTTTATGAAAAGTTAATCCATATAACGTTTAACTTTTAACGTTTCATGAAAAGTTACTCAAATAACTAAACTAGCTATCAAAATAGCTAATTTTACCAAACATACCCTTAATCTTACTTTTCTTACCCTCCAAAATCCCCATCAACCTCTGTTCAAGCAAAAGCATTAAGTTTAATTAAGAATAATAATAATGAGTAAAGATGAGCCAGTCAAGCATTGACTAAATTTTATTTAGTCCAATTGAAATAGTTATGTAAATTTTGATCTGACTTTCTTCTCTCAATTTTTTTTTAAAAAGGAAATTTTGACTTTGACTTAAGTTTATCTCTCTATACAGTTTGATCATTATCCTTTGCCAATATTGGGGATATTAAATCACCCAAGTTGCCTTCAATTAATCGCAATATTAAAATATAGTGTATATATATATATTAAATTTAATTTAGGTAATATGCATTTATTTCATAGTGCTATATTAGCTAGTACAGTAGGTCATAGCACAAAAAATTGTTGGTAAAGTATGGGTATTTAATATTAAAATATATATCTACAAGAAATAATTAAATTCACTTAAAAATACAATATATTTCTATAGATCCAACCGTCTGTTGTTATACTCGCTCCGTGCGGTTAGATTAGTATTTTTTTTTTTTTGACTTTTTATAAAAATTAAAAAAATGATTGAATCGTCTCAGTTTAAAAAAAATAAGGATAATGGACTAATTTACCTATTTAATTGATACTCGTTTAATTGATATAAAGTTTAATGCAAATATATTGAGAAGTAAAATAAAAATAAAATAATTAATGTTACTTTAATTTCTTAAAAACGACATCTAAATGGAAAAAGAAGTAAAAAAATGACAAATTTAATAGAACCGAGCAAATAATATTTAGGCCTTGTTTGGTTCAAAATGATCTATTTCATACATTTCGAAGAAAATTATTTTTAAGGGAGTATAATTTGAATATATTTAACATACAAATAAACTTGATTGGAAGTAAAATATTCTTAAACAGTATTCGTAATATAAATTTAAGTGTGCTATAATATGATAAATTTACCACTTCCCCAATTATCCTTAACGAAGTTACTTAAGCTAAGTTTGAGGGTCTACTTCCTGGAGAAATATAATTGAAAAAGTAAATCAAACACAAACATTTTATACACTTCACAAAAATTATACTTCCCTAATTTATTCACTCCCAAACAAACATGGCCTTAGTTTTGTTCTAATTAGGCTAGCAAATGCTACATGTTAACTGTGAAGACTTGCAAATAAACTTTTGACCCAAAAGTTTTAATTCAAATGAGTGGAAATAGACCACCCCTTTCCCTCTATCCATTTGGCAGTACAAATATACAGTAGGTCTAAATTTTTTTCAGATTATTAAAAAATTAAAAATAAAAAGAGAACGTTAAGAGTAATTAGGGTTTTAAACTTAATTTGAATCATTAAAATCTTATGCAACCAGTCGATAAATAAAAATTTTAAGTAAGTTTCCTCTTTCCTTCATATGATTGTTGGGTTTGATTCCAAAAATCAACACACTTGTAAACTGTACTAGTTAAATACAGATTAACTAAATATTTTCAATATTACCCAGAAAAAGTAATTTAACAATAAAGCTAACCCTTTACTGCAAATCTCAAATCCATGCAACTAGGCGCAACTAGCCCTAGATGATCAACGAGGACCTTTACCTCCATACATGAAAAGAAAGTTAAAAAGTAAAACCTTTTGTTATTGGCCATGAGATGGGAGGCTAAGACATTGCTTAACTGGTTTTCAATGGATATATACAGCTGTGTGCATTAAATGTTTCTCAACACGGTTTTTGCCTTTATGGGTAGAAGATGAGCAGAAAATTATGATACTTTCTCAACTGTATTATAGCTTTCTCAATCAAACTTAAACTTTTGCATGTCTATATATTCCCTCATTCGAAACCCCACTTCTCACCGAATTAGTCATTTTATCATAGTTATATAGTGAGAGATGGCTTCTAAATTGTTCCTTGTTTTGCTCCTTGGTGCTCTTGTTGTTTGCTCCACTAGTGCAAGAAAGCTTGTGGATGAGAAAGGCTCTTTTGAGGACCAGAAGAACTTATTTCATCGCCGCCCTAAGTTTGGTCATGGTGGCTGGCTTGGTGGTGGAGGTGGTGGCGGGTTTGGAGGAGGAGGTGGTGGTGGGTTAGGTGGTGGTGCTGGTGCTGGAGGTGGAGCAGGATTTGGTGGAGGTGCTGGCGGTGGACTTGGTGGAGGTGCTGGTGGTGGTGGAGGTGGAGGGTTTGGCGGTGGAGGTGGTGCTGGTGGTGGATTAGGAGGTGGTAGTGGTTTTGGAGCTGGTGGTGGGTTTGGAGCTGGTGGTGGTGCTGGCGGTGGAGTTGGTGGTGGTGCTGGAGGTGGAGGTGGATTTGGAGGAGGTGGTGGTGGCGGCGTTGGTGGTGGAGCTGGTGGTGGGTTCGGTGCTGGTGGTGGCGCTGGTGGTGGACTTGGAGGTGGATTGCCCTGAATAAGCAAAGAAGATTCCGTTTAAAACGATCATTTACTATACAATTGTTTTTGATATATAGAACAATTACTACAATAATTTGATTACTCTAATTTTGTATGTAATTGTCTATTAATTACTTCCATTTTGTAGTTTTTTTCACGTTCTTTGCTCTTTTCCCATCAAGTGTTAATGTAATGAAGTGAAAAATGAAATAAAATATTAATATTTTAAGAATATTAATTAAATTAGCAGCTTTCAAATCTTTCTCCTTTTTTCCCCAACAAATGCAACAACATTAATAGAAGTTACATATGGTTGGATATACTAAATGTTGAGAATATAAAATGAATTTTATTCTGTAGATCAAGACATATAGTTAATCTATGAGGCAAATTTCTAAAAATTTAATACGATTTCCCGATTCTTCTTCCACCATTTCTATCTAACTCCATACATTTTGTCAACACGTATGTAGTTGTTATACTCATTATTCATGTCAGGAATTATCAGAAATCTAATTAATACATTAGACCAGCTGTTTGTTTTGATTCTTTTGAATTCTGATTTTATAAGTTATGACCATAGATGGTCGGTGAAAGTGTAATTCAGCTCGATAAGAATATTATTCAAATTAAAAAAATTAAATTTTGAATTCCGGAAAATAGTTAAGTTTGAGTTTAAGTTTAAATTTCGCTATAAATGAAGTGAGCTCAAGCTTAGCCTAAAGTCTATCAAATCAAATGAAAGTTTAATTATTTTTAATTTATTAAGCTAATTAGTAATCATCGCTCAGCTTGATAAAGCTAGCTCGATAAATTTATCAAATGAGTTTGAATATGTTTATCGAGCCGAGTTTTGAGCGGTCCACTGGTTTCATTAAAATCGAGACAAATGATAGACATGGCTAGGATTCATCTTTTCAACTGAGACAGTTGAGTTGTTGCGTTGTGTGGACTATTATCGAGTAGCAACCGCAGCAGTAGATACATAATACACAAAATTTAATACATGCATGTTAAATGCTATTTTTTTATAGTGTTTAGTAATATAATATTTGAATTAGTTTTTAGAGATTAAGATAACATTTTATGAAAAGTTAGTTCATGTAATGTTCATCTTTCAGCGCGAGAAATTACTTAAACAGCTAATAGTTAAACGCTACTAAAACAGTTAACAGCTACTAAAATAATTAATTTTGCGGAACGGGCCCTTATTAATATTCTCCATTTTCTAATTAATAAGCTGCTAAATCAAGAAAAGTGGATTACATCTCCACATTTCTGTTGCAAAAAGAATTTTATTTGGATATTATTTTAGACTCATTTGAATATTATTCTGTGAACCAAAATAAAAATATTCTAAAGAATTAAATTAATTTTAATTTCCAAACTAACAAATATAATATTATTAAAAATTAGTAAAAACTAATACAATTGAAATGAAAAAAAAAAAATGAAAATGAACTTCTGATGGTACAAGGTATTGTAGTTCCGAATTTACAGTTTTAGATTTAGAACTACCGATTTTAGTTCTTAAAAAAGTTGAAATAGAAATTAGACTACTTTAAGTGGTTTTTACGGCGAGTTTTAATGTGATTTACTCTTAAATTCAGATTAAAATTGAAATTAAAGAATTTATTTCAACCATTTTTTAACTCTTTTAAAATTTTTTTTGTTTTTGTATCATGAATAAATAATAATTAGTAATATTAAAATTAAATAAATTTGATAAAAAATGATTACAAACAGAAAATAAATTTAGAGTTCCATAATAATGTTTAATTTCAAAAATTTTTCCTATTTTTTACGGTTTTAAACTAAAGTTGTGGATCGATCCAATTCTAAAAAGTAAGGAATGGGAACTCAACCATAGGCTTGTGGTTTCATGCCTCTTAGGTATAGTGGCAGTACTATCGTATCTTTCTTTCACAATTTCATTGAGTAGTTTCATTTCTCTTTTATCCATTTGCGCTTAGTATTAACGCAAACGACGACGTTACAACACGTCTCATCTTCCTCTGTTCTTCTCTGACCGCAGCTCTTACAATTTTGAATATTTCCTTCTCCTTCCAGCCAATCAAACAATGCCACGTAATCGATTCGTACAATTTCTACTGTAAATCTCGTGCTGAAAGTCTGCTTTGCGTCTCTCTCTCAAAGGGGAAACCCTACTTTTCTTTCCATTTCTTCTTCTTCCTCTTCTTAATAATAATTTTATCGATTCGTCCTGCAAAACAGGTCAAACCGAAGCTCTGCATCTCCAAATCTCTCGCGCAATTTTATCTTATCATATACAGGAAGACCCATGTATGTCTTATAATCTGGTTTTGTATTTGTGATCCATTGATTTAATGATTTGCTGAATTAATTTCATTTCTTTTAAAATATTTGATCGTGGAAGTACAGATCGAAGCAATGATGTTGGGGATTTTAAGGAGAAGAGTTTCTGCTGGAGGCTCGTCTTCTTCTGTCAGTATTTTTTAATTTTTTTTTCGGTTAGATATACATATATTGATGGATTGGCAGATTGATTAATTACAAATTTGCGTTTTATTAGATTTTGAAGCAGTCCTTGCAGAGTGTTCGACCTGCAGCATCTATGCCTAGAGTTTCCTCTCTTCCTGAAAAGGAGGTACTATATTATTATTCTTATTATTATTATTATTATTATTATTATTTTTTGAATTTTTAGGTCTTCAGAGAAATTGAATCATATTTGTTAGTTCTTTTGTCTTTTTCACAGAAATATATATATGCGCATGTGATATTTTTGAACATTTTCGTTTAGGAAAATGCATATAATTTTCTCTTGTTTGGTTTTGTAGAAAAAGAATATATGTTAAGTTGCAAGCTTTTAATTAAATTGTAATAAGCGTATGAACAGATTTTACTCCAACCAAGAGGTCTCGGGCATGTCCGGAACTTCAGCCACCTCGTTTCATCTGGTAATTATGGCTTTTTTTTTTTTTTTTTTTTTTTTTTTTTTTTTTTGATGAACAGATTTTTACTCCAACCAAGGAGGGCTCGGCATGTCCTGGAACTTCAGCCACCCCTCGGTTTCATCTGGTATTATGCTTTTTTTTTTTTTTTTTTTTTTTTTTTTTTTTTTATGATAGTTTTTTTTTTTTTTTTTTTTTTTTTTTTTTTTTTTTTTATATAGTTTTCTGGATAATGATTGTATCATTCACTTAAATGAATTATGACCTTGAATGAATTTTGTTATTGCAGATTGTTCGGTTGGTTCAAGGCCCATTAGGTTAGTGATGGTTTTCTATTTCTATGATTTCGATGGACCTTTTTTTTTTCTTTTATGACTAGTTCTTTCAGAATTGCAATTTAGTATTCAAGTTGGTGTGATTTGTATTGCTGCAATCTGAGAAAAACTAGCTTCAATGAAATTCATTTCATGCTGTCCTAGTAAAAATTCATTTTGCTTGTCTTGTCTTCCCTAATACATTTTTGCCTTATGGAAGTGAAAGTTATGTGTCTTGTGTTGACCAGTCACAGAGCATCACTGTGTGGAAATGAATGGGGGGAAAAATCTAATACTAGTAAGCCTTGTTGCAACACTGGGTCACCAAGGATTGAAAAACGGATTTAAGCAGTTTCTTTTCTTCCACTTAAAGAAAGTATTTTAACAAGTTTATATTTCCTTTTCCTCATCTTTTACATATTGAAACTGTTCTAATTAGTCCATCTTTAGCCCAATCAAGTTACTTAACAGAGCAAGGTCAATGAAACACGTTATCTGGTTTTCATATCTTTTATCTCAAAGTGGACTTTTTAATTGGAGTTTTCAATCTAATTGTAATTATCTGATAGGAGAAAGATCATGTAATTGAGGAAGGATTTATGTAGATCGAGTTATTTCTCTGTAATCTGTTGTCTTTTAGCACCTCTTGACATGGCTTTAATTTTTTTCAGGACTGTTGCCGGCATTGACTTCATCGCTCCCAAGCAACTTTGGAGCAGGCCATTTTCTTCAGATAGTGGTAAGACATTGAGTAGTTCTAGTTAATATCCTGTATTTGTGTATGGGAATGTATACATGTTAATTGTATGAGGGCCTTAGTAACTTAATAAGTGTCCACATGGGGAGGGATGGAGCATACCCCTTGGATGCTGTTTTCATATGGTTCCAAAATAAGCAATTCTTTGGAAGCTCTCAGGAAGTTTGTTGTTACAGGAAGGACTTTGTCTAGTTGGTTTGAATAAGTGGATGAATCAGTTCATTTTAGCACTCAGTTTTTTCTATGTATCTTGTAGTGTTCCTATGAAAATTTCCTTTACAATTTATAATCATTGCTACTTTGTTTAGATTATGAGTATTGTAGTAATTATCTCAGTTGTCTCTAAGTAGCTTACTAAAACTTTCTTGATTAGACTAGTTCCAAGAATTCCAACCTGAGCAATTCTTTGAGAAACAATGATATACTGAGGCTTCATTCAAGTGGAAGAGTCAATTTCAGCAGTAATGAGTTCTAACATTTCCATTAAACTCTGTGATTCTTAAAATAGTTGGGTAAACTGCACTCTTAGTGGATCCTGCATATAATTGGATGGGCAGGTTTACTGTCACCTCCTTTTAGATGCAATTTTGAAGAGCAAAACTGTTGGCTTTTTGGTCCTTTGGGCAAAGGGTCTGGGTGTTGAACCTTGTTTTATATAAAAATTTTATGGTGTTTCATTTTGTTTATCTGATGCAGGGGATTTGGTTGACGCTGTCGTCCCTTTTATGGGTGAATCAATCACTGATGGAACATTGGCAAAATTCTTGAAGAGTATGTTTTCTGAGTATTATTTTATTTATTTATTTTCTTTTTGCTTCATTGGTTGCATGCATATTCTTTTTTTTTTTTTTTTCTTGATTCCAATTTATTGATTGTCTGTAAATACATGATACATTGTGAGCAGATCCTGGTGATCGGGTGGAAGTTGATGAGCCAATTGCTCAAATTGAGACAGATAAGGTGCTTTTCTCCCACCATTCTATCCCCTTTCCCCTTTGAATTGAAATTAGTTTTATCTAATGCCTATAATGTTTGATTCTTCTTTCAGGTTACAATTGATGTGGCTAGTCCAGAAGCCGGTGTGATAAAAGAGGTAATACTTCTATTGGCAATTTATGTTATTTGTTTTTTTATCTTGGGTGAGTCTGGATTTCTTGGGGTTTTAATTATTTGGATTCTAAGTGTTGATTCAAGGTCCTCTGTGTAATAATGTAATTGTTGGCAGTTTGTAGCCAAAGAAGGGGAGACTGTGGAACCAGGTACAAAGGTTGCTGTTATTTCGAAGTCTGGTGAAGGTGTAGCTCATGTCGCTCCCTCTGAGAAAATAACGGAGAAAGCTGCTCCTAAGAAGGCATCTGCTCCTCCAGAAGAGAAACCAAAGCCAAAAGTTGAAACTGCTTCTCAAACAGAGAAGCCTAAAACACCAGCACCACCACCTAAGCGCTCAGCATCAGAACCACAGCTTCCCCCCAAGGAAAGAGAAAGACGAGTAAGTCTTTTGGCTTCTTATTATCATATACAATGTTCGTTAACAGATTTAGCAAGTAGAAATGAAGTGCCGTGGATCACATAGATGGTATGACCTCAATGCTTTCATGATTACAGGTTCCTATGACAAGGCTCAGGAAAAGAGTTGCAACCCGATTGAAGGACTCTCAAAACACATTTGCTATGTTAACGACATTCAATGAAGTTGATATGTGAGTTTAGTTTAATTTTCATTTGTCTGGTTACTCGCATCACTTCCGTGATACTTGTTGGTCTTTGATTATGGTCGTTAAGCCTTTTATGCTGTTTTCCTCGCACATAATGCAAAGCCATCAGAGCATTCATACCCAGTCTTTTATGTGGAAACAAATAGTATTTTCTCTATGCATCTTTTTGTTGGTTCTCTGCTTGCCATTTATTAGGAACAGTTATGGAAATCTGAACTTGTGAACATGGCTGTAATCATCTTATGTGCATGTACTACTGCCTAACAGGCACAGACCTTCTGGTTTAAATTTTTTTGTAGTACCCTGACAATGTGAAGCTTGAATGTAACATAGATCGAGAACAATGCAAGTTTGGGATTTTGTTTTTTTATGGATTCTGGATTCTGGAAATCCAAAGTGTCTAGATTTTAGGAGTTTCTTGATCTAGATCATGTTAATATTTCTTGAATGCAGTCTAATTTTTATAATGTGCTTCATGATAATAATTTTACATGTATAAATGGTGTACAGCTTCCTCTTGGGTTTGCTTTAGTTTAAACTTAGTCCTGTTTCAATTGTTTCTTGAATACGTAGGAAAACCCATATCCCCTAACCCTCTCCTCTCTCTCTCTCTCTCTCTCTCTCTCAGGGGATGAATGCTTGTTTGAGAGGCTAGTTATATGGTTAAAAAATCAGAATACATCATCTTAGAGTGACATTTCTTCACTTCTGTTGATGATTTTCTTTCATGTAATCCCCCTGTGATTTGCTGCTTTGCAGGACTAACTTGATGAAGCTTCGGTCTGAATATAAGGATGCTTTTGTTGAAAAGCATGGAGTTAAGTTGGGTCTCATGTCTGGATTCATAAAGGTATGGAATATGTCATTAGGAATATGGAGAAACAATTTTCAAATAGAAGTGAGCTAACATGTTTATTTCCTCTTTTTCCCTTGTAAAATATTCCAGGCTGCTGTAAGTGGGCTCCAGAACCAGCCTATTATTAATGCAGTCATTGATGGGGATGATATAATATATAGAGATTATATAGACATCAGTATCGCTGTTGGCACTCCAAAGGTTTGTCTTAATGTCTTTAATTGATCAACTCCATGCAAAAAATTTGCTGTTGATGTTTTGCATATGTGGAAATCCAAGAGGAGTTGCTTTCGACTCTTTTCTAAATAGCTTCTTCAGTTTGAGACATTTTTGGGTAACTACAGTGCTTTGGTTTCTTTTGTAACTGGTACATTTATCAAAGTACCTTTGATGTAAGTCTGTCACATCCTAATGAGGTTATTTGTTGACCGAAAAATATTTGTTTACATTGCATTCTTAACCCTTGTCAAAGCACCTTGGATGTAAATTTGTCATATCCTAATGAGATTATCTGTTGTTGGAGTGGAAAAATATTTGTTTAAATTGCCTTAACCCTATGATAAATCCTTTTCAATCCAGGGACTTGTTGTCCCAGTTATTCGCAATGCCGATAAGATGAATTTTGCTGAGATAGAGAAGGAGATCAACACCCTTGCTAAGAAGGCAAATGATGGAACCATCTCAATTGATGAGATGGCGGGAGGTTCATTTACAATATCTAATGGAGGAGTTTATGGAAGTCTTTTGAGTACACCCATCATCAACCCTCCTCAGGTTTGTTCTTCTGCTGGGATGATATGCTTTTGTTTTTTTGTTTAAGCTTATTATACTACTCTACTGGAACTGTTGTCAAATCTATTTGAAAAATCTGTTTTTACAAATCTTCTTGTACTCCAGCAGGCGCCATGTACTGTGTAGTAAGTGATTTCCATGGAAATGCACATTTTATGTTTCTATTGATATTCATATTGTGGATGATATTAATTGGGAGTCTGATGATGAAATATTTAATTGGCAGTCGGCTATTTTGGGCATGCACTCGATAGTGAGCCGTCCAATGGTGGTTGGAGGAAATGTTGTACCCAGGCCAATGATGTATATTGCTCTCACATATGATCATAGGCTGATTGATGGAAGAGAGGCAGTTTTCTTCTTGCGCCGTATCAAAGATGTGGTGGAGGACCCACGCAGGCTGCTGCTTGACATTTGAGAATCAACCTTCAATTTCTTGCAATTTCTTCAGTACCTAGGAGACGGATATACTTTGTTGACAGGAATAATACACTTTGATATCAAAGTTTTGTAGTTTTTTATTATCTTCTCAATGATTCAACTTTTGTAATGAGTTCTTCAACAGCGGCTTGCCTTGATTTAATTGAAATCAAGAGATGGTACATGCGTTTTTTTTTTGACACTGCACGAAATGATATGTTTTTAAGAAACTTGCTTTATGGGCCACAGGCCAGTAATGAATCCAAAACTCTTATGGAATATTATCTTTTATTCATACATACTTTTGCCTGATCTGATGGATTGAATTTGTCACACTTGATTTGGTTATGCAGGTTTTATGTGCCCAATTTAAGATCAGGATTTAAAACTTGATTGTATTGTATTATCGTATCATAATCAGTTTCCAGATGCATCTGTATTTAGTCTTTTTGTACTTTTTCATCCTTTCCAATGTATTTTAGGACTTACACTATGTTTCGATCTATCTGTTATACCTTTTGGAAAAAAATGTAGAGATCAACTTGCTAATATTTGCTATCCAAACACACTTTTAAGCGCAATAGTTCAATTTGATTTGAAGCACTTCTGATTTCACGCTATTACCACTTTATCCATAATAACATAAGCATCACAGGTGATGATATTCATTGACTTGAAAGCTTCAGATGGTTCTAATTGATCAATAATAACATTGAATTCTAAAATAACATTATACAAAATGACGTCAAAATGAAACACAGCTACAAAAGTATTCAAATCAATAAATGTGGGGATATATATTTTTTCCTGTATAGCAAAAAGATGATTGCTAATTCCAGTGCTTAAGTAATGACTCTAGAGAATCCATATGTAATATTTCCGCAGCAGAAGTCCATTTAGATTCTGACTTCTATTTGTTCCTTTAACAAGTGCTCTTTTACAGACTGAATGGGCACCTGCAAGCCGCAAAATCGAGGATACAGAAATAAATGAACGAAGATTATATGATAAAAAGAATATTCATCTAAGCTCCATTTGATTGCTGCAAAGGCTAATAACCTTTTTAAGATGAAATAGTAGTAACAACTTCATGTTATAACTATAAGGATGTGTCATTATCAATCATGCTAAAGCAAGAAAATAGCTTTTGCTGTTTGAAGTTTTTGATGTATATAGTGAAATCAGGAGAAACGATATTTTGTTCATTGAAGGAAATGGCAATTTGAAATTCAAATGGTAATTATGATCTCTAGTGGCAATCACATGCTAATAAAGCGCTCAGCAGATTATGCAGCTATACCTCCTTTCTATGGAAAATGCCAGCAGCAAGAGCAGCAGATGCATTTGTTTTGGTGAAAACTTCAGAGAAGTGTTCGACAGCACCTGCACCACTACTTGCAATCACAGGGATGTTCACAGCATCAGAGATCAACTTTATCAAATCTATATCAAATCCTTTCCCTTGACCTGAAAAACCAGCAAGTATTAATCATGCAAAATGAACATTTGAAACCACAAACTAGATAAAAAATTGAATGGACCAACACAATTTCAAGAAGAGTGTGCCGTTTGAAACATGTTGGCCTAATTTGCAGATAAAAACAGATTCTGTACTTCCAAAGTACCGGCGTTAGAAAACACACTGAAGCCGACTCATTTTTTGAAGATAGAACCAAACAAGCTAATAATTCTTATTGAAATCAGTAAGTTTTGGCCGCCATTTCTCTGAAAAAATACTTAAAAATTTCCAAGAGGCACTTCACAAAATACTTCAACATGATCGAAAAATACTGACAAACAACAGTCCTCACCATCACAATCAATGCAGTTCAGTAATATTTCTCCAGCTCCCAGCTCTTCAACAGCTTTTGCAAGTTCATGGGCTCCAATTGGCCGACCTTCTCGTCCACCATTAACCTTCAGAAATAGGAAAATACAGAATGCAAAAGCTTTTAGTATCTACCATCTGGCAGGCCTGGAAATTCTCAGCCTGGTCGAGGAGTTTTTTCTCCCCTGATCTGGTCTAGGCTGACCTTGCCAGCAATAATGATGATATTGATAAATTTAACGTGTAAAATTTGAATAGTGATGCTTTTAGAGCTAATGCTTTATATAGGCTCTTTCTTAGCTCGTAGTTTAGGTGAAGGGAGAGGAGAGAGAGGGGGTGATAAAATTTAACGTTTGTTAAAAAATTTGATAGTTGATTGCTTTTAGAAGCTAATGCTTTATATAGGGCCTTTCTTAGCTCGTAGTTTAGTGAAGGGAGAGGAGAGAGAGGGGGAAGGGGGGGGGGGGAGGGGGAGGCATGGGTTGGGAGGCATGGGTGGAACGGGGGGACACTAAGAAAAAGAAATTTTTGGTCTAATAGAACTTGGGTTAAAAAAGTTAGATGGGCTCAACTTGGACAAATTATTTTGACTGTAGGAGCTCCAGCCATGCTGGGTCTGGGACTAGTCAAATAAAAGTTGGCCTGAATTGGGTATGGCCTGAACCACATGTGAATAGATACGTAGTTGTTACTTGTTAATTGGCCAGAGACAAATCCAAACAAAATAAAATTGGCAAATATCTAAACTGGGGAATATTGCTCAAACCTACAATCGAATCAAGAATACATCTTACCGTACACTGATACCAGGCATATTCTTCTCCATTTGGACCTGAAAATAATATTGAAATCTTAATTAACAGTGGCCTGTGACATCTTAGTAGAAAATAAAGTTTCTGACTCTCTCTGTGTGTGTGCACGAGCGCGCGCGCGGGTGTGTGTGAGAAAGTCACCCAAAGCGCGCGCACATGCACACACACACACACACAGTGGCTTGAGAAAGATATATAACAAACTAAACTCATTGATACTTGGTGAGAATGAGAGAGAAGATAGTTTAAGTAGAAGGGTCAATTATAAATAGGAAAGGAACATACTCAGATCTCTTTAAGTATCTAAAGAGAGGATATGGCATGAATGATATGAACAAAAAAAAAAAGAAGCAGATTTTGTTTACCTGGGTTAGTTAACCTCACAGCCTTGAATTCCACATCAGTAGGATTCTTGAGGTACACTCTGCGAGGATCAATACTCACAACCACTGCCTGCAATATAAGCATAAACATAATTCAAAATAGAGACCTTCACCTTTGTTTGTTGGCAGCTGTTAGAACTGACAACACTTTCCATGGACATCTATTTATAAATTCATAATTACACATAAAGAACCGAGAAGAGAGAGTATGTGTTGTTAGGCGAACATTGCAAGGTGCAGTAAAAACATAATGAGGAGACTTCCATGCAAACACAAGGTCATTTATGTGTGCAGGGCCATTATTTGGTGTATAACTTCCCCCATAAATGGGAAACTTCCTTCCTTCCCCCTTGTGGTGAGGGACAAGGATGCCTTGATAAAGTCTCATATATAACTATCTAAGTGGAGCTGTGGCCTTCCACAGACTCAAGATTACAGGTTGGAGTCATTTTTCAGCTTTGTCAATTTTATCATATAATAGAATGATGGATACGCACAGACTGGACTAGGAAGATGGAGTGCACAAGCCATTTTGTGAAGAAATTCTATCATAATGCAATTGTTGGAGTAACCATCAAAGAAAGCTGATCCAAATTTCAATGAAATGCATTGTGTAATACATAATCCAAACATAGGTGGCCTTTTTTTTTCCAAGTTAACCTGGGTGGAAACTTGAGAAAAGAACAACTAATAATCAAACCTGCTGTCGAAGCTTGCTTATTCAGCTCTTGGGTGTGTGACCAATCATGACAAATTCATTGTGAATAAGGTGTGGCAAAGAAGAAATAATAGACAAGATAAACCAAATTGAAAAGTCAACTTTACATCATTAGATATAGTGCGGAAATAATCAAGTTCCCAGAATTCATTCAAATCAGATGCATATTTCGTATAGCATTGACAAAGACACTTATCATGGAATAGGTTTGTCCAAAAGAGTATGAAATACCAACAGGAGCACAGAGATGCATAGATTTCAAACTAGACAGGATCAAATTACCTGATTGCCATAAACTCTAGATATCTGTTCTATGCTGCTCTTTCCAGTTTTTACCTACAAGCATGAGTCCAAGAGCTATTAGAAGTATGCACAAGCAAGACCATTTGCACAGACAAAAATAGATGATGGAAGGTGTTGCATACTTTAGTTTTTAAATATTCTTCAGCAGCATAGACCGCATCACTTCCAATAGAAATTTTATCTGCCCCTGACCTAAAATATTCTGAGGCAACTTCCAAACTAGAATAGTACCTGAGTACAATGATGGACAAATCATAACATGTTCATGTGCCTTACTAATCATTGAAGCATACGGATATTGTTGGAAATTAAAGAAGTAAAATATTGGTCTACCACATGCAGTCAACTATACCTGCCATTTGCATCTCTAAAATCCCTAATTCCACCACCAACAGTCAATGGTACAAAAACATTTTCTGAAGTGTACCTCAAAACCTTCAGAGCATAACAAGCAGGGTAAAAAACTCAGGAAAATGAGACATCTCAGGTAGAAGTTAAAAAGAAACTTTCTAATCATTGTGCATAATTCTAATTGCTAAATAACCAACCTGCAACATTGGCAAGTCACCTAAAGGGAAGTCCCTGAAACCAGTAATATTCAGAAAACTAACCTGAAATTCAATGTTGAGATGCCAAACATTATACTGTTGTTCCATATGCAGTTAAGTATCCAAATAAGGGAAAAAATAATAATGCTTACTTCATCTGCCCCATCTTTGTAATATTGTCTAGCAAGCTCGACTGGCTTGCCAAGATTTCTAACCTGCAAAAATTTACATAAATAAAAACCACTGCTATCTGCAATACAATGCTCTAGCCACCAACAGTTTCATTTCGGAAAAGAATCAGACAGAATAGGCTGCAATATCATTCAGTGAGAATCTAACTAGAGTACCTAAAATTTGACTTTTATTCTCAAACAAAGACATTCATCCATCAGCATTATGAAATGCCAACATAAGAGATGTAGATCTCGCATCAGAATGAACATCACGCAGTATAGCAAGTCATATGTGAATAGTCATGACTGAAAATTTCAAGATAAATTTGCTGCTTGTGCAGTCAAGAAGACCATAATGTTTGGATGACTCATTATCAATACTTTTTAGAAGAAACAAATGAAAAATATTTTAGCAAGCTCTATGATATTTTACTACATATTGAAACAAAGAAGAAATTGTAAAAATCTATTAACTTTCAATAATAATTTGGCCTTACCTCGTTTTCTTTTGTGTGTTCTCTTACATCATACTGGTCCCCTTTGGTTACAACAAGATCACCTTTATCATTTGTTCTCACATCAAGACAAGCAATTACCTGAACAGAAGCAATATCATTAGTGTATTAAATTTCAGCCAGCACATCAATTTAAATGAGATGAAAATAATTGCTGAAACCACAAAATACATGAAGCCAACCCAGTATATATGATCAAGATGACTTAAAAAAAAAGGTTTGAAAAGAGTCAAAAGACAAGACATGTCAAACAACTTATTTAAAATTTAAGTATTACCCTTTTTGCTAGTTTTGATGCCTTCCCTTCAGTGGGCTTCTGTCTTCAAATGAAGTTTTTAGTTCATTAGATGGTTTAATAAAGAAGGAAAAAGACGTAGTAGACTGGATAAGCTGGTACAAAGCTTACCTTTGTCAAAGACGACTTTGGAAGCAAAAATCTTCTAAGTACTGAAAGACCAACATCTGCAACATTCATTTCAGGCACTTAAGACAGAGTGCTACAAATAAGTTCACTCATATATAAATTGCTGTCTACCTAGTCCCTAGAGAAAGCAACAGAAGAGGAGGGGAGGAGAAGCAAGACAGTTCTTGCAAAATTTTTACTATGCTTCTGTCTCACATCAACAAAAGACTCAAATACTATTAGGGAAAAAAGCATTCCCCAGCGTATATACTCAATGGAGAGAATTTTTCCCTTCTATATATAATCTCCCCTCGCATCAACAAACGATTCAAATACGATAAGGAAAAAAGCATCCCAGAGTATATACTCAATGGAGAAGAATTTTTCCCTTCTATATGTAATCTCCTCTCAGAAAAAAATGACAGATGCAATTTTGACACCTGGACATTTTTGAAAACCGTATCAGAATAGAAATACAACAAAAGTATTTACTTGCCTCCACTCTTCTCCGGATGGAACTGAACTGCATGCACATTTCCTCTTCTAATTGATGCTATAAATTTATCACCGTAGTTGCAAGTAGAGGAAATCCACTCTTCATTTTCATGTGACTACAGAAGTATATGGAAGGCTTTAGGTCACCAGATCCAATGCAAATCAAAGGTGAACATATTCACCAGCCCCATTCAAAATATTGAAAAGACAAGGAAAAGAAAAACACACTGGCATGGCACGGTATGAGTGGACAAAATACACATGGCGGTTTCCAATATCATCCAAAATTTCAGAATCTTTTGCAACTTGCAAAGCATTCCAGCCAATATGGGGAACTCTGAAACCATTTGATGAGTCGAAACGCGCAACCGCACCAGGAATCAAGCCAAGACCATTCACTGAGACAAATGTACATCTGTAAACTCAGATATTAAAAAGTAAAAAACTACAGCGAAAAGTACAGAAAGAATGATATGTTATCCGCATAAGATGTTTTTGACACAAAACGCTCTTCCAGTTCAGCAACAATTTAACCATGTTAGCACCTCTGTAAGTGTAGCAAAAACTTATTTGAGCGATCTTTTTCCCATAAAATCCTCTCAACTCATTAAACTTCAATTCATCCTCTCTCTAAAACACGCTTTACCTTCATGATTCTATCAACTTAACTTCATATAGCTAAAAGCAATTGAGTTCTCCTTATTTGATCATTGGGTGATATAATAGGATACAACAAGAGAAGCATTATTATCATCCTACACTTCTACAACTGAAATTATTAAGGTTGATTCACTTATAATATAGATAACTGAAGTACTTGCCTGGACCATTCTCCTCACTATACTCAAAAAGTAGTTGAAGTCCAAGACAAATGCCTAAAAATGGGCGATCCTTGTCAATGTAGGTACATAATGCTTCACCCATCCTACAAGAATCAAGCGGAAAATAACAAAGTAACTAAAATTTTGTTCAACATTTCAAGATCTCCAATTCTAAAAATTTTAAATTCAATGTTAGTAGAACGTCAAAGTTCAAACTAACCAACTAAAAATAAAAGATTAGAACTTATTGCCCAATATCAGCACATACCCAGTTTTGTTAAGGACATCCATGGCGGGTGCAAATGCTCCTACACCAGGAAATATTAAACGGTTTGCATTTAGAATGTCTGCTGGAGTTTGCACCTGCGGGTAAAGTTACTTATTTTCACGTTTCAATTTTAAAAAATGAAAAAAGATATTCAAGGAACCTAAGAAAGCGTACGTCTTTAATTTCAAAGCCTAGATAGCGAATGGCATTTCTCACACTACGGACATTTCCAGCTCCATAGTCAAGCAGAGTCACTACTGCAACAAGCACGTATTAGAATCGTATACACTAAGAAGAGAGTATAAAGAACTGAATGCAATTATAGAGAGAGAGAGAGGACCAGAATCGGAGGTAGAAGAAGCACGAACAGAGAGATTTCTTGGAGGCCTGAACTTCGATCTATGGAAATCATTTTTATAGATATTTGTGGGGAAGAAAATGAGAGAAGATGACGATAAAAAAGAGTTTTTGGAAAGTTTCGAAGAGGAAGAAAGTGGAGAAGAAGCAAATGACGCCGCCTCCATTGCAGCTCTTCAAAACTGAAAATGCTCTGTACTCGAAACTGGTGGTTGGTGAATTCGTTTGGGACTAGCGTTTCAAACAGGGGCGAGCTGCTCGCAACGACGCCGTTTCGTTTAGTTATTTTTAATATTTAATTAGAGACTAAACAATTTTCCTTTTGAATAATAAAACAAACAAATATTGCAAAAAAAAAAAAAAAAAAAATTAATATTTAATTAGAGGGCACTAAACCAATTTTCCTTTGAATTATAAAACAAACAAATATTTGCAAAAAAAAAAAAAAAAAAACAAAATTACATGTTACTATTAATTTGCCTTAGGTGTATGTTTATTATAATAACTAGTTGGAAGCCCGCTTTCCCCACGGCTTTATTATTATATAATTGTATTTTATAAATTTATTTAATATTATTTTAAAAGAAAAATCATTTTTCAGCAGATTATTTCATTAAATTTTATTAAATAAATATATATTTAATTAATATGTCTAAATTAGTTTTAAAATTTATTAATTTAAACAAATTAAATATTCATAACTCTAATGGATATTCTATAGGATAAATTATTAAATAATTATATATTTAATAATTATGTCTAAATTTTAGTTAAAATTATAATTTAAACAATTTTAATAAAAAAAAAAAAAAAAAAAAAAATTACCAAATTCTAATTGATTAATTTATATTAGATAAAGTTCAATATGAATAAACATGTACAGAAATTTATTTATAATAATTATTTAATATTAAAAAATATAATTGCTTATTAAATATTTAAATATTAATTCTATAAAATATAGAAAAATTAAAATTGATTTCTATTAATATTTTAGATTAATCTAACATATATAACACTGTCTTTTAGAGTTAGTTTCTGCACGTGGGATAAATTAAAGTAAAATGAAAAGGAAAATATTAAAAATATGAATTTCATTCTTTTCAAAAAAAAAAAATTTCAAGATATTAAAATTACAAATAAGCGCCACTAAAAAACAAATCAATTAAAATAAAAATATCAAATTTTAATTTGCTCACGGATCTCTCTAAATATGTGATTAAAAGTGATGGACTACCATGAATGGAAAAATAACAAAAATGAATCAACAAATATAATTTCCTTAACAAAAAATTTAAGGGAAAAAATAAAGAAGGGAAAAAATAGAAAAGAGTTGAAAGGAAGGATAGAAAGAGCATAATGAAAAGGCAAATTGATCATGGATAAATATGAATAAAGAGTAATTTATTCAATTACCAATATCATTTATGACTCTATCACATAATGCTTTTCACATAACCTAATTGAACAAAACTAAATAAAATATTATTACCTAGCTCTGCAACGATGTTTTTCATATCTCAAAAAAAAAAAAAAAAAAAACAAACAATAATCCTAGATAATTAAACTTTAAAAAAAAAAAAAAAAAAAAAACAAATCCTAGATAATTAACTTTTCCTTCGTTTAGTAATAATGAAGGGCAACTAAATGAATATAGCATATAGTCTAGATCTATACTTACATCACCGCACGTCAAAGCCACCAATAAATTCAGTTATTGATACTTATATAATTACCTGAAAGTTAGATTTCAAATATAACTTGCTCTTGCCCTTGATTTAATTTCAAGAGTATACTATACAACAATATCCAAACTTTAAATAGATCACAGCATAATAAATTGTCAAAAAAAAAAAAAAAGAAAAAAATATATGCTATATTCATTTAGTTGAAATCATTTAATCATTGACAGAGTAAATCAACATAAGAGAATAAAAAAACTAAAGAAAAACTCACAAATTTGCACCTTTAAACTATGCTCGAATTTGCAAATTCCCTTCAAATAAGTATATAAAGGATAAATAATTAAAGATAGATAAAAAGATTCAATTTAAAAGCATTTAAATATAAAGATATAAACAAATAGATTTGCCTTAATTTATAAAAGATATATAGAAAAAGATGTGTTTAAATTTGTTAAATTTAATTTTCAATTTTAATCTATATATCAATTTAATTCTTTAAAAATATTTTTGTACGCAATCAAATTAAAATAAAAAAGAAAAAAAACTCAAAAATCTGTAAAAAAAGAAAAAAGAAATTAGTAGGATAATAGAATGCCAACTCAGCAATTCAAATATATCTTTCGATTCAGGATAATTATAATAATAATAGTAATAATAATAATAAATTTATCCAATATCAGCAAAAAAAAATTTTATTATTATTAAAAATACACATTAACTAAATAACATATTTAAAATAATATTTTTAAAACTGAAATACAAAAAAGTCATACAAATGTCTTACCATTTATACAAAGCTAATTGCGTGATTTATGAAATTAATAAATAATCCTTTTTTAACATTCAGTATGGCAGAAATAATTTTTAAAATATAAAATAAGAATATCATCTCGATGACTTTAACCAATAAATTAAAACATTATTCGCCAATGAAAAATATAAACGTGACCGTTGATTTCCCATGGTAAAGATATTCTAATTCTATATTTATATGCTACCTTGTTAGGAATTTAGGATAGGTAAGCATAGATGACATTCTTTACCTGAATTGCAAGTTTTGAAAAGCACATAAAATACTACATAAACCATCTTCTTTTCTCTGTAAATTATTCTCTAAATTAAATAAAATTTGCAAGAGGAAGAAGAAATTGTTGGCAGATTTGAAATTAACATGATTAGTGCATTGTTTTGTGTTGTGTTTGGTGAAATTTCAGTGATCGTAACCCTTTTGTTTAGAAGTCCTATGAGGAAGGTGTTGATGGTAGGAATAGATTATATGAAGAGAGGAAGAGGTCAATTGGTGGCAAAAACTGTGGCAGCAACGTTATTTGGGGTGTTTAGTGCTATTTTGTATAGTGTAATGCAAATTCAAAAACGTACTTTGGAGTCTGGTGTGGTTAATCCAACTGATGAGGTTCTTCTAGCTGAAAGGCTTTTGGAAGCTACTCTAATGGGTAATTGTTTAATTTACTCTTTTTAATAAATTATTTTAGTTTCTTAATCATTATTGAGTTAATTTTATGATGTACAATTTTGATGGTCATGTCTTTTTTTTAATTAGTTATATAGAAAATATATAATGCGTACACACGAATTAAGGATTACTCCTTTACAAAATTATTATAACTTTGTAAAAATGTGTTAACTGGTATAACCTACGAAAACACACTTTCACAACCGATAACGCGTATGGGATGCCCAAATATCAGCCTAGCATAAACACTTTTTAATTTTTATGATTAGAAAATATTAATAATTTCTAATCAACATCATTAATATTTTTTTTTTGACAATTCTTATGAGATAATCCCATTTTTTAAAATTTTTATTTTCCAAAATGAAAGTTAGAATATCGGACTTGATGATTACTTTGTATAGGGTTCTCTCTATTCCTGGCAATGATGGCAGACAGGTTACACTACTACATTAAAGAACTTTACAGAGTAAGGAAAGAGGTAGAACAGTTAAAAAGATTAAAATAACAGGATTATGAAGGCAAGAAGCAAAGCCTGAAAATGGAGAGTCAAAAGCTAAAGAACTGGAAACTGTCTCCAAAAGAAGGGCAAAGGACGAATGCTTGGCAAGAAATCATATACAAAGGTTACAAGTTCAAGACATGTAGCCTTTCTTGCTTTCTTTCTCAGTCAAACTTGCAGGATATGTATATATATATATATATATATATATAAAATTTAATGGCAAAGGTTACCAAGGTTCAAGACCATGTAGCCTTGTTCTGCTTTCTTCTCAGTCAAACTTGGCAGGATATGTATATATAAAGTATATATATATATATAAAATTTAATGGTAGTTATATATAAAATTTAATGGTATGTAAGAACATCATAATGTTATAGATCACAACAAACACCAACAAACTTTCCAATTTGTGTTCAGAATTTTCTTGCATATGTATGATTGCGCCATTCCTACTTGTTTGGCATTTGCTACTTGAACAGTTGCAGAGCATTTTTTTTTTCTCTTAAAGTTAGACAACTTGTTGTCTTTGAAATATCTTGTACAAGTTGTTGGAAATTGTAGGGAAAAAAAAAAAAAAAAATCAAAGTTTGAGATAGTGCAAGCTGAGTATCTGACATAAGCATTATACAATTAACATGGGAAGAGTTTAGTCAAACAAGTGACAATTAATTATTTAATGGACAGATGATTAGATTCCATTCTCATGTTCTAGATAAGTAAAAATTGTGTATAAACACAATTCCTGATTTTGCTTTTGCGTTTCAGTCACACTTAGTATAATTCATTCATGTTGAATTGTCTCCACCCACTTGTTCCTAAACAAAAGAAGCTGACTTTCCCACCTTCCTAATCAATGTCTCATCCATTCACATTTGTTACAGCAAATTGGGTGTTTAATCATTTTAATAGTAGTTGACTTTATTTAAAGTCAAACCCCACTTGATTAAAAATTTAAAACACAAAGAAGGAGGCTTCTTTTCAGCCAAAGATTAATGCAAAGAATGCTAAAAAAGAGATCATTAGCTATGGAGTAGGTTTTAGATTTAGAAGTTGAGAGAAATAGAGAGGGGAGTGGGATAAAGAAAACAAGAGAGGGAAGGAAGATTTGCAAGTATTGGGTCCAAGAAAGAAACTCATGCCATCAATAATTTTTTAACTCATCAAAATATTAAATGTTATTTTTAATAATATTCAATAATATATAGTTTAAATTAATTTTTTAGAAGTTAAAATAGCGTTTTATAAAAAATTAATCTATATAACGTTTAACTTTTAGTGTTTTTTGAAAAACTACTCAAACAGCTGATAACTATACAATCCAAAGTAGAAAACTTAAATCTCTCATTTTGGTAACACGCCAAGAAGAAAAGATTTAAGTCCACTAACATACCAACAAGTGGAATCATCAACTTATGGATTTTGATATTCACCATCCATTATGAAATACCAAATCACGGTCCACCCTGGTCGACTCAATAGGTCCCATAAGAGCAAGTTGCAAAGAGTTCAACAATTTTATTGACTTTGTCTCAATTGACCCTTAAAATTAAAATTGCAGGAACAGACAATACAAATTGACTTCTTAACATACAGTCATCTCCATTCACACTGTAAGCTCAACCAAATCCAAATTTGACCCGTTAGACGACTTTTGAATTCAAAGTCTTTAACCCTTAGCCAAAGTAGAGGACTTTTTAATTTGCCGGCCATCTCTGCTTAGATGATTTATTTTTAGCAAATAAGAAAGATAGTTGCTAATTATACGATATTAAATAAGAAAATTATATACTCATAAGAATTAAAAACAAATAATAAAATATAAAAAGTTAAAAATTGAGATTGAAGAGAGCAAGACTTATCATTATCCATCTCAAGATTGAGATCTTCTAATACAAAATCATATCCTTCATTAGTACTAACATTACTATAGTTGCTACTATTGTTAACAAAGAATTCTAAATCTAATAACAAATCTTGATAAAAAATTGAACTTTCAAGCTCTTGATTATAAACAATTGAATCCGAAATCAAGAATGTATTTGAAACTAAAGGCATCTCAATGTTCTCAATGTCTCTACTTCTAACTGTAATCCAATCCTCTTCGAAAGACCAACTGGGTAAATCCGAAATCGATCCGATTAAATTCTTGATCCTATTAGCAGGAGAATTCGAGTTGGAAATATCTTGGAATGTCAAATCTTGAGGACCTTCCAATACTTCCATTGAATCCCAAAAATCTTGATCTAATACACAACTTGGAGAAGAAGTACTACTAGTTAAGTGATCTTCAAACTTCTTTATCTCCAATTCATCAAGAAATGGATGATCAAGTAATTCTTTAACCGTCCACCGCTCTTTAGGATCTCTCCTTAAACACTTGCTCAAGAAATCTTTAGTTTTTTCTGACAACCACTCAGGAATCTCAGGCAAATCGCTAGAAAATCCAATCTTGTATAGAACTGATATTACGTCGTCATTTTCTTGATCTAACGTCATCCATGGAATTCTTCCTGTAGCCATTTCTATAATTGTACAACCCACAGACCAAACATCAGCTTCAAAGCCTTGTTCTTCTCCACGAGCCACTTCCGGTGCCATGAACGCCGGTGTACCGGCAAATGCTGACTTGCCACTATCTATTTCTTTGATAAATCTTGCACAACCAAAGTCAGCAATTTTTGCCAATCCTTCTTTACTGACTAATATATTGTGGCTTTTAATGTCGCAATGTGCTAGTCCTATTCCATGCAAATACTCCAAGCCCTGTAAGATATTTCTTGTGTGTAATCTTATCATGGCTTCTTCCAGCTTGCCTCCGTTTCTCAAAATCACCTCGTGGAGTGTGCCGCCGGAGACATACTCCATGCAGATATTGTACATAGGCTTGTCGTTTTCTCTCGAAATATCACAGCCTATGTACTTGACTACATAAGGGGAGTTTAATTTTGACAGAAAACACTGCTCTTTTTGGAGTAACATAGATTTTGATAGCTCCGACGACTTAAGAGCAAAGAGCTTGCCGGATGAGGCAGTGGAGGTTGCTAGTGAGACCGTGGCTGTGGAGCCACGGCCGATTATAGGCCCTCTAGTCCACTCCATCGGAGAGAATAAGAGAGCAAGCAAAACAAGAAATGAGAATTTGGGTTTTAGCACTTTGGCAAACTCTCATATATATTCGACTTGTCGTTGGACTTATTCTTGCTTTTGTTGGCCAACTCGAGAGTTTAAATTGTTGATGGTGGTGGTGGTGAAAGTGAGCCACGTGGCAGAAGGAGAGAGGATTGAGACAGCTTGGTCGTTGTAGGACGGTGGTTAATTAGGCAAAGTTTTGGATAAAAGCCACCCACATGACGACACGTGAACACGTGCCAAGGGAGCGTGATTATTGGGCGATTAAGAAGGGAATAATCCGAAATTAAAGGAGTGGAGTTTGCGGCGACAAAGCCAAATTATGCCAACCGCGTTGTAATTTTAACTTTGTTGGCAAACTGTTTTTTTACGTATATAATAATAATATAATTACAACTCTTTAACTTAAATCACATAATACTAAATAGATCTAAAGTTAGTAGATTGTAGACAATCAATATCTAACGTCAGCTTTGTTAGTTGTTACAAGAAAGGAAAGGAACAAACATATAGAACCATAAAAGAAATGGGTTCCAAAAGCTGTTCTTAACATAAAATTGTGATTTTTGCCGTCCTTTTTTGAAAATTATGAGAATTACTATGCTTCTATGTGGTAAAATAACATGACTAATTAGAAACAACGGCAATAGAGTAGATTAAGAGCGGTCTTCATCTTATTACTCATGAATTTCATCTTATTTTGCCTTGTGATTATTTCGAAACAAGACACTTTAAATATGTTTAAAAAATCATTCCATTTGAATTAGGCAATACCAAGTACTCTAAATGTGATTTCCAGACATCTTATTATTTTTAGTTACTCATGCTTTATATATGGATGGTGTTTATATTATGCTCTATAAAGCAATTTTCATCATTATTAATTTATTACACGATATTTTTTGTCATTCGATATTATATGCAATGAATTTTTGCACTCTGCGCTGTGAGCAGAAGTTACAATAATTTGAAAGCCCATTAGAGACAATATAGTCCATTATAAAACCCATTCAGGCAAGACAACTCACTACAAAGGGAAAAGAATTAAATGTTACCATAATAAGAATTGAACTTAGACATTAAATTGATGAAATGCAAGTATATGCATATAAATGAATGTAACTTAAAAAAGCATCTAAAGTGGGTTGTGACTTGTTAATATGATAAGACAAGGTCAATGTTTGAGTTCTAAAGCGAACCTCGTAGATGGGACCTAAGTAAAAGTAAACACAAACATTTGAGTGAAACCGGCACCAACCTTTCAATGTGAAGTTGGCAATGGCAGCTACTTTAAATCCTATCAACAGACAAACGCGTAATGCCGTCTTCTGATTCATGTGTTAAAGCCCATGGTCTTGCAACAATTTCTTCTTTATATATATATATATATATATTCTACGAATCATTATTAAAGCAAAAGTAATTATATGCCATCCAAAAATAAATAAAAAAAAAACATTTTTGGAAATATAAAAGCTTGAACCTGAGTTTAAAAACTTATCATGTCATATGAAATAGGAACACATGATTAACATAATTATTTAAAAAATAATAATAAATAACGACGTGTTAGGTATTTTTATTGAGAAAATAGCCACCCGAATAAATGTGCAAAAGTAAACTGTGAACTTTTGTTAGTCCTAGCTTGAACCCAATCACTATCTTGTGGCGGCAACAAGGATTAAAATGAGGTTGGATTGAGTGAGGTTGAAGTAATTCCCATTTGTGAAAGGCAAGTCCCCAGTCTGTTTCATGTTAGTGCCTGCCTGTGGACCTGTGGTGAAAGAGAGAGTGGGGTCATAGATAGCTGTTTCTTTTAAACTTTGCAGCGGGTCGGTGCCATGCCAACACCACCACCCTTTAATGTGGATCTAAATGCAGCCAAAGATGATTTTTGATCCCACTCCTTTCCAGCTACGCACTACAGCAAGCAAAACGTGCTTTACCAAACTATAAATGGTTCCATTCTTTTTACGCTTCTGATATTACCATGACGCACTGGCATTGTAACCTAAACCAAAAGCTCAACTTTTTTACACGCAAGAAGACTCATGAGGTCAAAGTTTCTGGTCAATTGTATACGTAAGAACTCACAAGAGCTCAAAACTTCAAAATCTGAGTACCAAAAAAGACGTTCAGTTTTGATTTTTCCAATATATATATATTTAAGCAAAGACATCCAAAAGGGTTTTGATTATTAGAATTTTGAAGCCTCGAGGACAGCCCCTTACGATTGGTATAAATATTGCCAGATTCAGGTAAAGTAGTATGAGAAATTGAGTATGACCCCTTCAGATTGGCATAAATATTGCCAGATTTGGGTAAAGTAGCATGAGAAATTGAATGGCAAGTGGTACAAAGTTAAAACCGGTGTACATAATGATTTACTTGTGACCGAAAAAAAGTATTGACGTAGTGCGACTCTTATCATTCAGTTGACCTGGACAAGTCAAAAGTGCAAATAAAATTTGAGAGTTTCCCCTTAAAATTTTAAGCACCTTATTTGAATTAGTATCAAATGAAACATTCATATTGAAATAGAGAACTAGGCGTATCCACGCTCCAAGCCAAGCTGTGCGCAAAACACAGTGCCGAGGTTCCATTTTGGTGACCATAATGGAAGTGAAAATGCATACGAATATATTAAATCACATCGCATGTCGGCTTTACCTGAAGAAGTCCAAGAAAATGGATGCATTATTCCTTTTCCTGATTTAGCACTTAATTAAAGACATTTAATCAGCATCCACTTGTTTGGGGGGACGGACATACAATTATAGAGCATCGTATTACTCGTGCATAAAATCTACATTCTATTATTCATCGCTTCAAATGTCGATAGCTTACATAACACCTTCAAACTAAAATCCGTGAAGGTAAAGCAAGTTAATTCAGATATTTACATTAGGGATAATTCCCACAGTTTCAAAGCCAATCCCGAAACACTGGCACGTAATAAAAGCATAAAAGATAACCAAGCAGTATAACACTGAACAGCAGAACCTTAGCAGTAAGCCAGTTACGCAGCTTCTGCAAATCCAACTCTCATATTACCATAGTCAAATACTGTATGGAAGGGACCCATGAAAACATCTCCCAAGATCCTGCAATTAATTGAATATTAGCACATGAACTTTTCAGCATCCCACACCATCAAAACTGTTAGATCCCTACAAGATTTACTAAAACCAGATATTGCATTTATGACAAAAGGAATGGGGAAATACCAGAGGGGACCACGAGGTGGTGGCACATCAATGGCTGTGAATCCACTAATGCATTGAGCAGCTTCTCCCTCGCCCACTTTGAGGACATACTGATTGCCATCACCAAAAATATTCAAATCAATCAAAGCAGAACCCAAAGAATCTATCATACCAACATCTGACTCCTTTTCCATTATAAGGGGATAAGAAAATCCTGAAAAACCAGATAATAAATCATACCTGCTCTGGGGCGAGGTCAAAAACTTTTCCACCAATTGTAAAGGACACATTAGGCAATGTAGACACACTACCACAATCTACAGCTGATTCTCCCATTGGACTAGGCAATTTTTCACATAGCTGCAGTCACAAAATCGCAGCATGAGCAACATGAAGTTAATGTTACAGTATCAAAATAAATATGCCTGGTTTAGGTTGTTTACATCATTGACATAGTTAAGTATGCTCTCCTGTGTTATGTTCTGCTTGAGCTTATTCTGCATCCACACAACTGCCATCTCACAAGCAGAGCACATTGTGTCGCGCAAACCACCAGCCGCTTCATGATCATTCTCATTCACAACACTCTCAATGCCCATACTGATTGTATTAAAAAAAGATTCATAGGATAATTAACAGCATTAGATGTGTAAAAAGCAAACTAAACAGGTGCCATGAAAAGGAACATGGGATTCCCACCTTACACCTCTAGAACCATCGAATGTGCACAAACCAATCTGCGAGCAAATTTTTTCTGGTTGGTCCTGCCACACACAACAATAATGATGATATTTGATAACCCAACAGGAAAAAACAGTCAACAGAAAAAACAATTTCTTCAAGTCATGAAGGAAAATGTGGCGATAATGTGCATCAGCAACTTAGAAAATACCTTAGCTAATAGCATCTCAATTATGGTTTCTCCATATTGAGCAACAACAGCCTTGCATTCTTGACTAACAACTCCAGTTGCTCCAATGGCATGATTTACTTCAGCAATGATAGCCTGCAAATGCCATGCAAAAAGGATGCAAATTCAAAAACCCAGTAGACACTAAAATTGCTAGTCAAACACCAATAAACATCAAAACCATTTACAAAGATAAACATGCTACAAATTAAGATCCAGCATAGCATAAAGCCCAAAATAAAATAGGTGTGTAGTTCATTAGAGAACAGCATTTACCACAGTGCCTCAAAACAAATGGACAGCCAACAGATCAAAGACAAAAAAATTTTACATGCTGCCATCAACTAAGAAAATACATATATATATACACACACAGCAAAAAACCCAATTAGTAGCAAAGATGAGTATGATACCCAATCGGAGACATTATAAACACAATACTCTGTGATGATCATGGAAAATAAGAGGAGTATGGGGGCTCAGTAGTTCCTTTATTACATTCCTAGCCTCTTATGGAAGCAAGGGATCCACAGCCCCTCTCCATTAAAAATATACATGAAATTTTGCTTAGACCTATCGATGCAAATATATCTATAGATTAAAAAATATAAAAGAGTTGGGCAACAAGACAGCCTATTATAGGCAAGACAAGATAACCTAACACGTCAACCACTAGTCCACTATGCAGGTAAATTATCAAAAAGAAGCATGAAAAATACATACCGTAGGACCAGCCAACAAAGAAGTTCCAGAATCAGCAATTGCTGCACAGCCACTGCCGCAAATTCCTGAAATAATAAAAAAATAAGGATGGCAACTACAAAAAACAAGAAAAAGCCAAAAATGATTTCTAATTTGCTTACCAGTCGTTTTACCATCAACCAAGACATCACCCATGTCGAACTACCAACAAAAGGAAAGCAGGTGTCTCAGAATATTGCGATAACCTGATATCCGAATATAACAGATTATAAAAGTGATGTTCAGAGAACCAACCTGCCAATACCCTTTCTGTGTCACAGGGACATATGTGTGCTCACCCTTGAAATGGTTCGGGTCCACCCCACCAAAAACTATCTCACCCCCTTCGTCTTCATCGGCATTGCGGTTAAACCAAAATGAGAAGACTGGTTCTTTTACAAGCCCCTGATTGAACATGTTGTACCTATGCCAGTTGTAAAAGTCAGATGTTTAACCCATGAATCTCGAGTAACAATATAAGATATGATCAATTTGCAAACCAAAATGAACAATCTACTGTTATACAAAACAATTCAAATTACATACCAAACAGGTACAGCCTTTCCAACTGATATCTCTTGAAACCCAAGTCCAAGTATACCATCAAACTTTGCTACCAAGAATGTGATGCTGGGCTCCCTGGTTGCTTCAATAAATTCCTAAAATAAACCACATGATCAGTGACAGCAAACACCAACTGATGCCACTGCACTAATGCATTACCATATAAAGTAACCAAAAACTTCAAATTACCTGATTCTTGACCACAAGATCACCCACTTTCACATGGTCTTGACTAAAGAAGCCAGAAATAGCACCAGTTCCATAACGGATATCTGCTGGTTTTCCTGTGCCCATGAAATCATGTTATGCTCTGACCTTTGTGGGAAAGATTCTCCCACGAGACAATGAACATGTCAACATACATATAGACGCAGAGGAACACATGCAAACAAATAATCCAAAACGCAATATGTCCACTAGAACTACCATCAATAGCATCCATATTTTTTTTATATGCATATAGCAAGAAAGTTAATGTAAAAACAACCTTAGAGGAAGATCTACAGTTAATCAATCATCTAAAAACACGCCATATGTGCATGTACATCTTGAAGGAGCATGTGTTCAAAGCGAACCAACAAAAATATATCACAAAAAAAAAAAAAAAAAAAAAAAAAAAAATGCGAAACAGAATTAATCCAAAACGCATATTGTCATGAATAGACTACCAATAGTATCATGCATTCCATCTATTTGTTTTCTGAAATCGCATACCTGCCCCAGCCAAGTCTAATGTAAATCAACCTTTAGAGGAATCTATGATCTCTACAAGTTTACTCACTACATCTACACACAAACAGCCATATGTGCTACTGTTACATCCCTTGACAGCGAAGCTGCTGCTCTCAACGCGCGACCAACCAAAAATATCTCATACCAAAAAAAAAACAGGGAAAAAAAAAACACACGGATGTCTCAGCACACCCTATACACATTGCATGACTGAAGTAAATGAGCATAAAAATGCAAATTTGAAACAATCCACTCTTGATAAGTGTAAGCTTGATAATTCAGCCCTCTAATCAGACAACTTAGTGCATCGGCCAATCTGACGTGCCAAGCATAAAATTCTAAAAGACGTCTAGATCACATACGAATTCGAATTCGTATAAACATACAAAACACCTGAATTAAGATGCATTGATACAGATACCATTCTAATCATTGGTAGGTGCCGCATTAGACCATGGCGCAGCCTTGTACTGTGGGACATGGGCACTATAGCAGGCAACCTAGCAAGACAGATACACAGTCATCGAATTAAGGATATTTGACCCTTCTTGCAATGCATACAACGAAAAGCAAAAAAAAAAAAAAAAAAAAAAAAAAAAAGAATGTTCTACAACAATACACATGCATGCACAGAAGCATGAGCATAAAATGCAAATATGAAAACAAATCCACTTTGATAAGTGTAAGTTGATATTCAGCTAGAAACTATGCAATGGCAATTGATGCAACAAAAATCTAAAAGCACCTAATACAAGAATTCAAAATTCCATAAATACAAACACTAATTAAGATGCATTGACATACCATTCTTCTTGTAGGTGCTTGAATGGCCAGCCTTGTACTTGGAATGGAAATAGCAGGCAACCTGAAGACAGAAATTAGATAATGACATTCTGCAATGCAACACAGCAAAGCAAATAGTAACCCTCTGCCAAACTAAGACAAAGAACTTACTGAAAAGTAGCACTTGGAAGAGGGCACCCATAGATTAGAACTACCAGTGTCAAATATCACAGTGAACTTTTGTGGGGGAGTACCAATACCAATCTCACCAAAGTACTGGGCATCCATGTAGTTCTTTAGTGATACTATGTCTATATCTTCTTCGTCACCCAAATTCCCATGAAGATGATACTTTCTAATTGAAGCTCGCAAAGCCTCTCCTTCCTTGGACTCAAACTGGGCAGCAACACGATTGTTTTGATCAAATTTCCTCTTTTTAAGTCCAATTCTAACCAATCCATCGTTGGATGCAGCAAAAACAAAAGGCACCAAAAGGAAGCAAAGGAAAAGAACAGCAATGACTGGCTTTAGTGCTGTTCCCATGCTGATACTGAGCAATTCAAAAACAATACACAAAATCAATCACAATTGATCCAAAACTCTAAAATGAACTATGACAAATATCATAAAAACAAAGAACCAGCTTCCTGCTACACTCTCAGCCAACTCCTACTCAAACAAAAGCTAATGACCTAAGCTTGAGACACATATCCAAATCAAAGACAAAATCCCTCAGTCAAGTTTTACAGACAAAAAAACCAGCTTATACATGTGGAATTGGAAACTTGAAAACATTTATATTTGACAATAAAATAACAGTTTCCGCCAAATGATAAAATCAACCTTCTACAAATTGTGTTCAGCCAAACTTTTGAAAACATAGTTGTGTTCAACTAAATCCATTATAGAATTTAAACTCCAAAATTAATTTTTCATCTTTTCCTTCCCCAAAAGGAACAATAAACGAACATTTGTGATTGATTATTACATTAATAACTTCTGAATCTCCATACCCCACGCTTACACTTCAATCAACAGAACAAAAACATTTTTCTAAAGCTTAATTTAAAGCATTTACAAGCTTTGCCGGGTCCCCTAAAAGATCAAAGACCACAGACAAAACCAAAAACATATCCCTTTCCCACAGATTCTAAGCAACCAAACAAAACCCCATCAGAAAAAAAGTCAACTCACAAAAAAGCTATCAAATGAAAAAAAAAATCCAATAAGGAAAAGAAATACGGAAATCAAAAATAAGAAAAAGCTTATATTCCGATGAACAATCAACATGAAATTACAGAGTAATCGAGCAATTAAGAACAGAAAGTACTCACAATTTCAGGCGATCGACAAAGACAGAGACGATGAGAAAGAAATTTTTTGAAGCTACCTAGAGGGAGTGAGAATATAATGAAACTATAGATATTTACGTGAATAGAACAGTCCGATTTTCTCGGTTCGGTTTTTCTAAAAAGGTCCAAATTGACTTCACGGGGAAACTTGGAACCCGAGAGCCGTACACGTGTTGATGGTATATTCTTTTCTTATCTGCTAAGAGTTCAGAGGATTTTGATTGAATACAGCTCAAGACCATGAGGATCAATGTTTGTTACTGTCTCAACCAATTTATTGTGAGGATTTTAAGGACATGTTTGGTTGCTTTTGACAAAAAAAGGAAAAACGTTAACCGATTGCTAATTGGTAGTTTCTCAGGACCGGACTGTAAATAAGAATTTCTCCGAATTTTTTAATTTTAATTTTTCTTATAGTCTCTAAGTTTATTTATGAAATTTGATATTACGAATTGAAAGTTTATTTTTATTTTTTTTTTTAAGATTTTTGATAGTTTTATTCTATATTAATGGATTTAGAGAGGACCAAGAGGCATTAAACATATAAACAAAATAAATTTTCATGGGTATATAATCCGCCGCAAAACCATTTAAAGCAAATTTGAGTTGTAACAAGCATGTATATTAAAATTTCAAATTGAATTTACATATGAATATATTAAAAGAAATTTTAAACGGTTTTAAGAGATGTATGAATATTGAAATTTTAAATGAATTAAAAGAAAGCTTGATATATCAATATTCTTAAGCTAGCTTATTCCGTTGAGCAAATGAAGTTTTTGTGTGTGAAATAATGAAGTTGAAAGAAAAGAATATCTCTTGTCTTAGTTAGTTAAGAGGAGTCATGGAAAGAACATGTTTAAATCACGACCAATTCCTTTTTCAAATCCTGCTGTAGCTGCACGAGTCCTTTCCATGTGTCATAAATGACCTACGAAGAGGAAGAACCCTAGAACAAAATGAGAGATAGCTAACCAACTTCTAGGAGAGACAAAAAGAAGGAATTTCATAATAATAAATTGGGAGACGAGCTCTTCTTAATTTATTTAATTACTCAATTCAACTTTGTTTGACTAGAGATAAGTCATAACTATTCATAGCAAGAAAATGAAATCATTATGCAAAATTAATCGCAATTGCTTGATCTTCAGGCTTTCGTGCATGAATTGAAATTGTTTCATTGGCTAGCCGGTGACTACTTAAGCAAGCTCAATTTATATATCTAAACAAACCATCAAAATCCAATAATGGTAACCAACTAGTATTTTCTTCCACATATATATAATTAATTTCGCCATACCAAATAATATTATAAATTAAAGAAAACAACATTTCAACTTTAAGAATAATATTTTTAAATGTACCATATCGATACGAAAAAATGTGTGTTTTAAAATATATATAACCTAATGAATGACTTAATTTTCGTACATGCGTAGTAATTTGAAAATACTTCTAATTATAACTATCAAGAGGAAAAATCTTAACTATCTCTTCTTTTTATTGATGGATTTAAAGTAACAAATATTATATTCGATTTAATTATATTGAATTTCAAAAATTTTTAATTTTTAGAAGAGAAACAAATATTTTGCATTTATGTTTTGGGATGTACTACAATGTATTTCATTATCTAAATTTTTTTTTATTGATTAAATAAGAAACATATATAAAACCATATACACATGAGAGTTACAGGTAAAATTACTTCATAAAACCGTGCAATTTTGTAAAGAAGCAGAAACTTACATAATAATACACACATATTTCAAAATCAATGTGAGATGTTGAAGGATCAGCTCACTGTCTGGTGACAGTGAGTAGAAGACTCACATAACATATAAGTTTAATTAATATTAAAGTTATTGCAATTTGAATTTTAGAAAGCTACGCAAGCTTAAATGCTATAATTAGGTATAGATTAGATTAATCAAACCGTGACATTTCCAAAATATGCTTAAATCCATGCCCTAGATAGAAATAGGCGTGTCCAGGTAGCACCAACCTGACCTAACTTCCTAAAGTTGGATCACGTTGTTTAAGCAACAAAGAGTCAATGTGCAGAAGTATATGTATATATATATTTCAAACTCGCAATTCCTTCATTACTTTAAGAATTAATTTAAATAATTAATGTCGTATTAGTAAGGTTAAACCCACAGTTAGTAGTTTATTATATATATTTCTAGTTAGTTTAAGTGGTTCTTTAATGAAAATGACTGAATTGTTAATTTATAAATGTTAATAGCATTTCGGGTCATTTTAAAAATGGAAAAATTGGTGCTAGCTATAGGTTTCATAATCAACTCAACTACTCTTTTATACTTATGTTAAGTACCAGTTCGAGAGTCAACACCTTAAACTAGCTAGGGTTTCTCCTTCTACTGGTAACTCATGCTCATAAGTAAAGTTAGGGAAAATTCTTGCTATACCCGGTGTATAAGTGGTCTTATATACCCAGCCAATTAAAAAAGAGTTTTTTTTAAAACATTTTACGGTTTTTTTTAATGTATGATTAAAAATACTTTCATTTAAAGTTTGTAATTAATTTGGTGTATATGTGAGCTTATATACCAAGTGTAGATAAGTCTTTGCCGGTTAGATATACATGATTCCAAGAAAAACCTAAATATATATAATCTAGTCATATTATAGAGAATAATTAAAGCTAATTCACCCATGGTCCCTCGTCTCATAGTAACTAGCTAGAGAATTAATTTATGTGCCCACAACTTTTTTGTTTTTTCAAGTAGGTTTTGAATTCGAGAACTCTCAGTCTTGAGACAATTTTAATATCACTAAGTTAAAACTTAATCACAAGCTCACCACCAAATAATCCCAGCACTTCTCTGAAGCTTAGCAATGGGTGTTTTAGTGCTCAGTATTTGCATGTGCTTTGCTTCCTATATAGGACTGTGGTGCTATCTGCATATGATATTGCAAGTGATAATATGAAAGATGATAGCTAACTGACTAATAAAATTGGATATCATTCTATTGCAAAAATTAAAGAAGAAAAAAAAAAGGATGAACTGAAACAAAACCCATAATTTCATATTGAAAAAAAGAAAAGAAAAGAGAAGAAAATTCCTCATTGCACTATACACTGTCCAGTTAATATAATATTTAGATATGTTCTCATACATTATTGTCATTTATTTAGCGAGAACTTATCAACACTGTTATTTATAGTGCAGCCATTGTTAGCACTGTTATTCGTTTGATGAACATTGCCGCCATTAACAATGGAACTAATAGCTGCAACTAAAGCTGCAGTGAAGTTAGGGTCTGCAGTAATATCACTAATAGTATCCAAAAATTCAGGAACATGTTGCTGCTGTGACAACTCCATCTCTTGAGGTCTTAAAAGTCCTGAAAATTTAATAGATGGGTTATTAGTATCACACACAGCTTGAGCAGAAACAAGCGGTGCAGAGGCGAAACTGTGTAGGAAATAGGGTTGAGATCTTTGCAAGGGATTGAAAACTTGAGGTTGATGAGTAAGGTCTAACGTTACAGTAGGAAATGGGGCTGAAGCTGAAAGTGTTGCGACGCCTGGAAAGGGGTAGGAAGGGAAAGTTTTTGTAGATGAATTAATGTTTGTTAGCCCATCTTGGCTTTGCATAGATCCTGAAAGTAGCATTTGTGCAGCTGCTGATGTTGTAGATGCCATTGCTATTGCTGCTGGAGGAAGCGGATGGCTGTGATAACCTTCATACGTTGTAACAAGTATTGCTTTGTTCTCTGCACTTCTTTGTACCTATATATATAGTTTAACGATGGACATTAAATGGACATAGACTTGAACCCCTCGCGATTTAAATAAAAAAATATTCTTTATATTAGGGTTAAAGTAGAAAGAAAAGAAATTAGGAAATTGGAAGATTATAACCTATTTTGGATTCATCTATACAAAATGAAAGGTAAATTATAAAAGAAAAAGATTAGGCAGAAATAAAATAATTTACTTGTTTGCGGACGGGGCATCCGGAAGCCATGGTACATCGATAATAAGCTCGAGGACATGGGTTACCTTTAGCCATTTTTTGTCCATATTTTCTCCATTGGCATCCATCAGAGATCTACAACATATAAATTGAAGATATAATTAATAATAAATGAGTATTAATTAAGCTAATAGTACTTCCCTGAAAGTACTATAACTAGAAGTAACTCATATAATGGGCATGTATGCGTGTTCGTGCGTGGTGTTGCTTTCTTGGGTTACTTTTCGTGTATAGATATATAATGAAGTTAATCAACTTTTTCAAATTGTAAATTAAGAAAATGAAATTAATTAATTAAGACAATAATTGAACTAAATATGTTTAGCGCTCCTACCATGGATGCCTCTGATCGAGCTCGAACGGAGACACGAGCTTTTCTCATCATACAAGTTGAAATAGTTTCTGGTTTCTCCTCTTCTTCTTCTTTATCATTATCACCATTTCTTGAAGCATTAGCATTATTATTAAACTTGGGGACTTTGTTAGGAATCCATCCATGAACTAATGCTTCTTCTGAAATATCTCTATCAATTTCATTGATATAGCTACTGTTAATCATCATTGGTGACCTATTATTATTATTATTAGTACTATCATATTCCATTGACTCAATTATATTAGGGGATGATAATATTGCACTGCTCTGCGATCTTTCGTCCTTGATTAACTGTGATGTATGATCATCAGCCTTACCCAGATCCAGAAAATGCCTTGCAACCTAAAAAAATTATTGCAAATTAATATTGATAACTATTTGTCATCAAAATATATTTATATATAGAAAGATTAACTAAATTACCTCCTCTTTCGGCACTGTAATAGGCTTTTGATTTTGGTTTCGTTGCGTGAGTGCAACAAGCTGCATCTTTAGGGAACGGTAATTGTGATTAACCTGATTAAGCATGCCTTTTAACCGCTGATTTTCTGTGTTCATTTGGTTTATTTCGGCCTGCAAAATTGCCAGCTGCACCAAACAAAATAAATAATCAAGATTCTTTTAATGGGAAAAGTATCAAGAAAATAAATTAAAATTAAAATTAAATATTTAACTTCAAAACTAAAATTCCAGATCAATTATAATTAATATTTTATACCTACCTCTTTCTTTCTTTGATTATAACCTTGCTTGTTTTGAGATAATCCATCTTCCACTAATGATTTGTTATCACTAACAGAAGTCCTTCCCGTTAGAAGATTTAAACCAGTCTGTGTGTAAAAAGAAAAGCTTAAAACATAATTATCAAAAAAGAGTAAAAAACGATTATGAATAATCTATAACTTTTACATACATGTATATCTTCTTCTTCATTATCCCGTTGCTCTTTCTTGACAGTATCAGCAGCCGGTGGCGGATTAGGTTTATGATTGGTATGATGAGAAAAGAAATCCATTTCAATAAGCACTCCTTTTCCATGAGTGGAAATTGAATGATTATCATTAGTTATGGAGTCCATAGAAATGGTATTTTTATGTGTTCATAAGAAAAGAAGGAGAGAAGAAGAAGAAGAAAGGGTTAATATCAGAAATTAGAAGAAAGAAGTAAAGTTGAAAAAGAGAATGGAAGACCGGGCATTAAAAGGAGAGAAGTGGACTAAGACCCAAATAAATGTGAAATGAGTGATGATATTAGAGAAGATGAATATGTAGAACATATTAGACTTAGCCGAAGAGAATGAGGTAAGGTCGTGCGTCAATTTGGACAGGTGGCTGCGGCTTTCTTGTTCACATTCTTGAATGCTTAGAGAGAGAATTTTTGTTTAGTGAAAAAAAGAAATAATAGACATATATTGCCATGTTGGTCATAAGGACTAAGATCTCATTCTGTATGCTCACGTTTAGAACAGAGGGAGTTGAAAGTAAACTTACACATAATATAAACAAAATAAATCTATAGAATTTAGAAACTGAAAATAGATAAAAAATTTGTTTGTAAGCCCGTACTATAGATCAAATTAATAAAAATAGATTTTTTTTTCAGAAATTATTCTTATTTAATTTTTTTTTTCAGTAAATGATAAAAATACTTTTATTTTAAAAAAAAAAATTACTTTTTTTTATTGATTTAGTATATGTGAAGTGACTTAGCTAGAAAATTCAACAAGAGGGCCTAATTACTGTCCATAAGAATGAGAAACAATTAAAAACCACATATTATTATAAACACCAACACCTCAAGGAAAAATGATTTTTAGGGTTTTTATAAGACAATCAAAATACTCTATTTTCTTTTTAAAAATTGAAGGCCATTGCCTCCCTTGACCCATTTCTAAATCTATTATTTATATTAATACGTGGATCATAAACCGTATATAAACAAGTCATTTATGAAAAAGAAAAAGAAGAGAAAAATAGTAGATGAGAGCCATGGATTTTAAACCACAAAAGTGGCTAAAAGTAGGGCTATAGCTATATATTTTAATTTTTCAAAATCCACAATTGTAGGATGCTCGTGTAAAAATTGGATTCAATTAAAAATTCAAAGAGGGCTATTACGAATCGGAGCAAATCAGATATGGTATAGCTGATATTCTCGCTTATATAAAAATAAGAGGTCTTGAGTTTGAGTTCTTTATACTATAAAAATTTCACTAATTTAGTGAGTTAAGAGGAGGACTAACCTTAATTTTTGTTGTATAGCTCGTGGTGTTATTTCGATGCATTAATACTCTTAATGAATAAAAAGATAAACAAAGACGGTATAAAAGAAAATTTTTAAATTTGAGGTGGGCAAAATTTTTTTTTTAAAAAAATATTATTTTGATAGGTAAAATTTTTAAAAATTTTGAAAGGAAGAGACCCAAGTCCGAAGTCCCTACCCCTCCTTCAATCCCATCTCGTGCAGTCAGACACCCCATACAGCAAGTAATGCAAATTCATTTTCTCTTTTTGATACACTTTACAAGATATACCCTAAGTAATAAAATTAGCATTCATTTATTTACACAAATTTTAATTAAATAAATAAATTTTATTATTGATATATATTATATAGCTGCTCAGAAATATGACTATTCTTTCTAAATTCAGATTAACATAGACAAAAATCATAAATTGCGGCTATATATAATGGTGACATATTTTTGGTGCAAAAGTAAAAAAGAAATAATAAAAAGAAAGAAAAAGGTTTAGGTGCCAGAAAACATATCAAGTCATTACCTTGTCTGAAAAATATTATCCATTGCATCAACCCAAAAAAGCAAATTCCAAGGAGCTAGGTTTTTTTTTTACATTTTTCTTAATTTTGGGTCTTCTAAATAAAAATAAAATGAGAATCTTATTTATTTTCTTTTAAACGTAGCATGGAACGGGCCATGGGGGATTTAGTAAAAGAGGAGCTAGTGTGGTGTGTGTCGACACCGCCGTCCCGATTGGCTCGGCGGATTACACGTGAGGGGAGAAAGAGGCCAATAGTCAATAGTCAACGACACAGATGGCTATGCTTCACTGATCACTGCATTTGGGTCCCACACTTAATTTGACTCCTCACGTTTTCGATCATATACGTGCGGTGCTAGATTAGACTTTTACTCCACCCCACCATTTTTTATTCATACTCCCTCCAATCACAAAATTCAACAGTATTTCCTATTTTCTCTTTTTTTTTTTAAAAAAAATATTAATTATTTAATCTGTAGATAATAATAATTTCTACTCTTTGACGAGGATACAGACTTTTTTTTTTTTTTGTTACCAATAATATTTTATGCTTACGGTGTGCAAACTGAAATCAAATCGCAAAAATCAAATTTAACTTTTTATTGAAATCAAATTGGATCAAACCATTGATTCGATTTTTAAAAAACAATTTTTTTATAACAGCCGATCCAAAGACTGAAAAATCAAAATTATAGAAGATTAAAAACTGAGGCGAAACTGAAAAATGAAAATAGTTCGATTTTGTTTTCAATTTTTCCAAAGCATGCTCATCCTATTTGATGCTGCTAAGAATAATATATGAAATTACATTTTTTAAATAGCTCAAGTAAAGGATTTAAGGATCATTGATTTGGAATTCATTTTGAATATCAAATCTAAATTAACAATTTACTAGACTGAATGATTAATATTCGCTGCCTAATTTTGCTTTTAATTTTTCTTTTTTTCTCAATTTTTATTTTTTAGATTTCCAATATTTAAAAATCCAATTTTGCCCCTGATCATAACATATAAATTTGTTTTTATCAACAATTAACATCAACTTAGGAAATTAAGATTTGAAAACGATGAAATGACTGATAAAAAAATAATAAAAGGTTTGTACTAATGGTATGAAACTAACGAAAGCATACTTACCAAATCAAAGAATTCAAGATCCAGAAGTAACATATATATAATAATAAATAAATAATATTATCTCTCTCAGATAGTTAATATGTAGTTGACAAATTATAACTATCCATACATTAGACGTTGAGGACCGCATATATACAAACATACTAAAATTTAATTTCTAGGTTTTGAAGATAATTTATATAAATCACATCTTATTATAGGAAAAGTCAAAATACTAGTTTGTTCTCACATTATAATCTTATCTCATTTGTAAATTTCCACATTGATTTCTTTGCTAAGAATGCTAACTTGAATGTTCATTATAATTAAGGTTAGACGATTCCGTCAAATTGGTAGATTTTTTTTTTTTTATTCAATCAGTACTATGTTCAATAAGCTGGAATAATATTATGGATTACGTAACAAAGAGTAATCATCCCCTTAACTCACCAAATTAGTAAAAACTTTTGTATTTAAAAGGACTCATGATTTAAAACATTTCAATTCACATATTAACGAAAAGGCTAACGCGATTACACTCGATAGAAAATCGATAAACTTTAATTAAAAATTTGTTTTAAAGACCAAAAGATATTCATATCAAAATTAGAATATATATTTAGTTAGCAAATAATTTTAATTAAATTAAACCTCGGATTAATGTTTATTACCTTAATTAAAGAGTATTACATATGATGACAGCTTACTTAATTAAACAAGTCCATGACTAGAATAAAGTGTGAGGTAGCAAATTGACCAATTAATAAAAAAATTATATATATGTGAATTTATCTTTTTTTTTAATTTCATGTATTCGTCCAAGAAAAAAGGAAAAGTGTCAAGGTTATATATGATTGTTATCAATAAAAAAATGTTGATGATCTGTATTTGGTCAAGCTTACTATTCAAATGGTGATTGTAATAATTTGCCTGTATTTGGTCAAGCTTACTATTCAAATGGTGATTGTAATAATTTGCCTGTATTTGGTCAAGCTTACTATTCAAATGGTGATTGTAATAATTTGCCTGTATTTGGTCAAGCTTACTATTCAAATTTGTGTCATTTTTTCCCCTTAATTTCAAACTTTGCTTAAGACATGCTACTGCTGTTCATGTCTGGTTCTATTCGGTTAGACGATTCCGTCAATTGGAAGTAGCATTTTTTTTTTTTTATTTCATCCAAGTCACTATGTTCCATCACGCTGGAGATACATACTATATGGGTTACGTACAGGACGTAATCTCCCACACGTTATACCCAACACACACCTTTCGTCACCCTTTTGTCTTTACAGGTACTCAAATGCTTTAAAACACATTTCATTCTCATACTTCCGAAACGGCTCAACAGGCCTGATTCCTCGCTCGGCAATCATCACCTTTCGAACCTTTACCCCTTTAGTTTTTCCGGCCCCACGATTTCTCCTCGAAACAATTGCTATAATTAGTTAAGCCTTTTTCATTAACATCCACCTCGGGACTTCCTGTTTATTTACTTACACTTACAGCGTATTCCGTTGTAATGCCAGTCTTATCCTTACTTTCACACGTCCAAAATGGTACTAAGATCAAGTGTGCGGTAGCAACACTTGACATTACTCCCCATTACTTTTTTGTGACTTTCTTTTTTTTTTAATTTCCTGATTTATGTCCAACCGGCGGTGTCACAATGGTTTATTATGTTGTTATACGCATACAATGTTTGATGCTCTGATACTGTACATTTGGTCAAAAGCTTACTCTTCAATGGTGAATTTGTTACTTACATTTGGACTGTATTTGGTCTGAGTTCACGTATTCCATGGTGCTATGTATATTGTAACACAACTGCCGCTTGACCTTCCAATTAGGGATCATTTTCTCTCTCTCAATTACAAGCAAAGGAAATATAACATTCTAATTCTCTCGACTTTGAGCCTATATTGATGTGAAATTTGTTTAATATATTTATCACAACTCTGTGGTGTTCGATTTTATTGAAGATTTTACTATCTGGTGAAAATGACCTTTTTTCTAAGTACTGGAAGTCAAACACTTTATAAGAGGATTTAATCTATTTCATAATCATAAAACTGGTTAATGCCGATATAATGTTTGACCTAACAAAGTTAAACCTGTATTTGGTCAAGCTTACTATTCAAATGGTGATTGTAATAATTTGCCTGTATTTGGTCAAGCTTACTATTCAAATGGTGATTGTAATAATTTGCCTGTATTTGGTCAAGCTTACTATTCAAATGGTGATTGTAATAATTTGCCTGTATTTGGTCAAGCTTACTATTCAAATGGTGATTGTAATAATTTGCTAACTAAATTGAAAAATTCAAATTAGGGATCACTTTTCATCATCATAAATTATTACTAATTAATTAACTATAATTAGCCTAATGGATTTTTAATTTTCAAAATTGAATTATTATGAAGATATTCCCATATCTGGGCATGCATTTTCTAAGTAAACTGAGAGTCAAACTTGGCCTAATCATATTCTAATCTCTGGTTAATGAAGTTTGCCTACAAGTTACACTAATTACAAACAAGGACGAAAACAGAAAATAAAAAAGAGGAAAAAGCCATTTAAAAGTCAATTAACCTTAATTAGCTAAAAAGAAAAATTGTGTTTTGAAAAAGAATTGCGAGCCATGACGGATACATGCAATCATTTTCTCGACTGTTGATAATTATCGACAAAGATTAAATTTCATTAATAATAAAATTTTTCACTTTTAATTAATTAATTAAAAAGAAAAATTAATAACCACAATAATTTGAAGGTCAGTAGATTTTTTAATTTGTTGTGTTGTTTTGATACACTCGTGCACTTAATAACCCATAATTTAATGTCAATAAAGTTGAATTGGGTATCTCTTTTTGCCAACTCAAAACGTGGAAAAATGATTCCTATATTATAATGAAACGTGGGTAGGTTGAATGTTGAAGGAAGAAAGGCATTGGACTTTGAAAAGTGGCAATACATACGTATAATGGATTCCAATATAATACCTTGTTTTATATATGTTTTCATATCATAGGTGTCTCAAAGTGGATAATCTTACTTGCACAGCAAGGATTTTTTTAGTGTACAAAAATCATCAAACACTCTTGATTTTTTATTTAAAGAATCTGAATTCTTTGCACTTAAATCAACTTAGACATATCTTTGATGATAAAATATTAAAGTTGCATAATATCAATATAGGACAATAAAAGAATTGAACAAATATATAATTTCACTATAAACTTTGTTACTTTAATCTTGTAGTTCCCTTAATTTTTACTTTGACTTATCAAACGCTTCAACTTATAAAATTATTTATATTAAAACACTTTAATTTTTAAATTTATTTTATTGAATATTTCAACTTGCAAATTAGATCAATTAAACACTCATTAAAACATGCAAATTATTATTCTAAAAAGTCGTGCTAATTACATATCAAGTCAATATTTTGTAGATAAAAAGTAAAATCTTTAAAATTATTGATATTAATGTCGAAAAGTATATAATGTTATCAAAATTTATATGCATGATAAGTTATCCGTAAAGTTCAGTGTGCCACAAAATTAAAATTGCAAAATTCATGGGTGAATTCATATATTCAATCTAAAATAATCTATATAGTACAATACATGATTGGAGTTGCAAATTATTTTAATCCTTACTTACCAAATTGTTATATCAGTTTGAATTGGTTATGGAGCCCATTTTTATATTATTTTAATCAAAATTTTAATTTTAGTTTACTTTTAGAGTGCAATTGTAATAAATTGATAAGTTCAGAGTGTTGTAATTCACTTTTAGAGTGCAATTAAACCCTAAAAGTAAATTACTGTAATTGCAACTGCATTGACAAGTTCAGAGTACCCAGAGTATAAAAGTCGATTTAGAGTGAAATTACGACTACCTAGAAAAGTTAAAAAAGTTAGGAGTGAAATCAATGGTTAGCCCGTCAAATTCCTGAACTCTCGCAAGCAATCAAATTTAAGGTTGAACTTCAGCAAGAAAACTTTCAAAATGAATCCTTCTTCCAACATTACTTTGGTAAAATATCCTCATACAACCTGAAACTTGTTACACATTTCTGCAAAAAATTATAACCCGGAAACCAAAAAGGAACAAGCCATAAAAAGATGGAAGTTGTTGAGGCTATACTCACAAGGTTGCCATCAACATGGCACGGATTTTGGCTCGAAGGTCATTAGAAACTTCAGCAGTTTCGGACTGCTGAGATTGCGGCTTTACCTCTTCATATGATTTTGACAAGTCCACAGAAGCTTCCCTACTAGCATCATTACCACCCTCGCTAACTTTTGATTGATCTGATTTTGTGAGAATCTCTCCTTCCTCCAAGTCTGCTTCTCTTTCTGACCGAGATCTCTTTCTATGCTTTAGTGATTTTTCTCGATGCCGATGCCGATGCTCATTGCCATAGGAGCTACTGTGCTTTTGCTGATCTTTTGAGTGTCTATGCTCATCATCATCCGAATCATGCTTGTGCCTATGCCTCCATCTAGAGTGCTTTCCATTGTCTAATGAACTCTCATACTTGTGCCTATGTCTAGAGTGCCTATGCTCATCTTCAGAACTATCTCGATCATGCTTATGTTTATCTTCAGAACTATCTCGATCGTGCTTGTGCCTATTTCGAGAGCGAGTGTATTCCTCATCAGAGCTGTCATGCTGATACCTCTGTCTAGAGTGCCTTTCATGATCTAATGAACTGTCATACTTGTGCCTATGTCTAGACCGCCTATGTTCATCTTCAGAACTATCTTGATCGTGCTCATCAACGGAGGTGCTGGTGTCCTTACGCTGATGTTGAGATTCTGTGTCTTGGGAAGAAGAGCGTCTTTTCCTGTGTTTATGCCTGTCCCTGCTGTGACGAGAAGAGCGATGGGATCGCCTCTTTTTCCTAGAATGCTTGTGATTGCTGTCCTCTTCCTCCTCCCGCTCTTCCTCCTCTTCTTCTCTTTTAGATCTAGAACGGTAGCTCCTCTTTGATCTTCGTTCAACATGTTCATCAGCAAATCCTTTCTTTTCTGGTTTCTCAATCTTATTACAAGCATCAACATCTAAGGGAGCCAAACTGCTCTCCCTTTCTCGGCCAGTAAGTGGTAAAACCTCAGAATCCGAACCGGATAAAACAGATTCGGATGGTTCTGCAGATAACCCTCGTGACGGTTCACTTTTTAAGGGAGCAGCTCCACTTTTTATCAAGGCTGCAAACATCTTCGCTCGTTTTAGTCTCTCAGCCTTTAACTTCTGCTCTCTGGTCAAGCTTGCTTCCGAAGAATCAGCCTCACTTGCTGTGGCAACAGCTGCTGACTTTGCTATGGCTTTAGCTACAGGGATAGGAACACCAGGCAACCCATTCTGAGCTGGCTTCGGATTTGAAGTTTGAGGTTGAGCTGAAAGGAGGCTGTCCCCACCTTCACTGCTAGGACATTGACCAATACCAGTTATTGCCTTAGATAGTACTCCTAAATTAGGATGTTTAATGCCTTTCGTAGCCGCCTGAAGAATAGCAGCAGCAGCTGCTGCATCCACACTAACTCCAACTTGTGGCTGAGGGACTTTTGAAGGCGGTTCCTGTCCATCTTTCTTTGACTTCCCAATTACCATTTTAAACTTTTCTTTCCTGTCAGATTCATATGGTATGTCAGATAAGGACAGGGCATCAGTTTCCTTGGATCCAGTTTTCTTGTCCAACCCATGCCCCAGAGAATCATTCTTTTCCGGAATGCTCTTGCCAGATAACCTTGACTGTAACCAAGAATAAGTAAAAAACATCAGAAAACTAAGGCAAATCAAATTTGCCTTTTATGCACAGCATTTGAAAATTAAATTGTCATAAAACTTCACAACAAATTTAACTTTACAACCAATACAAGTAATTTTAGATATTAAGACGTTTTTGCAAATAAAGAAGTTCAAGAGAATAATCTACACATCTGATCACTGAATAAGATCCGATTGTCCATAACATGATTACCATAATAAATTAAAGTGAAGTTCCCTCTTCAGATTCAATAAAATATCGGGCTAGAAACAGAAATGTAATTAATTTGTAGTAAATTCATACGAACTGTGCTTAACAATGCTCCTTATGAACAAGAATCCGATGCAAATAACTCATAATTAGAAGAACTAAAAAATTTAGGAAGAACATACCTCTTGAGCTTTTTGGAGAGCTTGTATATAGTAAGGATGATATTGGTTGGAAGGCAGAAGGAATGGAAACCTCCCATGCTTTGTGTCTTGCTGAACCAGAACAGCCTCAAATTCTTTTCCATTTCTCAGAATGAACTCAACTATCTTATCAACTACTCTCTTCAAATCAGATGGAGGCTCTAAAATAGTTGTCTCAACCTTGGACAGGCCAGGGGAAATAAGAGGTTGCAACTTATTCACAGTAGAAGATACTGAACCAACAGAATCACCATCCTTCTTTACCCCAGTTGCAGTTCCTGTCTTGACTGTACTGATGGAACGATTTCTTTTTATGACATGAGACTTTTCCTTCAAAGAAGGAAATGAAGGCTTGGAAAGGGGCTCAGCTTTTGAAGTTGAAATTAAAGAAGAATTATTTTGTACAGATCCAACAGAAACAGCTAAACTATCAGATGTTAGTTCCTCAAGGTTATTTTTGGTAAGAGCTGGGGCATTCTCAGTTGCACCTTCTTCATCCTCTCCAGTCCCATATACAGAACCAAGCAGTGACAATGCACCACCCACACTACTCATCTGATCAAGACCACTATCAGCCTTGTTCTCTTCTTCTATAGCTCTTCCATCAGTGCCTGATCAAGACCACTATCAGCCTTGTTCTCTTCTTCTATAGCTCTTCCATCAGTGCCAGACATAAGAAGTTCTTGGTGATCAAGACCACTATCAGCCTTGTTCTCTTCTTCTATAGCTCTTCCATCAGTGCCAGACATAAGAAGTTCTTGGTGATCAAGACCACTATCAGCCTTGTTCTCTTCTTCTATAGCTCTTCCATCAGTGCCAGACATAAGAAGTTCTTGGTGATCAATAAGAAATCTGAAGTAAGGATGAAGGTTATGATCAGGCATCAAGAATCCAAATGTTGGGTTGTCTCCCTGTTTTACTCTCAAAACAATTTCTGACTGCCCACCATGTTTGCTCACAAACATGGCAGTTCTCGCAATGATCTGGTGCACCTTCTCTGTTGGAGGCTGAAAAACAGAAAAAAAAAAAAAGAAAAAAAATTCTCTCTCAACAATGGAAAATTTACAAAAAGAGAAATACCAGGAAAAAGATATCTTACTAAATTGTCTCAAGTAACAACCCAATGACTCATAAAATATATATTCAGACAACCATTAAGATCAAGAAACAGAACTCTGAAGATATCTATCCTCTGATCACTAGAGGATGCCTGATAAAGTAACAAATATCTATCATCCTAATCCCACCTGTGCGGCCCCTTGTCAAGACATCAAAAGAAGACAAGGTGCCTGAGAAATGGCAACCTTGAAGAACTCCCGTCCTGCTCCGAGCATCTGAAACTTAGACATGGTAAGCCTTAGAAAAACACATGCACCTTAGATATCTATCATGTCGCCACACTAGATAAGAGCATCAAACAAACAACAGCATCAGGACAAATAAAATTATTAATAAGTAAAGAGCAAGCAGGGTGCGTGCCTACCAGTTTTTGAAGTAAATGTTCAGGGACTGAGAAAGGCGGCTGGAAACCAGACTCAGTGTCATTGTTCTTCAGGTCAGAGGATTCCATGGAGCCTCCATAAGAAAAAGCAACTGTATGATAGCCACCAGCATTCTCTCTTTCTGCTTCATTTTCCACATCTGAAAGCAGACAAACGGAAATTAAAACAAACAAATATATGACTATCTGTTTGAAATGGTGCCAATATGTAAGAACAGCAGAACACAAACTCTTAAAAGCAAAAGATTAAAAAGGGAAATGCAAAAATGAGGCAAGGATATTCTTACTTGTCATTCTGAAAGAAGAAACTTTAGTTAACAAAATTTGATCCTGCAAACTTAGAAAAACAATCGAAAAATACACAGCACTCCAACAAGCCCAAAAAACCATGTTCCCATATTCAAGCTGAATTTCATATTAAAAATATGCAGACAAATATACTTATGGGGGTAACTGCTACAGAAACTGCATGCTAAACCATTGACTAGATATCAAGTTGGTAGGCTTAGCGGACCCATGAGGCACCAATACATGGCATCGGCTTAAAACACTTTCCCTTTAATTTCCAGTTAAGAATGAAAAATAAAAGTACCACATTATGCACTAAAAAGGCATTTCGATTGAGAGAAATACAGAGAAAGAAGTGCAGCGGAGAGTAAAAAAAGTAAGTTCCAATGTGTGCACATGTAAGTGAGAAAAGAAAAGTAACTGTAAATTATCATCCCATTATATAGTTCTCCTCAAAAATCACAATTTGAGAAAACTAAAATCTGTAACACTGGTTATTCTAAAATTATTAAATATATCACGAATACATGAGAAGAAGAAAGAAAAAAAAGAAGGGAACCTTATCTTATATAACAATGGAACTCTGTCATCCTCACTGGCATAAATTAACAACTCACTATGAAAAGCCATCAAAGCAATACATATCAAATTGTATATAATATGATGAGACACAGCCAACAACCAAGTAAATGACTTCAATTGAAGTAACTAAATCAAAGCATTATCCATTGAAAGTATTTTCTCATACGATAAACAAAAAGAGATAAAATTTAGAACTGGCCTTTTACATTTTAAAATCTCAAATAATAAACCTTTTCTTTTTATCTGCAAGTTCAGATTAACGTCAACATATGAGGATAATAATAATGAGAAGAAGAATAGGAATAATGATTACCTTGCTCATCCGACGGTGAGGGTAAATCGAGGTAGCGTTCGTGATCGAGTTCGGATTCGAGAGAGCTGTCAGGATTAGAAGACGGAGAATGGTGGCGGCGGCGGTTGCGCGGCGGAGGCGGGGCAGACAGGAGGTGGCGCACGTCGTAGCGGTCTATAGAAAGTGAGTTCCACTCGACAAGCGCGGAAGCCGAGTTGACGAACTCAGCCATCGAGTCGTCGTCGAAAAGAAGCGCGTGGCGGCCTACTACCTCGAGATCCATTTCGGACCGCTCGATTGAAGAGAGAATGGAAATAATGAGAGAGAATTGTAACCCTAAAAAATAGCTATTTTTGATTACGCAGGGAGGTGAATCAGGTGGCGTGGAACAAAGGTGATAATTAATCAAGTGATCAGAACATTTGAACTTCAATATATATACAAGGGAAAATTTCCCTCAGACTTTTCCCTGTCTCTGTAATCTGAAGGAAAATTTTCCCTTGACCTTGAACGACAGAAATCTTTTCTTGGTGTCTGCAATTTGCAGGGGAATTTTTCTATTTGATTAAAATTAAATACACCGTAAAACTGAAGGAAATGGGCCCAAACATATATACGGGATCAAATCATTTACGGCTCCGAATTGAATTGAAACGCATTAAAATTTAGGATATTAAACTCAAGTTCGGTTCCATCTTTAAAAATTAAACTGGAATTCAGTTTTTAAAGTTAGATTTCAGTTTATTTATAATTTATAGTTAAACAAAAAATGTTTTTTATGGATTGATAAAATTCAACTAGTTAAGTCTATTGTATGAAATTTTTTTAAATCGAGTCCCAATTAGTTCATAAATGATTTAATTCAATTACAATTTTTTTAATAAACCAGCGTAACCATAAAAACAAACAAGGAGGAAGAGATTTTCATAACTTTGAATATTAATCCAATTATAATTATTATATTTTTAGCAAATAACAATTACTATTAAAATTGATTACCTCGAAAGCAATGTTTACCAAAATTCAAAGTTGGAAACAAAGTGTATAAATATATAGCACTTCTAATTTCTATCAGAAAAATTGAAAAGCATCTTTAATATTTTGAAATAGAAAAAAAATTGTTTATGAATAATAATAATAATAATATTGAAATAATATAACCAGTAAATAATTATAACATTAACCTTGTGTTTTAACTTGTAGTATAATATAATATATTAGTATTTATAAAAACATTAACCTTTTATTCGATTTATACTTTTCTTTGCGCTGTTATTAAATTGACACCCCGATAAATTTGAAACTAAAACTTATTTGTATTGTTATATCACTATTATTTCTTTATTTTTCCGACCCATTAGCATTTGTATTTGAGAGATACACAAATGATCTAATCATTTGATTTTTTTTTTTTCTTACAGGAAAAAGAAAAACCAACCAAATTATTAAGAAATTTTTAAAAATTTAAAACTTTAATATTTTTTTATTGTCAAATAATCCTTTTCAAATTAACCATCTCTTGATTTGGTGATTTTTGTATTACTAGTTAACGATTAAAAAGAAAATTAAAATGCAAAGTCCAAAGGAAACAAACAAAACCCAGAAATATACAATAGCAAAAAGATCATGAATAACAAAAGAAATTGAATTGACATTATGCCCTCAAAAAGCCTATACTATACAACAAAAAATCAAGAGATATAGATCTCATTCCCACCATTCTAGAATATTTCCCAATTTTTTACCTATTTAACATGGCAATTAACCTTACGCGTAAATCAGATTGCCAGAGATGGCGTTGCTTTAGAACTCGGCAGCTGCTCATCTAAATATTTAAGAGTAGACTGGAGGTATTTATCATTTGCACTCAAACAAATTCTTGCAGTTTCAATTAGTTTCCAGCAAACTTGAGATATCTCATGGCTTACCTGTCCAAGACAAATAAAACAGGAAAGGCTATGGTTTAAAAATGCAGACACAAAACTTTGAGCAGCAAGTCATGGAAAGTGGGACCATATTTATAGGGATAACGCTGCCAAAAAGCATTAAATATAAAATGACTATAATATTCTTTAAGAAATTAAAATGGATTAGATCACTCGTTCTCGAGTTAAAAACGATGCAACATAATTTTCTATTTCAATTTTAAATATTTTTTGTAAATCAGTAAAGACATTCAAGAAATATTGAGTAACCACATAGCCCATTAGAACGAAGCAGAATTATGTATCCTAAATGAAATAGTTCAATGCCATTCCCTCCAGCAAAAATTTGCCCAGTGCCTTTATAGCTATTTAACTGCAAAAAGGCAATGAAGACCTTGTGTTCTTAAGCCTTTAGCAAGAAACACTAACGTGGAGCATTCAACCAGTAAGATGGTTTGGCTTCAATTGGTAATTGCAGGTGTAAACTCCATGCATAGCTATCATGTGCTAAGTGATATCCACGGAGAAGAAAATGAAATTGCAATGTATCTCAACTTTTTGTAGACACAAAGTTATGGATCTTCATTTTTGAAGATTGCATAGTGACAGTCATAGATCAACTCAATCATGTGATAAGTTTCACAACTTACTTTGAAGGATAATGCTATGCAGTTGCACGCTTCAAGTGCCATGCTTCCACGAGCAGCCTTAATTCCAGCATATCACATGATCAGGTATAGAAACGGTCCATTATTGTAACATAAATATGTATTGCACATCATAGTTACCTTGGATGGCTCTTGTTCTATAGCATTAACTAGATTATGAAGAACACGCTCAGACAGTGAGACAAGTTCATGTACATAAGATGAATCTCCAAAGAATAACCAGTCACTGCCCAAAATCTGAATGAAGCAAATGCTGAAAAAATATAAGGAGCTAGAAGATATAACATCAAAATTGTGTAAGCACTCGCATGGCTTGTGTGCAACATTTTAACTTAGCCTCCAGCAGTAGCTTTCAAAGGTAGAATAAACAGTGGCCCAAACTACAAGAAATATTATAATTTGGCAATCATGACATGTCTTCATAATGCCTAATCCATTCATGCTTCATGAATAACGTAATAAGGGACCACATGCGAGCCTGATAAGCACAAGAATGCATTCATGTTTCTATAATCATTTCCAACACGTTTGGCTATTTACTATAGATTGGTCACTTGAAAGGGAAATGTGCTTGTACGAGAGACCTTTGTCTTTAATTGAAAAAGACAATTATAAACAAGGGGAGAAGGAAATGCATTTAGAAAATTCTGCATACTATTATTAAGTGTACCTTTACCTCTGAATTACCCAAATGGTACGGGAGCTTCTTTTGAGAAAGTGTTGCCAACAATAGAATTATTGCACAAAATATCCTTGATGTGATTCTTGGTGTCATCCTACGACATTTGAAATATATATATATATATATATAATCATAAATTGACAACTAAGATGAGTTGCAACAATTATTATGGGCAATACAAAAAGCTTACCATGATCTGGAATAAATGAGAGAGAGAATACTACTTGGAATTTTTGTAACACCTTGGTCAGCATTACCTTCAGATGAGAAAAGGAAAATATAGGCAAAATGTTCAAAATGGAAAACAGAACATACAATTGTTCAAAACAGAACTTTCTTAGATACAATCATCTGAATGTTGAGCAGCAAACCCAAAATATTCATTTGCATACCATGAGCCTAGTAAGAAGATATCAAGAGGAAAAAATTATGACCTAAATAGATTCTTCAAACTTGGTAAAAAGATTCCTATAATCAAGCTATGTGATATGGTTTACAGGAAGTTCACACATGGCCCAATGCAAAAGTAGCAGAACCGGAATTTCTATTATTTTTATTTTTTATTTTATTTCCTTTCAGTTTGTAGTTGTCCTTATTCTTAGCTGTATGCGGTGATAGTGCCCATGTTTGTTTATTTTCCTAAAATATAGGAGAAGTTATTTCTCCACGGAACTATTTCTTTGATCTTTGATGAATGGAACAGGTGTGAGAAAAATTTCAGAAGTTGAGTACTTTCAAACTCAGGAGATTGCAGATTCTCTCCAAGTCTATCAACATAGGTAGAAGGATCCCTCTATCACATCCCATCTAAACCCTGCCCCTCTATTCCAAGGACCCATAACTAGATCCCAAACTGGGGATCATAACAATTCCATTATCTCATTGCTTTATTTTTAGAATATAAAAGAATAATAATAAAAATTGCAAGATGTCACAAAAGAACGATAACAAAGTAAAGACATGATTTAACTGATAGAAAAGATATAAAGTAATGAAAATTCAAAGACCTGGAACCATAACCAAGAGGCTACATATTTTTCGAATTGAGGACAGTATGCCATCAATATCGATTGCAGTCCGTGTGCCTACACAGAGAACAAAGGCAATCAGCAATCAAATAAATCAGAAAACTCGCTCTTAAAGCCAAGAAAAAGATTTCACACTTTAAATGCTGCAAATTAGAACCCAGAATATGAGGAGAATTTTCTTGAAATCCAAAGGCAGAATGCAATCTAACACAAAAACCAACGCTTCACTTTCAGGTGTCGTTTGTCATACACTGTTGCAAGCATTCATAGGAAGTGCAATGGCAAAAGTAAATCCAATCTTTAATTTAATAACAGATTAGACTTTCAGTTGCACTCCATGCTTCAGGACCTAGGGCCTTGCCATGGTTGTTGCTTGCTATTTTTCCAACAAAATGTCTTAACAAGATTTATAAAACATTTTATGTGCTACAAAGGCTCCACTAAGAATTTGCATGTTAGGAGCACGTATGGCATAACAAGTAGGGGTAGGTTTAGTGTTAGCTGATGTCCAAAATACATAATGCTACAAATTAATTTTCCTTCCAAGCAACTTGTGTGCGTACTGCACATAAATTTGCTTTATGCATGTAGAAGTAGAGTGCCAACAAGCTTACAGAAAATTCAAGACAAATAAGACTCCATAAATTATGTATAAATATGATCACAAGCATCAATTGCATAGATGATTGCAAATGTTTACTTATGGGAGAAATGAACTAACCATCTGTGAAGTCTACATTTTCTAAACAGCTCATTGCAGATACAATGAGCCCATCTGAATGGGGAATTAACCCACTTAACAACGCAACCTGAGATATTGGAACATCTATGAGTTTATACAAGGTTCATTTGATGTATTATACAATCACAGAAAAAGCAAGAACATTACCTCAGCAGTTTCAAGATAAAGATTTAACTGCCTAACTTGAGCTGAAATAGAGGGTATAGTGACCTCAGCAAATGCTATGCAAGATTTGACGAAATTGAGATGCTTTTTTCCATCTTTCAGAGCTTTAGTTGCCAAATAATTGCTTGAGTGAACGAGAGTTTCCTGCAAGTAAATTTAAGTGCCCGATAAATAGGTCGGAGAAGAATGGGTGGCAGACTGGACCCACTTCTAAACAAGAATTTGTCATCTTTACCCAGTTCTGCCCAAAGTGAACTTCATCTATAACTTATAAGCCCAAAATGGCAAACCTTATGTTAAACATGCACAAGAGTATGCCAAAAATCTTGCTACTTGCTGGTGATCTTAGAATTTATTGATTGCAGGTTGATGGCGAATCTAATCTACATTATCCTGATAAAGAACCTCGGTATAGTCATGAAACAATTTCACAAGCCTAATACTGACTAGAATAACTCTCATATAGTATTCAACCCTTTCACCCTGTTAAGACTCTCCCTAGCCCTCATCCCCGGCTCCCCAGCATGCAGATGAATTCACAATGTCTATGGATAACTAGCCAAAATAAAACCCTACTCTGACAGCTCAAAATTAGAAATTTAAAATACTTGCAGGTATGTAATTTTTGGGGGACCTGACAACTACAAAAAAGAGAGATAATAGGCTCCATTTGCATGTTTTATTAATGAAATATGCACAAACCTTAAGTTCATTTATGCTTCGAAAAGCTCCACGACATTCAACTAAAAATGTTAAATGCTGTTCCATCGCCACCCCAAAATCAACCTAAGAGCCAAAAGCAACAACAATTATCAACTAATCCAAATAGCTTTTTGAGAGGTTACTTCAAGCCTCCTTTCCTTATTCGAGAAGACATTGAAATGAACTTAGAATACAACAATGTATTTAGCTAGCTGAGATGAATTACCATCTGGACAAAACGAGAAATGAGGCGCGCTGGCTGTTGCTTTTCATCGTCTTTCATATTTGCGAAGTCTATACCATCATATAGAGACTGAGCAATTTCAAAAAGCAACTGTATAGTTGTTGGATCATTTATACGGCCATTCCTGCCAAGGTTAATCATAAATGCTACCGAAGTGTTAAAAAATTACATGTGTAATATTCAGTAAGAAAGATGGACTTAAAAAAATAAATAAGCAAATAATGAAAAATTACAAGAAAGAGTAGGAAACTAAAATAGATGCTCAAAATGGATCACCAGAATATTTTGACTGCCTGAAAAACTAATATATCCAAGAATCATGTGAGTACCTTGTTGCCATATTAAGAATATGCATATCAATGACATTCCTAGAGCTCCCATGCATTACGTCCAAGATGTGAAGAAAATGTTTCTGCAGAAATTGATCACAAATTGCCTATCAGTACTTCTGTACTACATTTCTTTATGTTCTATGACTAAAAAACCATCAAACTTAAACCAACCAAGAACTGATACAATTTCTCAGCATACAGTGGTACAAGATACAGACCAAAGAAAAAAGGAAAGAGGGTGTGCAAATGGAGGAAGTGGAGTTCAGTATCATACCAAAGAAAATACTATGTCTAAGTCCTTAAAATGAGAAAGAAGCTTCAGAAAAATGGACTGCAAGCTTCCTTGTTCATCTTCAAGAATCTCTTTATTGCATGCTCGTGTGTAAATACCCTCTAAAAGCATGTTCAAATAGCTGTCCTGGCATAACCATTAGATTTCGTTAAGTGCGAAATGTGATTCCAAGATATTTTGTAATGAGGCCATTACAGCTGCTTATATTTACAATTGTCCATACAATCTCAATAGAAAAATATACCAAGGCTAAAATATATCAGTTGTAAAGCATAAAAGCTAATATAAGTTTTAGACAGACAAACAATACATGCAAAACAACATATAAAAGACTACCCTAGACCTTCCCAAACAAATTCTTACAATTTTAGCTGAAAGTGTCCCCCATCACCAGCACATTTTTCCCTTATGTTTCCTGGGTGAAGGGTTCAGGCATTGAATCTACAACCCCTACATATAATAATCACAGGTGCACTAACCAATCAACCCCAGTTAGTTGAAAGAGCTTTCCAAAAAAATGGATCTGTGGATGAAATCCACATGCTGGGTAGCATTAGTGAAGTGTCTACATTTCAACACCACTTGCACCAACAATGCAGTTGCACCAACTCTGAATACGGCTATTGTACTCTATATTAAAAAAAATAAGTTAAAAAATGAAAGGAAGAATAGAAAAGAATGATTGTCATAAAAATGATCTGGGAATACACTCATGAACTGTGCTTTACATCTACCCCAGTCCACTTACTCAAGCATGAATTGCACTTCCTTCTCATGACAAGACCTTTACTACTGACAAGAGAATAAGAAATGCCAGGTAATAGGAGCATTTAACCTCTTACTCACTAAATGCTTAAATAACAATAACAGAGCAAGAACAATATGGTAAGCATACAGAAAGAAGATGATAGAAACAAGAAACAAAATTATGGAAGACATCAAATAGAAATAACCAAAGCATACTGTTAATGGAAATCAACAAAACTCAATGATAGAGTTATTTCAAAGAGATAACGCAAAAGTGTCATGTATTTCAAACCACCAAACTTACCATTTGATTTTGAAGAACAATGTCCATGTAAGCATCAACAACCTTCAAGTACTCCTCAAGTTTACCATATTGAATAATGACCTGGTATTATAGCCATGTTTTGAAACAACATTTTTACATAATAGATTGAAGTAAGAGTATGTCAAAGAGAGAACAATAAATATAGTGAACTAGATATCGATGTAATTGCAATGACAGTACCAGAAATCATTTACGGAATAAAGTAGACCTGACAGTATAAATGCTTAATATCCCTCTCTCTCTCTCTCTCTCTCTCTCCGCAACCATCTTAGGATGCACATTTCTTGCCGGCTTAATATAAGTTACTCAAATAGATAAATGAGGAGAATTTATGACAGTTGAGATATTAAAATTGACATAGGATAGTGAAGAAATATCAAGAAAGACAAGAAAATGATTCGATCCTATTCCATAATATTTTCTGAAATGAATCTGAGGCTTTGTAAATAAAATAACACTTTCGATAGTAACATGATGCTTTGTCTTTATTCACCGATCTCAAATTCCAGCACTCTCAAGATACCACATTACGTTTTCTAAGCATCATGAATTGGCATATTTGGTGCCGCTTCTAAGTGACGATATGATCCCTTTACCTTGACTGAAACTATATTGGTGTAGGGTAAATTGAGGATATAATGCGAGTAACATAGGAGATGTGATCTTCTATTAAATACAGCTAAATGCTTAATGCATACTTAGTACTCTATAAGCGAGACAAAGCATGCACCATATATGGTGATATTGAAGAGCAAAGTAGTATAGAAACAAGAATCAAAACTATGATGTGAGAGGCTACCATTCATCCAAATCGGACAATAATAATCCAAGCTAGCTACACTTGTTGAAATGGAACATATTCAACTAATATATCTCAATGATAGAGTTATTTCAAAGAGATAAACGCAAAAGTGTCATGTTTATTTCAAACCACCAACCTTACCATTTGATTTTGTTATAGGTAGCCAAAGATTTTACACCTTTTCCATGTAAGATCAATGGAAAGAGGGTGTGCAAATGGAGGAAGTGGAGTTCAGTATCATACCAAAGAAAATACTATGTCTAAGTCCTTAAAATGAGAAAGAAGCTTCAGAAAAATGGACTGCAAGCTTCCTTGTTCATCTTCAAGAATCTCTTTATTGCATGCTCGTGTGTAAATACCCTCTAAAAGCATGTTCAAATAGCTGTCCTGGCATAACCATTAGATTTCGTTAAGTGCGAAATGTGATTCCAAGATATTTTGTAATGAGGCCATTACAGCTGCTTATATTTACAATTGTCCATACAATCTCAATAGAAAAATATACCAAGGCTAAAATATATCAGTTGTAAAGCATAAAAGCTAATATAAGTTTTAGACAGACAAACAATACATGCAAAACAACATATAAAAGACTACCCTAGACCTTCCCAAACAAATTCTTACAATTTTAGCTGAAAGTGTCCCCCATCACCAGCACATTTTTCCCTTATGTTTCCTGGGTGAAGGGTTCAGGCATTGAATCTACAACCCCTACATATAATAATCACAGGTGCACTAACCAATCAACCCCAGTTAGTTGAAAGAGCTTTCCAAAAAAATGGATCTGTGGATGAAATCCACATGCTGGGTAGCATTAGTGAAGTGTCTACATTTCAACACCACTTGCACCAACAATGCAGTTGCACCAACTCTGAATACGGCTATTGTACTCTATATTAAAAAAAATAAGTTAAAAAATGAAAGGAAGAATAGAAAAGAATGATTGTCATAAAAATGATCTGGGAATACACTCATGAACTGTGCTTTACATCTACCCCAGTCCACTTACTCAAGCATGAATTGCACTTCCTTCTCATGACAAGACCTTTACTACTGACAAGAGAATAAGAAATGCCAGGTAATAGGAGCATTTAACCTCTTACTCACTAAATGCTTAAATAACAATAACAGAGCAAGAACAATATGGTAAGCATACAGAAAGAAGATGATAGAAACAAGAAACAAAATTATGGAAGACATCAAATAGAAATAACCAAAGCATACTGTTAATGGAAATCAACAAAACTCAATGATAGAGTTATTTCAAAGAGATAACGCAAAAGTGTCATGTATTTCAAACCACCAAACTTACCATTTGATTTTGAAGAACAATGTCCATGTAAGCATCAACAACCTTCAAGTACTCCTCAAGTTTACCATATTGAATAATGACCTGGTATTATAGCCATGTTTTGAAACAACATTTTTACATAATAGATTGAAGTAAGAGTATGTCAAAGAGAGAACAATAAATATAGTGAACTAGATATCGATGTAATTGCAATGACAGTACCAGAAATCATTTACGGAATAAAGTAGACCTGACAGTATAAATGCTTAATATCCCTCTCTCTCTCTCTCTCTCTCTCTCTCTCTGACATGATCCTTTCTAGCTTAACAATAGCAGACTGTTCTCTCTCTCTCTCTCTCTCTCTCTCTCTCCAACATAATCCTTTCTAGCTTAACAATAGCAGACTGTTTATGGTGAAATTATCATCTCTTAATTTTCTCAAGCCAAAGCTACATATAACAATAGCAATTGTCTGTTCTCCATTTGGAAAACAAGTTTCATTATAGAGGAAAAGAATATATTCAAGAGGGAGAGAAGTACAGCAATCTGGAAATTATGGAGTGCAAGAATGCATAAATTTCAAATTACTTGAATTTCCTTACTTTTTTTTTTTTCCTCTAAACATAAGAGGAAGGCATTTTAAGTCCATGAAATGCATGGACTAGACAAGTTAGCAGGTCCCCATATGTATGCGTATAGAAACACGTATTCCCCTATGCCCTTCTTCCAAAAGGATTTAAGTCAAAAAAAATTTCTAAGTTTGAATTCCAGGTCCAGATCACTGGGTTTCTCCCTGAGGATTGTGTTCTTTTACAAGCAATCAAAATTGCAATCAGAAATCCTCACGGCCAGAACCAAGATAAATTAACATGGGTCATTGGAAGTGCTAGATTCAAACAATTAAAAGAGGAAATTAAGCAACTTTTATGTGACATAGCCAACCTTATGAAAAGAAGTTAATTTTGACATTTGAGTCACTGGGTCAACCAATTGATTGTAATTATTAGCATCAAAATATCATATTTTTTACTTAACTACATTTAGTGAGTCTAGTATTCACCTCAAGTGGAAATCTAAAAAAAACAAACTTTCATACTGGCCTCGGATTATAATAATGAACAAGCATATGATCCCTGCCTGGGAGAAAATCATGATTCAGCTGGTGCTCTATGGGGAAAAGAATATAGCCAGCAATATCGAATTACTCAAGTTTGCAGATTGTTTCTTTCTGATCCAACAGAATGGAAGTCAGGTGGAATAAAAGTATGGTAACAAGGAAGCAAGATACTAGATGAATAAGGAGAAAATAGTGCTGACAAGGAAGCAAAATACGAGATGAATAAGGAGAAAACACATTGCATAATTCAGGAACATCAATTAAAGAAATGCTAAAATCCAAAAAAAAAAGATCCACTCATCAATTGGCCAGACGTTATCAGCATAAATACTAGGTTAGAAAAACAAAACATTATATTAAAAAATTGGACAAAATAGTATAACAAAAATGAAAAATGAAATTCGCAGATCAAGCAAACAGGAAAGAAGGTCCAACTACCTGAATGACTTCATCCACTACGGAATTAATGGTGTCCATTTCATATCTGCTTTCACCTAGTCTAAATCCAAGTAACCTATAATTTAAACACTACACCAACCAAAAAATAAAATAAATAATTCAAATACGGAATGTAAATGTTAAAATAGAAACAGGAACAGAAAATAAAGGGAATAAATTCATAGCCCTAAATGCTCTAGAAGTCAGCAAATCCTTACAGCTTGGATCTGTGTCATATGAACAATACCTGATCAAAAGAACTGTCGTCACTGCACTTGATCAGATGCAGGATATCCACGGCATTGGAGCTGATTACTTCAGTTGGAAGTTCCTTTAGCAGATGATGAAGAACAATTGAAGCACTTGAGAAACTCTCAGATAAATTTGCTTGATTCCTTCCTAGTCTGAGCTCCATAAGTAAAGAGTCTATTTGCCTCTTAATTACGAAATAGAAATATTGTTCAGTATATAATGAAGAATGGCAATTTCATGTTACAGCAACTATTTAGGATGAGATTACTAGTGCTCTACAGTGTTACTAAGGAGACGAGATGAATAACAGTGATCCACTGCAAGAATAAATGAAAAATTAAAACTAGTTCTACTTAACCAAAATGATAAGAAGATGTGGAACAATTTAAAATTAGAGTAGAATACAATAGACAATGAATGATTTGCTGGCATAATTACATAAGAAATTCTCAGAGAAATGAAAGTTATAAGTTCGGCCATAAGAAAAATCATCAAAGGCAATGTATTACTGACCTGAGACACATCTGCAAATATACATTTCATAATATATTCAATAGTAGGTTCAATCAGACTGACAAGCAACCTTATTTTGCCTGCAAAAGGTCCATGTGGGGCCTCCTTTGCTGTTGAAAGATGAATCAATAGGATTTTGATGTCATTAACACATGTAACCAGGTATCCTGTCACAACAAAATCAAATATATCCTATTTTTAAGTTGCCATAACAGAAAATGACATACAATAGCCTATAATACAGGTTTAATCTAGAGAATATATACATATGAGTCAGGCAGTGAGACTATATAGATTTCCTATTAAGGCAACTTTCAAACTGCTGGCCTAGTAATATGAATAAACGAAGGAGTTATTCAAGAGCTACTGGTCACACTGCTTTGTACCCTTGTAGGTTAACTTTGTAGCTTTCCATTCTGTAAACATGCAAGCTCAAAATTTGGTAAATTTGAAACAGCCTTCCAACATGCACAGCTCATATGCTGGCATACCCATCTTTTATTGATTTTCTTTTTTTTTTTTTTTTCTTTTCCAATTCCACCACTCTTGCCACCCAGCTGTGAAATAACTAACTTCTGCCTAGTTCATTGTTTTTCTCTCTTTAAGGATTATCAAGTTATCATCCAGAACTAAATTTAGACAGTGTTTTCCTTTCTTTTTTTTTTCCCAAACGCACTCAATGTTTACTTAGCAGAAGTTTCCTTGCACTCGCTTTATGGAGGGGATTTGTACTTGTATAAGTGAACAAACTAACCAACTCTGTGACCACCCTTTATCTGGTTTTAGAAGAAGATAAAGCAAGTGGGAACCAAAAAAAAAATTGAAGTCTAACAGTCAAAATCTGCCAGTTCCATCCAGTCTCCAAAACCATATATTATGAGCTGGCAGCATTAACCATCTGCACAGTAATTGTGCATGAAGGGATCCATGCCATTTATGAGAGAAGCATCGATATATACCTTTATCATATGCAGACAACTTCCGCGCACAGTGGGCCATGTATAAACGGCAATAGGAAGATGCCAATGGATCTGCTATCCCTCTTGTCATCATTACCAGTCGCTGGAGATTATCTACAGGACGGTCAAGCAGAAAACGCCAGCAAGGCAATATTGCCAACTCCAAATATCTGAAATAAAATATCAATAAATAACCAACAAAAACAATTCACACCAACCCTGCAGAGAGGTTCAGAAGCCTGTGCTTTAAAAATGATCAATAAATATAAAAGGAAAACTAATCAAATCAATGTTGAACCATTATTAGGAAACTTGGACTATAAGTAAATGAAGAATTTCAAAGATAAGAACTTCACATGCGTGGAAGGAGCTCTCTGATTGAACCAACTTTGCAAAACCAATTATGGCAAGTTTCCTTAGCATCAGAGCAAATATCACTTGCTTTAAAATTCTCTGCCAAACAATTCCAACAAAAGTTTCAGGGAAAACTATCTAGCTGCGCAAACAATGACTAAAATCTTCTAAATCCTGGATTTAAGAACGGATAGACCAATTGATCTAAAATATATTACAAATTCTCAGAAAAAGTAATAGGTTCGTTTTGCTTGATACATCATTGCATAACCATGCCACTCAGCTGGATCTTACTTTACGAAAAAGTCTAAATGACATAAAAACAATTTCTTTAACCATGTCAGTGTGCAGTAACAAATAGATGTACTGGACACAAACTCACAGACAAACAGCAAATAGTTAATGTGTTGTACATTATTTTCACATGAGACATGCATACACATCCACTGATCCACAGAAATCTTGTTAATTATCTTCACAAGAAGTTGACATGCATTAATTATCTCCATGAAAGAGCTTTAATGGTCAATAACTCAAGTTTCATCAGAAAATCACAAATGGAACTCACAGTAGTTTATCCACAAAGAGGTTGATAGATCTAATCCTTTACAGGGATTAATCAGTTGCATATTAATGTTAAAAGGAATCTGGAAGATAAAGAAAAATGTACAGACATAGACACCATCTAAATGATATAAACCTGGTAATGTACCGAGAAAGCTTCCATCTTCAGAAAATTCAGCTTTCTGTCTGATGCGTTGCCAAACCATACCTCCAAGCATGTCCATTACATCTGTCACAAGAACAAATAATGTAGGATAAAACTGTTGAACTGAAGTATCCATCAGAAGCTTAGCAACCTGCAGAAAAGTAAAATGTGATATCCATGTCAAGAATTACTGAAAGAGGCCAGGATCAGGATAATCCATTAGACCTAAATTTCTAAGAACATGTGGATTTTGTGATCACTAGGAGTAACCATACTCATATTTCATCCACTACACTTTAACACAAAAGGCATATATGATATTGACTTTCTCCCATATAAAAATCTGAATGGAAGTCTGTGTGCCAGCATGTGTGGCTAAATTAGCTTCACAACTACTAAATAAATGTAGATTCATAGACCAGGAAAAATTGATTGTACATATTCAATTAATTGCATAAGAGAACCTAGTGAACAGCACAGAAATTATACTTCTTTTCTTGTACTGGTTTTAAAACAGTAAAAGATGATTAAAATCAATATAGAAACATAATTAAAGAACCAAGAACAAGCATAAAACCAGCTCAAATCACCTTAATAGACAATCTCAAAGCTGTTACGCGATCTTCAGCCTGCCAAGCGTGCATAATTTCATCTTTGAGCTCATGTAGACGAGAGACATACTCCTGCTGAGTAATAACCTTGGCATCATCTTCCGGAATTTTTTGTGAATCATTTACTTCCTCTACATGTGTACTTTTTGAAGATTTGTCAAATGCTGCAAATCAACGTTATCCATTACAAAGCACTAGAAAAATATTATAGCAAACTACTAAGGGAGGAAAAGACAATATTATATATTTTTTTACAATTTTAGGGATTTAGAAAAATTTTACCTAACATAGTTTTGATTTGAGTAGTTTCCTGATCATGAGTTAACTATATGCGCTTGCACAATTATTGTTAGTTAACAAATTTTCTTCTAACAGAAAGTGAGTGGGGTAAAGGAGGCTATGAAACTGAAGTATGTAAAAAAGACAGCTTGATTGTGTTCAGTAAAGAACATCTTTGTTATATCAGGAATTAGAGTTGCTAGAAACAAAGCAAGCAATGGAATGCTTTCTAATAATTAGTACGTAACTCAAAACAAATAAGCAAAGGATCCAAATATACCATACCTTTACTACTTTTAATTATCACATCAGGCATCTGTTAAAAAAACGTCAGAAACCGCTCAATATTAGGATTTCACGGCAGAATATAAGAAAATCTAATTCAACTCTTTTATGAATATACACATGCAAATTCAAAACTTAAAAAACAAAATGATGGATAAATTGCTCACTGAAGAAACTGAAATCATTTTGGATACAGGAAACTTTTGCATCAAGAATCTCTTAAAAGAGGTCCACTCCTTTGACGGAATTTGACTAGTAGCTTCACTGGAGAGACTAGCAGAAGAAGAATTCTCAGTATCAGGCGTCTCCTCTGTCTTGGCATCTCCTCCTCTTAATGGATCAAAGAAATCATTATCTTGAAGGTTCGTAACAATAACCTGTACAATAAACAAACTCTATTAGAGTAACCATAGTCAAAACAAAAGAATTTTGAATTATTACTTATGATGATTGAACCTGGTTTTGGGGAGAAGAAGAAGGCGATGGAGTCAAGAGAGGGTGGTGATCGGCGCGTGATCGAGGAATCGCGTGAGCTTCCTGCTCAGCATTGTAATCTCGAGGCCTAAACTCCATGAGGATCAACCCAAATGCTGGTATCGATCAAGCTCAGTTCAACTTTCTTGTTGTCTTCACGCTGTAGTGGAAGTTTATGTTTGGGTCAGTTGAGAACGTGGCGGTTAGAGGTGCCATAAGCGGGCCGGGTTTGGGTCTCGATCCATCTGAGAAGCGCGGGCCCAATGACTAACTGCCCAACTGAAAAAATATTGGCGTTGTGCCGTGTGCGTGTCCAGTAAAAAAAAATCAATTTTATAAGTGTAATGATGATTTATTTATTATTTTTTTTTTTTTTGGGGGAGGGGGAGATTGGAGAAAAGTGAAATTAAAATTTATAATAATTAGTAATTTAACCATTTGCTAAATTTTCTCAATAATTAGTATTAACGTCTTTCGATAACTTATTTTTTTATAAATTGGAATTGGAAATGGGTATTGATAACTTCGTTATAAATTAGTAAATGATGTGGGATCAACATTTTAAAGTTTAATTTATTAGACATTATGTAACGAAGTTAATGTATTGGTAAGTATGAGAATTTCATATTTAATTGTCTCGATCTAATTTCGATAAAATAATATTTCTAAACACACAGACAAATTTGTGCCTTCGAGTTGCAACCCCTCGTGTAGGTGCTTTAAAATGCAATGCAGGTATGATTGCTCAAGCCAAAAATGCAATGCAGATTGGATTGACTATCATACTCTTATAAATGCTTAGGAAAAAATTTTCATAATAAAAGAAATTTTTGCTGATGAAAAAAAACTCTTATGGAGCCTTACTTGCTACAAAAATGATGTTGCATAAGATGAATTGGAAAAAAAAAAGTGTTCTTTTCATTATTTTTCAATAAATTTTATTTGTTTAATCATATTATTAAATGTTAATTATAATTGATGTTAAAGTTTGTTTTTTTTTTTTTTTCCTTAAATGATTCTGCATTAAATGTTATTGAATGGAGCTTTCCCATTTTTTAAAAAATTGTCTAGAGAAAAAAAAAAAAGGAATTCCTTAATAGACTAGCCATAATTAAATTACTATTAATTAACTACTTGAACATACTTTAAATCTATGTAGCTTCATTGAGTGTTTGACCTGCAAAATCCATTGACAGCAAATTAATTAAAAGCACTCTTTCTGATATAACAATCAAATCAATATTTAACCATGACTCAATTGTGGTGGTTTCAAATGTAAGTCTTACTCATCATGTTCATGCCCTAATTATTTATTATTTATAGCTCATCATCTACAATAATGACACTTGGTGCTCTCCTATTCGGCCCCAGAATGATTCTAACATATCGAGTGCATTTGTCTTTTTTTTTTTTTTTTTTTTAATAATAACTAAGCCATAATTGAACATTTACTATTAATTAACTACCTTTGAACATACTTTAATCTATGTGCTTCCATTGGTCGTTGACCTGCAAAATCCATCTGACAGCAAATTTAATTAAAGCAACTCTTCTGATTGATATAACAATCAACTATAATATTTCATTAACCATTGTACTCCAATTGTCGGTGGTCTTCAAATGTAGGTCTTACTCATCATGATTTCATGCCCTAATTATTTATCTATTTATAGCTCATCATCTACAATAATGACACTTCGGTGCTCTCCTATTCGGCCCAGAATGATTCTAACATATCGAGTCATTTGTCTTTTTTTTTTTTTTTTTTTTTTTTTAATAACCTGTATGCAGAACTTATTAATCAAGAAAAAACAAAGAATTATAATGGTGACGCGTTCATTAAGTTTATCAATTTGATTGATTTTATTTAAGAAAAAAAAGAATATCATTTATGTTCATAGTAGAAATTCACAATAAAAATGGGAAAATGAATTATTTATAATATTTGATCAATTAAAACTTTACCAACAAATGAAAAATAAATCAATTATAATATTGGACCTAATTAAATTTAAGATTTTTTTTTTTTTTGGGTACTCTGTAACTCTATAACAATTTGTTAGTTCTTTATTGCTAGTTTACTTGCATTACTAGTTTGGCCAATAAACATTTTAGGGATGAAAAATGAATTGTATGGAGACAAATCTTTTAGGTCAAGTTATATATTATATAGTACAATAGAACTGAAAATGAGGTCGCTTAGCAGGATGTCGAGGGGTCTGTTTTTGCTCTAAAGGTTAGTTTAATTAATTCCATACCCACTTTGCTTCTCCATACAGCATGGCCAAATTCCTTCTGGTCAGCTATAATGGAAACTCATATTTCCCCATTTGCCCTTTGTTTTTAAGCCTTAAATCGTACCAATAATTTTCTTTTCCCATTCAAAAAAGGGAGCAGACGGATGACCAATGTCTTTATCACATGAGTGGTAATCATATGAATAAATTGCATTATTATGATTATTATTATCAATAAAAATACGTGGTTTAATCAGTTTTCTAATTTTTATAAGGATACAGAGTAAATGTGTTATTTAAAAATATAGACTATATTTATTGCATAGCTCGTAATTTTAATTTATTGAAATATATTATAACAAAAGACTTTTTGTTATAAGAAATAGAGGAGTAAAGCTTAATTTATTAATTAAGGGCATGCAGAATGTGAAATGTGAATAGGCTAAAAAGTGCACTAACAAAATGAAGTTTCTTAATTAAGAACTAAACCCTAGAATTAAACTATACTCTTCATAGCACATTTCATGAAGTCTTCGATCTTCTACCACTTTTCCCGCGTCAACCCTTCCCTTTACTATCAATATAAACCCTAACTCCTCCACACCCATTTTCTTCAAATCTCTCTTTCAAGCACCAAACCTTCTCTCTCTCTCTCTCTCTCTCTCTCTCTCTCTCTCTCTTTCTCTTGCACAGAATTTTTTGAAGCCCTAGACTAAGCTAGCTAGCAATGGAACTAAATAGAATAATCTTCCTTATAGCCATAACAATGGCTATATCCATCACCCTTACCGTGAAAACCATCAAATTGAACCCTGACGAGAAACCGCCATTTTCGGAGCAGAAAATTGATAATTTTTCAACTGATCAATTGTCAATCCATGAAGAAAAGAAGCTACTCCCTTCGAAAAGATTAAGTCGTTTCCTCGCTGAAGAGAAAAACCCTAGGGCAGCCGATCATTGCAACAAAGACAAAGAAATATGCTACATTTTGGGAGGAAAGAACTATACTTGCTGCAACAACAAGTGCTTCGACTTGTCTACCGATAATAATAACTGCGGTACTTGCAAGAACAAGTGCAAGCACACACAAGCTTGTTGCAGAGGACAGTGTGTTTACCTTTCTCTTGATAAAAGACATTGTGGAAGGTGCAATAATCGCTGCGCAAAGGGTGAATACTGCGTTTTCGGAATGTGCGGTTATGCATGATTAAGATTGATAATCATATACTGATCGCGATGAGGTTTATAAATTTATTTATAATACAATAAATAAACCACATTTGATTAGTGGTTCTAATTTAAATTTTATACAGTTAATTAATTAATTAATTATCTCAATTTACAGTTAATCCTCGAGGATTATTTATCTATATGTAATGTGATACCAAACTACCTTAAGTAAAATCTATGTATTAATATCTCTTATTATTTTTGTACACAATTTAATTTTTAGTTAGACATACATTGATTATCTGGGCATGATATGTATGTGGAGAGAATTTTTATTCTTGTTCTTGTAATTAAAATGTGATTTGTTTCTGAGTATGTAAAAAGATATGAATTTTAATTTTTTTGGTAAATAAGTTATTAATGATTGTTATTGAAATATAAAATATAAAATTGAACAACATGTTTAAAAAATTGACAAATAATTTGTTCAACACCTTTTCAACTGGACATAAATTATATTTATCGAAGCAGGAGAAAGCTATTATTTTGTAGTAAAATTTAAGGTTTCCATATACCGAAATTAACGGCCACTTGCAAAACTTGAATTGAAAGATCAAAGAGCGTGTCCTTTTCCATCTCATGCGGTTTCTCAACATGCCAAGCCAGCAGTTTTTCTTTCACAACTGACAAGTTCTAGACCCGAACTTAAGGCTACTAAGACTCGTACTAATCCCAAGTCACTGTTTACCTTCCATTGAGCCTATTGTGATTTCACAGCACAAGCCCAGGATGGGTATTGAGTCTGTTGACCTGGCACGTCCACTACAAATATGATTAATTAATCATTTTTCTTAGATCCAACTCAAACATATACATGTATATATAAAAGTTGGGATATGGTAATAAATTTTATATTTTGAATTTTTTTTTTAAAATGTCAATTTCACTTTAAATATTAAAATAATATCATTTTCATTATTCATTTACTATTTTACCATTTTATTATCGCATTTGTTGCCGTTGCTATCGTCATTGTCATCGCGGAAGTTGTCGCTCGTTCCATCATCGCCGTTGCTGTTATCACCTTTATTTCCATCATTGTTGCACTCGTCGTCGGTCGTCGTGGTTGAATCACAGAAGTTGTGTAGAATAATTTTGAAATTACTGATTATTTTTTACCAATACTGACATTCTCTTAATTTTTATATTTTTTTGATATTTTATTAATATAAAAATCTAATTTCTAACATTTGTTAAGTTGCCTCGTTAAAGTATCAAAGAGCTGAACAATAAAAATAGATGGCTGAATGCCTAATCGAATTGATTGGGTCATGTAGGAACTAGGTTCAAATCTACTGGTCTATTAAAATACCTCAGCTGCATACATCATTGCACTTCCATTTGACATCTATTGTAGTGATAGACGGTTCGTCTCGCTGTCACCTTCTCTTTATCATTCATCAATTTCACAATTTCACGCGCCTATTTTAAGAACATTCAAATTACATCCATAATAACATTCACTAAACTTGCCATACTCAACACATACTTGTTTATTAATATAAGCACTCAGTGGAGCAGTCCACATCTAACGGCTAGATATTGAATTAAATATAGAAAAGATGAATGTTTGAAATTAAGAAAACTTGGTTTAGGAAAACATGGTTCTCATTTTCCAAACTTGATATAAAGAGAAAGTGAAAGAGACAAAAGGGAATATTGGAAGTACATATTTTTTATATTTAAGTGTCTAAAATATCTCATTGTTCTCATGAAGATATTAGTATTGAACACAACACTTGTTAGTTTAAGGGTTCCAGTTTGCATTTATAGTGTTGAATTTTAAAATTACTATTGTTTTGAAGGATTAAAAAGTGATACTAGGATAATTTCATTTAATAAATATTTTTGTAATTTGTTGAATCAATTTTTAAAATAAATTCTTTTATTCAATCAAAATTGGACTTGCAAATGAAGATAAAATGTGGAAAAAAAAAATGAAATTTAATAGATATTAATGCAAATGGGAATAACAATCAATCAGTACTTAATCATTGGTAGGTTACAAAGCAATAACAACTTTGATGAAGGATAGTCTAGAGAGAAACCCTAATTTTTTTTTCTTGTACATAAAAAAATTCCTTATTGGCCATATGAAACTACTATCTGAATACCAATATAAAAACTAATTTTCTTATTCTGAAATATAATTTGTATATAAATTTAAAAAAAAAAATCACTTGACTCTCATTTTGCCCTAAGCATAATTGCAAAGACCAAAAGCACAAAACCCACCATTTTTACACCTATTATTGCAACCCCCACAATGCCTTCTATTAAAAGAAGGGTTAACACATTTTCCTTTGCAGCAAATCTGATTATACTTGCATTTCTTCCCACAAGCTCCACAGTTAAGACGGTCGTTCAAAACATTTACACACTTCTTCTTGCAACAAAAAGGCCCTGGACTTCCCTTGGAATGGCAAATTCTTGGATACTTATTACATGTTATTCGACGTGCTTTTCTTTTCTTTTGAGCAAGCAAGCGACCAAATCCATGTTCGGAATTTTCTTTTAATTCGTAATCCATATCATCGTGTTCCTGTTCTTGTTCTTGGAGTGGTGTTGCTGTAATAGACAAGATTAGTGCCATTACAAGAACAAGAATCAAGAAAATTGTTAGTAACTTCATTTCTTTTTATATGTGAGGCACAAGAGGGTTTGGATATTTGGTATGAGGTGAAAATGAATAAATGGAATTAGGAAGAGCTTAATTAGGTTGTGGGTTGAGGAAAAGAGGCAGTGGAGTGGTGTTTATATAGAGAATTTTGGAGGGTAACTTTTAACTTTGGTGTGTGCAAGTGCATGTGTTCTTCCACTTAATTGATTAGTCCAAATTTACGGGCTGGTCAACAATACACTAACGAAGCAAGATTTTATTCCATCCTAATAATTTTTTTCTCTTGCCCATTCCTTCTTTATTCTCATAATGAAGAAATAATAATGAGAATTTATATATATATACTAGGAAATCCACCTAATTAATAATTACATAGTCCTTGACGAATTTCATAGAAGAAAAGAATTTAATTTCCATATTCTATATGTGTAAGACTTTCTTTTTTTTTACGAGTATAGTGAAGTAAGAATATATATATATATAATCCTAGCCAGCTACATAGAAAGTAATTTCATAGTGGGTATTTAAATATTTGTTGAGAGACAGATTGCATCTTAAAGCTATTATATAAATATTATATGGTGGGTGTTTAAATATTTGATCCGCAATAATTTTATTCTGTTTTTAGCTTTTAGCGTTTTACGAAAAGATATTTAAACGGTTAACAACTAAACATTATTAAAACAACTAATAAATAATTTTTCGAACAGATTCTTATATATAATCTTTGTAGAAAGTAATTACATTTTAGGTGTTTAAATATTTGTTGAGAGAAAGATTGACATGTTAAAGGTATTATACCAATTAAACTAAACTTGGTCGAACAAGAAAGTCTTCACATATACCACAGTCAAAAAACCTAATTTTGTAGACCTAGTGGTACAATTATAATATATATAAACTTGGTCAGAACAAGAAAGTCTTCACATATACCACAGTCAAAAAACCCTATTTTTGTAGACTATGGTACAATTATAATAATATATAATATATATATATATATATATATAATATATATTATCATTATATATTATATTATATAATATATATAATATAAGCTATATATATATATATTATATATATAGATATATAAGCTTTAATATATACAACTTGATCAATAGACCTAACCACGTAAGTTGACTCATTGAAATACAATTAATTGAGATTTAGGCAAGAAAATTCATAATTCAAATTAGGTTTTTGACTTCTTGCAATGGTAGGCATTTGCCTCTTTTTTTCTTAGGTCAAATTTTCACAAATAATATTAGGTAAGCTTTTTAATTATATATAGTTTTAGCACATAACTTTTTTTTTTTAAATTCTTTTTTCTGTAATTTCTTTAGAATGAATCTTTTGAATGGTCTATCATATTAAATTTAAGAAACTAAATATAATTAATCTACAATTTGAAATAAACAAGCTAAATTTTTTGCCTTTAACTGAAATTTCAACAAGGGATTCTTTTTGATAATGATTTTATATAATTGTTTTATCACTTTCCTCGTAGCGTCTACATTTATAATTTTTTTTTTCCTAAATCAACTTTTAATCATAAATTCATAATGATTAATGACCATAGAAAAATTTAGTAAAGATAATTAAATTTAATGTCATTAGTCTTAAAATACTATCTTCTGTTCAATTATTGGATTTTAATCCATGCTATTCTTCAAGATCAGCTAAGTAAAACTCATAGAGCTTAGTGTAAAATTAAATAAATCACACTTCAAAATTTTTTTGAAGCATCTCGATTATTAATTTCACATTGGAAATACTCTTTTCATTTCCAAGTACTTGTCACATTTAGATATTTACGTCTTTAAGAAAATCATTCAATTTCTCTAAGTTACAATTAGTAAATTGATTATACTAACCTTTAATTTATTATTTGAGTAAATATCATTCAATCATTGTTGGTCACGTGTAGAAGGTAAAAATGAAAAAAATAATTTATTATTTATTAAATCCACAAATGCAATAAGTATTTAGAAATATTTTTTTTTCTCCAAATGTGATACGAAGGTGTATATAAAAGAGTAGTAAATGGTATATAACGAGAAAATGTGATTTAATTAAAATAATTTAGACCGTTTATTGTTAAGAGTAAACTCAATCCGTTATAAACTCAATTATTAAATTATATTTAACAGCTTTACAGCCCAGATTTAGTAATTTTAGAGCCTAATCCTATATTAAATTCTACAATCAACTGTTCTTATTTCAATTTTACAATCAAAATGTGAATTCAATTTTACAATTTTACAATCAGTTGTATTAAACACATTCTTTAAAATTCATATTTATAATTTAAGAACTACATTCTTGACAAATAAGTTCCAAATCAATGAAATTAAGATACAAAAGAAGATCAATTATGTAAAGAAAGAACTGAATTTTGTATGTCCATCTACATATATTAGATAAAATTAATAATTCCTTCTCCCTCTCTATGCATAATTGCAAAGACCAAAAGCACAAAACCCTCCATTTTTACATCTATTACTGCAACCCCCACAATGGTTTCTATTGAAAGAAGGGTTAACACATTTGCCATTGCAACAAATCTGATTATACTTGCATTTCTTCCCACAAGCTCCACAGTTAAGACGATCACTCAAAACATTTACACATTTCTTCTTACAACAATAAGGCCCTGGGCTTCCCTTAGCACGACAAATTCTTGGGTACTTGTCGCATGTTATTTGTCGAGCTTTTCTTTTCTTCTGAGCAAGTACGCGACCAAATCCATGTTCGGAACTAAAATCTTTGGTTATTTCGTAATCTGTATCATCTGGTTCTTGTTCTTGGAATGGTGTTGCTGTAATAGACCAGACTAGAGCCATTACAAGAACAAGAATCAAGAAAATGTTTAGTAACTTCATTTTTTGTGTTATGTCTGTAAGAGAAAAGTTTGAATTTGGTTTCTGAGAAGGAGATGAGCAGTGAGTAGAAGGAAAGATTTAGTTGGAGAAGAGAGGCAGTGGAAGGGAAGTATTTATAAGAGAATTATTGAGGGCAGTTTTTAATTTTAATTAATAATTTAATGCCAATTGCTATTCATATGTTTTTTGCATTTTGATTAGTCTATTTTTAACGGCTTGCCAACATTAAATAACGTGGCAAGATCATAGTGGGAGGACTACGTATTCTCCTTTCTGTGACTGTAATAAAATACTGCAAAAGATGGTATGGGCAAAGAGAAAGAAATTATTGGTTAGAAAATGGTATGCAAAAGACGAAGCCAGACTCCAGAATTAAGAAAATTAGAAAAAAAATTTAAAAATTAAGAGGGCAAAATCGAAAGAAAAAAATTTTTTTATACGATTTTATAATAAGGTAATTTTTTTAAAAAAATTATAAAAATTATGAAGCTTGAGTGTGTGGGATCCCAGTCTTAGGTAAGTCAAGTCAAAGTTCTTGCACTGTTAGGCAATAGGCATTGCCCCTTGACTCTTTTCTTAAGTCAATTTCCATGAATATATTAGGTGAGCTTTTTTAATTATAGAATTTTTTTTTATTTCCTTTTCTTTTCTTTTGAATGAATGTTTTGAATATTGGTCTACTGAATCATCTCCGATGCTAACGTGGATTGTACTTGATATGTCATGTGAAATAGAATCGGTGAATGATGATCTGGTTGAATGTCTATTTATAGACAATGAATTTTAAAAAACTCTCTCCAATGCATTAGTTTTGAATGTTCTTTCTTTCTCTTTATTTATCTCTTTTCTGGCCCCACAATTTAATATGCAACCAATCACCAAAGAGCAATAAATGTTAACATTGTATAAGAGACACTCTAGAAATAAAAGGTGCAGTAGACAATGTCTATTGATTTTTTTGACACATCAGCTTAACATCCTAAATAAACATTAGCATTGGAGAGCATTTTTTAAAAAGTCTTTCCATTTTTTTGATGTAGCAATTAAATAAAAGCAATCTACATTTGTACTGGAGATACTCTTAATTATATTAAATTTAAGCAACTAAATCTAATTAGTCCATAATTTTAAACAATTTATCTCAAATAACGGTCTATATTAAAAATTAAACAATTTATCACATAATCAGAAATATCAGATATATGATTAATTATCTTATAATTAAAATTAAAAATTTTCAAAAGAAAGAAAGAATTCTGAATTTGTGTGTATATCTATAATTAAAAAAAGTAATTTATTTTCCCTCTATGCATAATTACAGAGACCAAAAGCACAAAACCCACCATTTTCACACCTATTATTGCAACCCCCACAGTGTCTTCCATTAGAAGAAGGATTAACACATTTGCCTTGGCAACAAATCTGGTTATACTTGCATTCCTTTCCACAAGCTCCACAGTTATGACGGTCATTCAAAACATTTACACACTTCCTCTCGCAACAAGAAGGCCCTGGACTTTCTTTGAAATGGCAGATTGTTGGATTCTCATTACATGTTTGACGAGCTTTTCTTTCCTTTCGAGCAAGTAAGCGACCCGATCCATTTTCGGAATTAAAATCATCTTTTTCTTGGAGTGGTATTGCTGTATTGGACAAGACTAGAGCCATTACAAGAACAACAATCAAGAAAATATTAATTAGAAATTTCATAAGTATTTTGTTTTTTGTTATCTGTTTGCGAGAGCTAAAGTTCGAAATTTGGTTTGAAGAAGGAAATGAGCAGTGCTAGTGAGTGAAAGGAAGAGCTTAGGTTGTGAGTTGGAGAAGAGAGGCAGTTGAAGTGAAATATTTATAAGAGAATTATGAAGGGCAGTTTTTTTAATTTTAATTAATTATTTAATTAATTAAAGTCAATTAGTGTGCATGTGTTTTGCACTTTTTAGTGTAATTTTCAAAATTCAATAATGAAAATAATGTGCAAGTTCATAGTGGGAGGACTACGTATTCTTATTCTTTCTTTTTATTTTCATTAAATAGTGAAAAGGATGTATATATATATATATATATATATAGTTCCCCTCGTTGAGACCAGTAATTACTCATCTTGTGTTGGAATTTGATCATGTTTTTCGCCATGAAAATATATAATATTGAATTAAGAGCATAAATAGGTCGAATTTTTCAGGATTTACTGAATTAAAATTTTAGATTTTTAGTACTCAACTCGTGACATGAGATGATAGAAATTCATTCTCATTAACCGAAGGTCTTAATTTTGAATCATGAGTAAGGATGGAAGCGGGGTGGATATCCGCGAATTTTGAAATATATGTAACAATATCCGTTTAAAATTTTACTACACGTATTCATTTTAAACCCATTGGAAAATTCATTTAGTACTTATATCCGAATCCTTTTAAAATTTTACTACTCGTATCCATCCAAAAACTCGTTTAAAGTACCACTTAAACGTTTATTATAGCGGGTACATGCGGATACCTATGGCTAAAACTGTTTATTATAGCGGATATCCAGAGTCTAATACTCATATCCTATTCATATCTATTACGGGAGTAATTGTACTATCCATATCCATTAAAAACTCAATTATAACTATCCATACCCTCATTAAATAGATCGAAGCGGAGCAGGTACCCTAAAATACCCGTCTCACTTCCATCCCTAATTCTGAGTATGGATTCCTTTTAAATACTTCTTAGGGAGCACTTTATCCTTCTTTATGGGTTTGCTTAGAGTAAATCTGGATTAATCAGCTAGTGGACGATTAAAATAAAATAAAAACTCATATTTTTAGTTGTATATGCAGGTTTATAATAAATTATCTTAATTAGTATAGATATGTATGGATTACTTCGGTAACTTTTTATAAAAATTTTTAAAATTATTCATTTATTAAAATGAGATTTGGTAAAATTGGAAGGTGAGTCCATTTTAAATTAAAAATTTATTACAATAAGCTTAAAGAGATTTCAGTGAGAGGAAACAAAACTTTTTCTTATATAGTTGAAGATGAATACAATAATTGATATTGATATTTCATAAGAAAACTTGTAATTCAATCCAAATTTATTTTTCTATCTATAGCAACATATTAAAAATTTTCTCATATAAAAATCAAATAGCTACATCATGATTTTTTTTTTTTTAGGTCAGTATGATTTTCTATTTATATGTTTCACATGTATGATTATTAGATTGAGGAGGTATAGTTGTTAATGTCTAACAAGAAAGCTAGGCAAAATTCCATACTACCCAAAAAAAAAAAGGTGGAGGACTACCTGTTAATATCTAATTCGAACACGCAAAATGATGAAGAAAAAAAAAATCGTACCATTATTATTTAATTTATTAATTTAATGTTAATTAAAATTTTATTACATTATTATATAAATTTATTAACTCCAATCGTTAATATTAGAATTGATGGTAGTTCACTTATACGAGGAGTGAGATATTTCATATTCAAATTTTCTTGAGTATATAAGTTTTCACCATTTTAGTTTTGACCTGTTGAGTCTTCCAATAAATAAAAAAATTTAAAATTTGAACATTAACCGTTAGTAATTTTTGAGATATTATTAAAATTAATTCGAATTTTACTAATAAAAGTCATTTTTCTAATTTAGAAAAGCAAAGAGTTTGATCCGTAATACTATTTTTTATATATTATGCTAAAAAATTATATTAAAATAATAATAACTATTTTTGAATTCAATTATAAGCAACATGAAACATCGAAATGATAATTTCAGGAAAAATAATATTCTCATTGACAGCTGTAAATTTAAGAAGTCTCAAGAAATTTGTGTATTGAGAATTCCACGTCGTAAGACACTTTAATAATTAAAATTGAAAGTTCCGTCAAGAAATTTTGTACGTCTTTAGTGGAAAGAGAGATCGTGTAAACAAAAACAGAGTGGCACCCAGCCCAACATTACCCACTACTACGTAACTTCTTCGCCTGCTGATTGAAATATCCAGCTCCATTTTGACATTTTTATCCTTATTATCGATTTTCTTCTCCTCTTCTGTCGCTCAGTGGCAGCAGCCAAGGAGACACTGAAATGGATCAACACTTGGCACCAGGGAATTGACCAGATAACCAATCAGTCAACACGCGTTCCACCAGGTCGCAATTGAGCTTCAAGTCTTTGCCTTCGCTAAGGATCTCAACTACAGTCATCTCCAAGTAGACGATTCCAGAATCAGTGACCATAAAATCAGTTATGGAAATAAGCAAAATTTGCGGAGAACTATGTCTTTGATTTCTTCGAGAGACCTCTGGGGCTTATTAGAAGTCGCCATGGGAGATAGATTGTTAAACTAAATTAAAGTGGATAAATGAATGAGAAGAATCGATGAGACGAATTTGGATAGTTTTCTCGGGAAACAAAAGGGAATTGAGGGTTTAGGGGAGGAACATGGTAGCTCGGATGGAGAAGGAGAAGTTAGTTAGTTGAAGGGGATGACAAATTAGATATTAGGGTTTTTGTGTTTTAGATTTTAGGTTAGGTCTAACTGAAACGGTGAGGTTGATGAATTTGGGGGCTCGAGTTAAGTTGACCCAAGCTGGTTAGGTGGTGTCACAATCGATTTTCGCGGGCCGAACTGATACTAAGACCTGGTGGGATTAAGGCCTCCGAGACCCGTAGTAAGCTTATATTAATTCATCCATATTCTAAATATAATTGTGGTTTGGGGGTCTAACAACTTTGTTCTATAAACATATCACAAGTATACGTTATATTATTAACGGCATTAGGAAATGGGTCGTGACAGGTGGGATCCACTTTAATACTATTATGTTATAAAACCTTAGTTAATTTTAGATTTAGGGTGAAAATATATCTAAGTTATTGAGTCAGGATGCTTGAAGGATGAAAATTGATTTAGAGTGATACTGCAACAAATGGCAAAGGTGGGAGTAATTATATAGCTTAGGCCTTTATTTTTCTGTGGATAAAAAAAATAAAAACAAAGTAAACAATTGTTTGAATAGAGAGATTTTGATGTGATTTGAGCTATGAAATTTACAATTCTATAAATTATCAGATTCCTTCTTTTGTTTGAGAAAAAAAAAAAAAAAAAAAAAATACTGCAACAAATGGCAAAGGTGGGAGTAATTATAAGCTTAGGCCTTTATTTTTTCTGTGGAAAAAAAAAAATAAAAACAAAGTAAACAATTGTGTTGAATGTAGAGAGATTGATGTGATTTGAGCTATTTGAAATTTTACAATTCTATAAATTATCAGATTCCTTCTTTTTGTTTGGAGAAAAAAAAAAAAAAAAAAACACAACCAGGATCTATAAAATTAAAAAAAAAAAAAAAAAAAAAAACACACCAGGATCTATAAAATTAATATATTTCATTCTGACTTCAATTTGATCATATTAAAAAAAGAGACAGAGAGAGAAATCTCACTTAAGATGTAAAATTTTCTCAATTTCACCAGTTTTATAAATAATGTAATTTAAACTATTAATTTTATTTTAAAAATATCTTTCAGATTTTGAATTATACTTTTCCACTAAACAATGAAATATAAATTTCATTAATTTCACAATCCTCTAATTCTACATTCTATATATTTTACAAAATCTTTGAATTTCATATTTCATTGATCTAAATGACTTCTTGTAAAATTTAGGTGATGCAATAAAATATTTCATAGATTTATTAAATTATTTTCTTTAGTTAAAAAAAATAGGTTAATTCATGAAATTGGTAAATCCTATGTTATTAATTACAAAGAGTGAGATTTTACAATTTCAAAATTTCTTATTAAAAGTGAAATTTAAAATGATTTAATTTAATTTAATTTTATATTATTTTTTAATTATATAAATTTTATATTTCACATAAATGAGAAAATATAAATTTCAAAATTTATAAAATTCTAGTTCTATAATATTTTCCTCATACAAAAATAAATTCTATACATTTTTTGAAATCCATCAATTTCACGTTGCATAGAGCCAAACCGCGTAATGAAGCCTAAAGATAGGAGAATACCTTTGCCTTTAACTTTTATAATAAAAAAATTATACTGTACTAAAAGCAGGCAAAGACGAAAGGAATTCTCTTTAAAGATTTCTTGGCTAGTTGGGTAAAGCACAAACAAACCAAGTCACAGGAAACACGAGCTATGTTTCTTAATCAACACTTACATTTTATTGCAACAAAAACAAGCCTTAGTCCCAAAAATTTTACCATAACAAAAGAAATGTTTGTGTGTTCTATACTTATATTTTTTTGGGAGAATGATATATTACAGTGCTTTTTAAAATTAATATGACATTTTTGAAATTTATAATTCAGATTGTCATTTTTTCCTTTTATTTTACATATCGTAATTATGAACATTCGATAAATTAAGACGAACTAAATTGAATAATTTCTGTTTTGATTTAATCTGACGCTTTCCAATCAAATAAGTTATTTTGAGCGTAAAAATAAGTTTGGTTAATTGTATATAGTAATTAAACTAGAGACCGAAATTAAACAATTCTCTCACCAAATTAATCGATGATGGAATTTTAAAAACATTTGACGAAAATAGATCCATTTGAATTGATTTTTTATTAGAAATTGTGTATTGCTTGCCTTATATATAAAAAAAACTACTCTCGTTGCCTTAGCATTGTCAAGTTTCAAAGTCTTTCCACCTCGTTGGAAACGAGCAGGAAAGACCTTAGTTATGACAAAACCATTTGGGTTTATTGATTGGTAAATCCTTTGCGTAATCACTAAACAATGCTCATTAATTAATAATTATTTTACAAACAAAAGCATTAGCATTCTTTTTCAAAATAAAATTCTTACTGCTGTATGTGTATAAAGTACCATAGATATAAACTATAAAATACCATCCATTACTTGAGTATAACTCTTCTTAGATCAATACGATAGTTCAGTGGCAAAAACCAATTCAGAGTTAATATTACCATGACTTAGTTTGATCTTTTGTAACTTAAATTTTCTCTAGACTAGCTTTTTCGTCACTGAGAGCGAGCAATGATTAGTCGAGTTTATTGAGACCATAAAAATGGACACTAGACACCTCGTGGAAGTAAAAAAAAAAAAAAAAAAAAAAAAGTAAAAAAAAAAAAAAAAAAAAAAGGGAAACCTCTTCTTCAAGCAAATCATATATGATTACCAATTACAGAATAAAAGTCATTAATTCTTAAAAGTTACTAAAAAAAAAAAAAAAAAAAAGAAAACCTCTTCTTCAAGCAATCATATATATTACCAATTACAGAATAAAGTCATTAATTCTTAAAGTTACTAACCTTCTCTTGTCTAGCCAAGACATTACTCTGCTTAAAAACAGCATAGATAAGTTATAAACTACCATAACCCAAAAAGGAAAGGAAAAGGAAATGTCTTCTTCTACCATTAATTTCATTCTAATCTTCGCATTAACCTCATTTTGTATTCTCTCAACAGCTTCTGCCCATTTCCATCCTTGTACTGAAACTTTTCTTTCCCTAACCAAAATACACAACCTATCAAAATGCAGAGAATTGACAACCCTTGGAGCTGAATTTGGCTGGAAAATCAATCAAAACAATAAGAATTGGATCAATATTCTTTTTGGAACTAGATTATATGAGGATTTCGGATGGATAGCTTGGGGAGTTAATCCAGGCAAGATGGCACAAATGGTGGGAACAAGGGCAATAGTAGCTGTGATAAACACCAATGGGTCAATCTCCGCTAAAACTTACAATATCACAAGCGACACTAAGCTTGGTTGCAAGCTAGAGCCTACAAAATTTGAGGAAGCTCAAAATGAAGTGCTTTTCCAGAATATTTCAGTGTATTATGAACAATCTTTAGACATATACATAATGAAAGCTATAGTTGTTCTTCCGTCAGGCGACGCCGGGTACAGCATTTCACGGTTGAACCATGTTTGGCAAGTTGGATTTGATATTGAAGGAGATAATCCTAAGAAGCATCCGACGATCCTCCAAAATGTTGACAGTACTGAAACTATAAACTTAGAGACCGGTTTCGGCCACCATGTTGGAAGAGGGCGACACCACCTGCGAATGGTAAGAAATTAAAACCTTTTCTCGATGTTTCTTCAGCTAATAGCGAGTATAATTAGATGTTATTTGTTTGTTCTTTTGGTCGTTTTGGGCTTTCTTTATAATTGGCAGGTGCATGGCATTTTGAATATTTTGGGATGGGGAACCTTCTTACCTGCTGGTGTGATTATCGCAAGATATTTCAAATACCCATTGGAACGTTTTCAGAATTGGCAATTTTGTCTTCACGTTTCCTGTCAAGTTACTGGATATATTCTTGGAACTTCTGGTTGGGTGGTTGGCTTGTGTCTTGGAAATCTTTCTAAATTCTACGAGTTTAAGATCCATCGCATTTACGCCATGTTGATTTTCGCATTTACAACCTTACAAGTAAGTCATTCTCTTCCTCTTCTAATCTGAGTTTAAATTCTAGATAATTCTGTCAATAATTCGCATTACATTGCAGATGTTGGCGATTCGATTAAGACCAAAGAGGATCGATGAGTACAGAAAATATTGGAATATGTATCATCATTTGTTAGGGTATGGATTGCTTGCTGTGATTTCAATAAACATATTTCATGGAATTGATATTTTGAAGCCTAAAGACAATGCTTGGAAGTGGGGTTACATTGGAATTCTTATAGCTTTTGCTATCATTGTCGCAATTCTTGAGATCTACAGTTGGACTAAATTTAAACGCAGTAGTAAACAAAGTAACGTTCAGATACCAGCTGCTAATGCTCCTGTTACTGGTCCACCGATACCACAGCCACGTCCATGATTGGAGAAATAATTAACTGAAAATTAGTATGTAGAGTATAATTATTGATATATCTGTTTTTGTGTTATAGATATTTGTTGGATTGTTTGCTTCTTTTTTCATTTTGGATTTGGTTTGGAACACTTCCCCTCTTTTTGTGGAATCAACATAGATGAACAACATTTTCAGAAATTACCTTTTTGTTGAATAAGTTTCAATATCAACATTTGCTGCTTTTGGAAGGTATGGATCAACATTTTAGGCTTGCTTCTTAATTTATGAAGATCAAGAATATCGTTTAAAAATTGATACACCAAGATTAAAATTGCATTGAAAAAGGCTTTTACTATAAATTTATTCGAAAGAAATTAGTCTTTCATCCATACATAATAAATATTAAAAAAAATCTTAAAATTAATTATTTTCACGAGATTAATCAATTTTATTAATTTGGGTTATTTTTAGGTTGAACAAAGATTCAAACTTTAATTGCAGTGCAATTAACAAAAATAAATCTGAATTGTAATTTTACTATACAATAAAATTTAATTTGAAATGGTTTGATCCTAACAAGTAAAATTCTTTTGAGTATATAAAAACCAGAAGCTTGCTTAAAAATAAAAAATAAAATAAAAATAAATTTTATTCCTGTCCCCAAAATTTCTGGAAACGAACCATAAAAAAAAACTAATACTAGTCACGTATCCACATTTTTTCCAAACCATAAAAAAGTAAAAATAATGGCGGCTCCAGCATTGGAGGGCGCAGCCGTCACGGCTCTCCGGTCTGTAATGCTCCGAGTGCGCCAAGGTGCGGAGCGGGCTGGAACACGACCTGAACTCATACGGGTCGTGGCCGTGTCTAAAACCAAATCTGTATCCCTTATCCGCCAAGTGTACGACGCAGGCCACCGTTGCTTCGGCGAAAACTATGTTCAAGAAATCGTCGATAAAGCTCCCCAGGTCTTTTTATGCATCTTCTTATATATTTACGTATTTATGTATTTATACGTTCCAGATTGTGTTTTATATAATTGAATTGTGCGTGTATATGCAGCTGCCGGAGGATATAGAGTGGCATTTTATTGGCCATTTGCAGAGCAACAAAGTTAAAACTCTTTTGTGTAATTCTCTTATTTTTATTGCTAGTTTCGTTTCAGTTTTTTAATTTTTCTTTGTAGCTCAGTTACGCATTATGATGCCCCAGAACTGGCTTGAATTCCAAATTATTTTTTTTCTTTTTTTTTTTTTTTAAAGAATCATTGAAATTGATGATAATGAAGAATGATTACCCATATTGAAGCATTTATTCTTTGTTGCAATTTCGGTTTGAACATTTTCATGACCTTTGAAACTTGAATGGTGAAAGAGTAATGCAATTTGATAGTCTTAGTGCCGGGTTTCTTTATATTCTTTTCGCTATTTGCTTTAGCTTGATTTGTCATTTTCCTGTATGAACTCTGTTAAACATGTCCTACGGTTGATGTGAGTTGACCAATTAAGATATTCTCAAATTCATTTTTCCACCTTTTATATTCTTGCAGTTAATAAAAATTAGAATGCACTAGAAATTATTTCGGGTGTTAAGTTGCGTTTAAAAGGGGAAGAGAGGATATACAATCTGCAGTTAGTTACCGGTCTTTGCTCAGAGAAATTTAGATCTGCTTGGTGCTAATAATAGATGATTGTGTTTTTGGCTTGTATTCTCTGAGGTTTCTTATTTTCCCGTACGTGATTCTCCATTATTTTAAGGTTTCATTTCTGTATGCAGCAGGAGTACCAAATCTGTCCGCAGTTCAGAGTGTAGATAATGAGAAGGTAAACACTTCATTCGATATTTGTTATAATCAGGATGCAACACAAGGGCCCTTTTCATAATTTTATTAGCACAAGGGAAGCTCGCATGATCATTGGCTGTGCAAAAACTGAAAAGCTTTTCAACTGCTTCTGGAAAATGTACTTGGAGACTATTCTATAGTTCAATTAATGTACTTGTGTTATGCTTTCTAAAATGTTCTTGATTCACATTTTATCTGCTATGGTTGTGTGGTCATTTGTGCTCTATTTTAGACAGGTTAGGTTACAATAGTAAAGCTAAGTGCATTTACTGATCCTTGATCCACGTAAAAGACACTCAAGGAAGATAACATATTTTGTATCCTACAGGTTGCAAACATTCTTGACCGAGTAGTTTCAAGCCTTGGAAGAAACCCTTTGAAGGTCTTTGTCCAAGTAAATACCAGTGGAGAAGCATGTGAGTAAGCTAGTTAATTGTTATCTACTCATGACAATTTCTGTTTGTACTTTAAATCATGTGTTGTTAGGTGCATTTATATTGCTTAAACATCTGCTTTGTGTGTTTGACCACCTTTCGCTCCTGAAATATATCTGCATTGAACCTTGAGTAGTTTCTGTTGCAATTGCCAAAATGACAGCTTAACTTTTTCTTATGATCTCTGCGCGTTGCATTAATTAATGGAACTCTCTTTGTCAGACTATGGCATCTACCCATCAATGTCCAAGTGTATTGCTCTAAAACATGCATCTACATTTCTTAAATTGAATTTAAACTCTAAGCAACTAGAACATCAAGCTGTCTGGATCAATGTGTGATGGTCAGATGTGGAAAAAGTTTCTTTTAAAAAAAAAAAAAGAAAAAAAAATTTTTGACTGCTCTTGTTGGCCAAGTTTAGAATGGATGTATTTTTTTCCACTTATTCAATTTACTGGATTGATCTGCTGATTGAATTTTGTGATGCTGTTTCAGCAAAATCTGGAATCAATCCCTCAGTTTGTGCATCCCTTGCAGAACATGTTAAACTGCGGTGCCCAAATTTGGTGTTTTCTGGCTTAATGACAATAGGGATGCCAGACTATACATCAACTCCAGAAAACTTTAGGGTAATCCTTTTTGCTTATGTTTCATTGAGCATATAAAACATTAGATAAGAAACAAATTAATCATATGATTTTAAGGCTTGAGATAATTCAAGAGTTGGGGGTTCTTATCTTGCACCATCTTGTTATTTTTTCTTCTCTATTCAAATAGTTCTGCTTATTAGATGCTTTTTTGCGTTATATTTTTGTTTTCTGACATCCATATGACATGGTAAGCCTTCAGAGAATTGTCAATATTTTATTAACTTTCGTGCGACAGACATTATCAAACTGCAGACTTGAGGTTTGCCAGGCACTTGGAATAGCAGTGGATCAGTGTGAGCTATCAATGGGCATGTCTGGTGATTTTGAGCAAGCGGTGATGTTACTTTCTTTTGTGGTTAGATTAGATAGCAACTAATTTGCTCAGTTTCCTGATGCTAGGATGATAACCATTGCATATATCGTTCTCCTTCCTAAAAATCTATGATTTCACAACACTGAAATTGTAGTTCTTCTGAAAACAAATATTTAGCTCCTAAATATTTGATACAATACCAATCATTTTATGATGGTCAGCAATATTTGAACATCTTGTCCTAATGGAAATCATTTTCTGATCTTCACAGATTGAAATGGGCAGTACGAGTGTGAGAATTGGATCGACCATATTTGGACCGCGGGAGTATGCCAAAAAAGCAACCTGAATAGTTTTTCAAGGTTCTTGTTCTGTATATATTTGTTGTACCATTGCACGTTCTTCATACTCGGAATTAGGTGTGCAGTAATGCATTGTTTTGTTTGTAAAGGGTAATAGATTAAAGTTAAACTGAAACTTTTCCTCCTTCAATGTGATCCCCAAATGATATTTTCCAATTGTTCTATATCTATAAAAAGTGCAAGTAGAAAATGATATCCAAGACATCTGAATATTGGATATAAACTGTGGTTTCTGTAAGTATTTTTGTTATCTAAGGAGATGGTGTTGACAAAGAGTTTTGTAAATGGTGTTTAATCACTCATTTTCCAAAATTGATTGATTTTCAAGCTATTACAAAGTTAAGAACGTTTGCCTTTTAATTGTTTGCTCAAAAAGCAAAGTGAAAATACTTGATAACTTCAATTTCTGGAGTGGTCATTTGCTTGAAAGAATGTGAAATTTATGAAACTCGTTAATTTAATGGAATTTAGATTCCAAAAATTTTATAAATTTTATATTCAATTATTTAGTTGGAAAATAAAATTTATGCATCTAATTTTTTTTTAAAAATAAACATTATGTACTTAAAAGATATTTTGAAATAAAATTAAATGGTTAAATCTAATTAATTTTCAATTTTTACAAAAACGTGGAGAGATTTATCAAGTCAAAGGAAACTATTCTCTGACATACTCTATGGATATTATTTCGGTTTTTTAGATCCCATTATAAATAAAAAATTATTCACTATTTAAAAAATATAAGATGAAATTGAAAATTTCACTTCTAATTTTAGTGGAATTTTTTTTGAGGCATCCGTAATCAAATAAAAAAAATCCATCATGGGATGTTTAATTCCATCAAATTCAAACCACAACAAGTGATAAATAGGGGTTATAATGGTAATTGCGAAAATTTTGGATGTGCCAAATCATTTGCAATGTTTTATTTATTAGCGAAATTGCCACATCATCAGAGTCATCAGGCGGAAGCGGGTCCAAGTCGTCCAATTCAGCCTTCCGATGTGTCATCAAGTCAGATATCTAAAACCCTTTGTCTGAAAAAACCAACGATATCTAAAACCCCTCTGCTTCTGTCTCTCTGCTATCAAAAAATGAGTTCACTCCTTTCAACCAAATTTTCTCTTTCTCTCTATCCAAACAGCTCTTCTCTTCATTTTCTCTCCCAAAACAAACCTCAAAGCATCCATTTTTCCTCCGACAAAATCAGGTTCAAAATAAAATGCACAGCCACAAACCAACCGCCACCATCCCGGAAAAAACAATCCAAGAAGAGCAAGAAAAGTGAAAGTGAAACTGAAGACGAGAAAGGAATAGACCCAGTTGGATTTCTTACCAGAGTCGGCATTTCTCACAAGCAATTTGCTCAGTTTCTACGCGAAAGGTAAGAAAATTGAGAAATTCTGGTTAGAGAGAGAGAGAGAGAGAGAGAGAGAGAGAGAGAGAGTTAGAAAGTTAGGAAAACAAAAACTGTGCTATTGAGCTTGCTGATTCTCATTTTATGGCTGCTGAGACGCGATAATGATAGTGGAGTGTATGTTTATTTGTGAAGAGAATTTCTTCCGTTAAAGTGTTGGAAATTTGAATTTTCTAGCTTTTATGGGTGAATAGCTTATCGATTAATTTCTAAATTTTGCAGGCATAAATCAATGAAGAACCTTAAAGAGGAACTTTTCAAGAGAAATTTTATGATCAAGGACATTGCTTATGGGTTGGTTCAATCGAAGCCTCTTTATGTGTGTGTATTTGAGAAAATGAAAAAAATAAAATAAAATAAATTCCAGGTTTTAGCTTATATATGTGTATAGTTCCCTATTTAACTTAAGATGTCAAAATCCAGCAAGCTTTGATAGATCTTTTGATATTTTGAAAATTTTCGGTGCTATTGTTTGATAAAATATGTGCTGTTTATTTTAATTGTAGTTGAGTGATTTTAATTTGAATTTCATTATTCTTGGTTTTCTACATAGATATGAGTTGATGGGTCTGCATCGTCATCCAGAGCATCGGGCAGATTATATGGAATGGGCTCCAGGTTTTTACATAACGTTTTTACTTCAATAAACTTCATGGGAATATCTAAGCCTGGATTCAACTTTTCCTTTGCAAGAAACTTTCTGGTCAATAGTCATTAATTAATAAAATAAATCCAAATTAGATATTACTAGACAAATTTATTGTCCATCTACCTCATTGCTACTGATATTTTTTCTTGCATTAAATGGTACCATGAATGGCCATGGTTATTACTTCTTGACTTTCGCCTTCGCCAGCCTCCATCTCCACTTTTAAATTCTTGCCTATTTTGTTGAATTACATGTGAATTCTAAGAATGGTGTATGCAGGTGCTCGCTATTGTGCACTAGTTGGTGACTTTAATGGGTGGTCACCAACAGAAAATTGTGCAAGAGAGGGTCACTTTGGCCATGATGACTATGGGTACTGGTTTATCATTCTTGAAGATAAGCTTAGGGAGGGAGAAGAACCAGATGAACTTTATTTTCAACAGTATAATTATGTGGATGACTATGATAAAGGTGACAGTGGTGTTAGCATTGAAGAAATCTTCAAAAAAGCAAATGATGACTACTGGGAACCTGGAGAAGACGAGTACATTAATAATCGTTTTAAATTGCCTGCAAAGTTATATGAGCAGTGGTTTGGCCCTAATGGGCCTCAAACGATGGAAGAATTGGAAGAAATACCTCTTCCAGATGCAGAAACAAGATATAAGGAATGGAAAGAGCAGCATAAAGATGATCCTCCTAGTAACTTACCCCCATGTGATGTGATTGATAAAGGAAAAAAATATGACATATTTAATGTCATAAGTGATCCTGCATGGGTAGAAAAAATCCGTGCTAAGGAGCCTCCTGTGCCGTATTGGTTTGAGACACGTAAAGGTAGGCAAGCATGGTTGAAAAAATATACTCCAACTGTTCCTCATGGAAGCAAATACAGGGTCTACTTCAACACTCCCGATGGGCCACTGGAAAGGGTTCCTGCTTGGGCTACATATGTAGAACCAGGTAATACCGACTTCTACTGAGAGCCATTTGTTGCTTTGCAGACATTTTTGTTAATTGTTCATTGACTGTTCGAAAATTTTCAGTTGACAGTCAAATTGTTTGTAAGGGAAGTTAATGAAGCAAAAAATTGTTTTTACATATCCTTCACCTTCACCTTCACCTTCACCTTCACCTTCACCTTCACCTTCTTTTAGTGTATGTCTGTCTACCATTTGATCCATCACTCACTCCCAAGAGATACTATCTATCCTTAAATATTAATCTATATGGCCCATAAAAATCTCAATACAAAAACGTCTTTTCCCCCTTGCTTACCTGGATCATCAACGTGAGCCCTTTTAACTGCATTCTAAAGGTGCATCTGTTGTTGTTGGATCGGATTCCTGTTATGGCAATTGTTAAGCTTGTCCAATGCTACTAGAACTGCCCTTCATTGCTGTACTTGCTTATAGTTACTGTCTATGGCACAGATGCGAAATATCATATTTGCATTTTAATTCATACTTGGTTCAACTGAAGTTTGATCATCATTGCCAGGCACAGATGGGAAGCAGCCTTTTGCCATCCACTGGGAACCGCCCCCTGAATGTGCTTACAAATGGAAGAACACTCGCCCGAAAGTTCCAAAGTCCTTGCGCATATATGAGTGCCATGTTGGAATTAGTGGTTCAGAGCCAAAAATATCTTCTTTCAGTGATTTCATAGATAAGGTAGGTCTCTTGGGTTTAATCATCTATTTCTTAACATACTATATTATGTAATCATTTTCTTCCACATGTGCCTCATTTTTTTTTTTTTTAAAAAAAACAGGTTCTTCCACATGTGAAAGAAGCAGGATACAATGCAATCCAGTTGATTGGAGTTGTTGAGCACAAAGATTATTTCACAGTTGGTTATAGAGTGAGTCAAACATTGTTATTGGTTTTTCCCCATCTCATTTAACATTAAATATCCCGATAAATTTAAGGTTTTATTTTCCAATAGAAATGCTGGCCTACTTCCACTTGAATTAATCAATATGAAATTAAACTACTTTTTTCTTTTATTTTTACCAGATGTAGAATAGGTATGAAACTATGAATATGTTAGATATCTGGGACTTGATTGGTGAAGTAGTATCTCTCTCCCAAAAAGCATGTTTTTTTTTTTTACTACTGTACAAAGAAAATTTTTTTGTGAATGAACAAGATATTAAGGAATCTGGAGTAATTAATAAAGAAATATTGCAGAAAACACGTGTGGTGTGCATCTTGCTTTTTGATAGTTTAATCCATTCGTAATATTGACTCCCATTTTCTTGTTCCCAATACTTGGTTTTAGTTCCATTAGGTGCATTTTCTTTAAGAAGCTCTTAAAATGTGAGAAAGCATCTCTATGGTAATGCAGGTCACCAATTTATATGCTGTTAGCAGCCGATATGGCACTCCTGAGGACTTCAAGCGCTTGGTTGATGAAGCACACGGTTGTCATTCTTTGTCGGATTCTTTTTGGTTCATTAAGACTATAGATTTCATTTATACACTGCAAGGGGCCTAATTACTTCAGTCAGTTTATAATGCTTATATGACAGCTCTATTCACTTGCAATTTTGATACATGGATTTACTTCCTTTTTCAAAATTCCTAAGATACAATGGAGACCAGCCAGTGAGAATATAAAATGATCAACAGATGGCAGTAACCAGCAGTTGAATCTTGCATTGAATATGCCTACTAGATAATGGTGTTCTAATTCTATTCTGCCAGCTAACTGCAAAACTTATCTATGATATTTTTTTTTTTCCTTTTCATCTCTTTTTGGCATGGGAAATTTCTTGTAGTAGTCCTGTTTGATGTTCATTTTATTGTTTCCAATTTATGAGCTCTTAGTGGCTTTCTCATTTTACAGGATTAGGACTACTGGTGTTCTTAGATATTGTCCATTCCTACTCAGCTGCGGATGAGATGGTCGGGCTGTCACTTTTTGATGGATCAAATGATTGCTACTTTCACACAGGTAAATTCATTCTTGTATTGGCAAACCTTATTGAATGTACTTGTTACTACGTACTTGTCTTTTAGCCGCTTAATCCACTCGTGTAATGTAAATATGTTTCACTTTCCTTACAAACTGCTCAATGAACTTTTCTTATTTTATATTAGTATTTAACTCTTCTTGTCTTCCTTTCCCTATTTGAATAGGTAAACGTGGGCACCACAAATATTGGGGTACCAGAATGTTCAAGTATGGGGACCATGAAGTGTTGCATTATCTACTCTCAAATCTTAACTGGTAAAAATCTGAAGCTCAAGCAATGTTTCTGCTTTCTAAGTTATTATTACATGTTTGTAATCTAACTATGGGCTCTATTTTTCTTTATTTATAATTGTTGTTGGTTGATCTCTTGGAAAATAATATTATGGTTTGTGCCAGTTTATCCTCCGTTGGTAGGTTTTCTTGTCATTGCTTATGTAGATGATCTTTGAGCAGGTGGGTTGTGGAATATCAAATAGATGGTTTCCATTTTCATTCGCTCTCATCAATGATTTATACACACAATGGTTTTGCTTCTTTTACAGGCGACTTGGAAGAGTAAGGCATCTGCTGTGCTTTTTTTTTTCTGACTTTTAATTGCATATTCACACATTTCTACAAACTGTTCTCATAAATTCATGGGCCTAATGAAAGCATTTAATATCTCAGTATGGCTAAATTAAATGAAATAGCAACCTTTTATACCCTTGGAATAGCTTAACAGTAGTTGTTTTGGTGCTGCCTTTCATCAAAATTTTATGAGAAACACAAACACACAAGTACGGACGAAAAGAGAGAGAGAGAGAGAGAGAGAGAGAACTAGACAAATAATTCTACCTAGTTTGACAAGATGCCTATTCTCAACAGAGCCACTTATATTTTTCCTATGAAGGAAGAAAAGAAAAAAAATACAGCCACAGATTACAATTTATTCTAGGATCTCTCCCAAATGCTTCTTTATTTGAGAACATGGAAATTGTGAAGTTTCCAAATTATCCCCACCAATACAAATTTCACCCAGGGGTCCAACTTATGTTGTGCCCATGGAACTTCAAGTATATTACAAATGAAAGGGTAGAGGTAAATGATTGCTAAGATGTTAGAATTTATGAAGTGAAATTGTGAAATTGTGAAATTTGGGCTTACTTGGGCTTAGGTCCACAAATGTTAAGAGGTTAGCACTAACCAATTAACTAGCTAGATCTCCGCCCTTATATACCCTATTATGATTTTATATTTGAACAGTGTGGGATTCTTAATACTCCTTCTCCAGTGCAACCAGATCTTAATTGACATTTGAAACTTTGAAATCCTCCCCATAAAATTGAATTGGGCTTTGCTCTTGAATGGGTCTCGCTTGGACTGGACATCCAAATGAGAGCTTGAATTGAAACGCAACGGTAGCACCACTGAACTGAGGAATAACTTAACCAGGCTAGACCTATTCTGATATGATATTCTAAATGAAAAGTAGAGGTAAATGATTGAGTAAGAGGTTAGAACTCATGCAGTGAAATTTGTGTTATTTGGCTTATGTGGGATCAGGCTAATCAATGGTAAATGATTAGTACTAACCAATTAGCTAGTTAGCTTTCCACTATTATATGTTTACAATTTGCTATTTGAACAACGAGGTATACAGTATCCCCGCTAAATATAAGCCACATTTTATGATTGTCTAGGATGATTGAATAATAGTGTGAATGTTAGTTTGCTTAAGACAGTCAAATAGAATATTGAATTTGGAAACAACTAGGGTGCCTACACCTTTGGCCTAGTAGAAAAAATATTAAGAGCTACTTAGGATTAATAAAGAATAGTTTTTATTACCAGAGAAGGTCTTTTCTAGAGTGTTAGAATTGCTAGACATGCAATCCTAACTAGCATCCACTGTGATGATTGATATAAGTTTTAGTTTTGCACTCAACTTCACAGTATTCCTCAAATTTTTATGCACTGTATCCAATTCATTGTGGCTTTTGTCGGAGAATTTATTTGAACATAATTTCGGTCTGATTGCAGGTACTGCAATCAGTATGTTGACAGGGATGCATTATTGTATCTCATATTGGCAAATGAGCTATTGCATGCTCTTCATCCTAATATAATAACGATTGCTGAAGATGTAAGTAAATATGGGTTGTATATTCCACTTTTCTATCCTTATTTTTTTCTTTGGAAATGACCTTCCCATATTTAATTCAATTGTCTTTCTCATTCTGTAATATTATGGATTACTGCGAATAAAATATTCTGCCTCCGATAACTTGAAGTCACCTTGCAAATACAGTGGGAAAATTGTTGTTATGCAGTAAAATTCAGTTGATGATTCCCATTGATTTGAAAATTGGTGTATACAATATTTTTCAATGTGAATTGTCCAATATAGGTATTTGCTATGCTATATTGATAGACAGCATTAGGAATTTCCTTCTAACTTCACTTATTTATGGGATGTTATTTTGTGGTATGGTTCATGGAGACTCTTATGTGAATGAAATTCAATATCTTGCTGAGATTGTGGGCATGATACTTGGGAAAATCATTGGAAAGTATATTGTGGCATTATGCTTTGACACACTTAAGGGAAAGGGACAGGAGAATGTTTTGCATTGTTGTATCATGCATTCCTTTATTGTCATATTTATTACCATTTTGACTGAGTGTCCTAATGGAGTAAATATGTCAATGCATGCCAAAAACTTTGTTAATGATATTTATTATTTTTAGAAAAATACAATTTATCTTTTATTGATGTGGCACCGTTTTTGATTCCATATGGCCATCTAGCTATTTTCTAGATCATGTACAGGTATAATTGCACTTTTATGATATGTTGGTAACATATATATATAATTTTAATGATATTAGCAAAATATGATATTGAAATCATCATGAATTACATCTCATGAGACTCGAGTGACTAAAAATTTGCTATAGCCTTGAATGTCAAAACATTAAACCATATGATCCTTTTCTCAACTTCTCCTAGTTCCTATGTTCCTTTCATTGTCAATCTGACTGCTAAAAGAATTGTCGTTGGTACCCACGTAACAGTGAACAAATTGTATTCTTAAGCCATATAATTTTTGTTTTGCCATGATTGCATAGATTCTTCATGCCTTTTCCTTGAGCAGAGGTGTGTATATTGCACTGGATAGACTGCAATGGCCCTAAAGAGTTCTTTATATTATAGGTGATTGACTTAGGTTTCCTACAATTTGAGTTGTGTGGCATGTAATTCTACGAACTGATTCAATACATCATCGAATTTATTCTAGCTATGATCTGCGCCAATATTTCTCCAGCTTTTAAAGCTGGAATTATTCATTGCAATTAGTGATCATGTTTCAAGGCCTTTTTGTATTCTAATATAGTAGTTGGCTGAATGAGTTAACTTCACTGGACTATTAAATAATTTTGTAGCTTTTAATAAAGTTTTGTTTCTTTTCTTGCTCAGGCAACATTTTATCCTGGACTCTGTGAATCAACTTCACAGGGAGGATTGGGATTTGATTATTATGTCAATATTTCTGCATCAGAGATGTGGTTATCTTTTCTCAAGAATATTCCAGACAATGAATGGAGCATGAGCAAGGTTGTATTGTATTGTTGTTGCATTAGCAATCCTTTACCAACTACTCTTTTTATTTGCTTTCAAAAAAATAAATTATTTCTGTTTCATTACTCCCATATTTACAGAATTTACTTCTATATTGCAGATTGTCAGCACATTAATAGGAAACAGAAAATATGCAGATAAGATGCTTTTATATGCGGAAAATCACAACCAAGTAATTTTCTGAATCTCTTAGTACTGATCATAGAAAAGCTTTTGTTTAAGACTTTATTTTATACTTATTTACTCAACAATTGAATTCTGCCATTATGTTTTGCATGTCAGTCTATCTCTGGAGGACAGTCATTTGCAGAGATCATGTTTGGTGAATTTAAGGACCATTCAACTGCCTCAAAGGATTCACTACTTAGGGGATGTGCATTGCACAAAGTAATTGGTGCTCAGTCTTGTTTCTTTTTTCCTCATTTTCTTGATGTATTTCTAAAAAGCAGCCTTAACCAATTTTTGCAAGCACTAGCACAATTTTCCTGTTAACCAACTTCCACTGCTTTCTTTGAAACATTTATGAAGCATGAGTACTCTCTCTCTCAAAAGCAAGAGAGTTTTTAGTTAAGTTGCCTAAAAAATCTAGCGTTATTTTGTTTTGTCTTTATTCAATATTTATATGATTTCCCTTGGTCGTTTTCCTTTGACTTGAATCAGATGATTAGAATGCTTACCTTTACAATTGGTGGTAGGGCTTACCTCAATTTCATGGGCAATGAATTTGGGCATCCCAAGGTGGGGTTCCTTTTCTTTTGCATGTTTTCCCTTTTCAGATATTTTGTATGGATTATGTAAGGTTCTTGTATCTTTCATATCCGCAAAATGTTTTAATTTCTTCTAGTTAATAATTTTCTCATGTTAGAGGGTGGAGTTCCCAATGCTAAGTAACAACTTCTCATATTCACTTGCTAACCGTTGTTGGGATCTGCTAGCGAATGAAGAAGTGCATCGCAATTTATTCTCCTTTGATAAGGTTAGTTTTATGACTCCATATTACACTCTTATTAGCATTGCATGCACTGGCATTAGAACCTGAGTCTAATCCTGTTGGAAGTGACTTGGACATCATTGCAGTTTGGAGAAGTATTGTAAATCAAGTGTTTACTTAATTTATTATAATTATAATTAGACATATATGATTACTTCAGTGTATCCACTTGCTGTTTATTGGGAAGGTAATGTTTCCCCCATTCTTTTAGACTGTACATGTTTTGATCTTGAAGCCATCCAGGACCATTATTTGTTTTGGCCGTGGACAAGAATACATGGATTGGTTTGGCATCAATTTAACCTTTTCATGTGCTCCAGGATCTGATGGATTTGGATGAAAATCAAATGGTGCTTTCAAGGGGTTTGCCGAGCATTCACCACGTGGATGATAATACCATGGTATGGAAGTGCTCTTTTTGGTTCAATTAATTTGAGACAAGCCACATATAGACGTTGTTCAAAAATTTTAATTAGAAACATCATGTAGATGGTGCATCTCTCTCCCTTGCTCTGAATGTGCAACTGCTGTGGATGCGGCTGCAATGTTCTAGTAAATATAATTGTTTTTGAGGTCACTTTGATTGTTAGATGTCTCTCTTTATCTGGATATGTAATCACTCTGATATGGTTGCAACATTCAGAATTATTTATATTGGTCATGTTGGTTGTTAGAGGTGGTCTCTTTGTGTATATATTTTTCTAAATTAGCTTTCATGTATAGTGATATGACCACTAACATAGGGTACTCTCTGCTCTTCAGGTAATATCATACATAAGAGGTCCTCTTCTCTTCATATTCAACTTTCATCCAACTGAGACATATGCAGGATACAATGTAGGCGTGGAAGAAGCTGGAGAGTATCAAGTAAGTCGTAGTTCTTGTTCCATTTTATGATTGTATCTAATGGTAAGATGCAGTCCAAATTTGGCAGCATTTGCATTTTTGCCTAATGATAAAAGACAGTTTTCCTTGAGAAAGCTTGATGTCTTTGCTTTTATGCAAAGAAGTTTCACTGTCCTGCCGAAAAGGCCCACAGTTTTACTAACAACGTAGATGATTATGTGATATGGGCTGGTAACAGCCACAACTAAGCAGTTCTGTTTGCATGCAAATCAAGCATCCTTTTGAGGAAATTACTGTTCCTAGAATATGTCATGGCTATACTCCTTTCTGACAACCTGCTGTTAAAGTAAAGTATTTTTAATGATGGTACAGATCATCCTAGACACTGATGAGAAGAAGTATGGAGGTCAGGGGCTTATAAAGGTCGACCAATATCTTCAAAGAACCATAACCAAAAGGCAGTATCTATCCCCTATACAAACGCGTTCCCTATTTTATTACATATTTGTAAATTTTATTATTTTATTTGGATCTCACCTTTCTGTCATCTCAGAGTTGATGGCTGTCGAAACTGCTTGGAAGTGCCCCTGCCTAGTAGGACTGCCCAGGTTAGTACTTGTTTTCTTTACTGATTTTTTCAATGTTTGAATCGGGCATCTATCTAGGATCTGCTATCAACTGAATCTGCCACTTGCTTGTTGATGGATCAGCATATTTACTAAGATGTCTTTATCAATGTGCAAGCGATACTTAGTTTTTGCCTCTAAATACGTCATGATCATAATTCCCAGGCTCAAAGATTTCTTTTTGACCCAAGTGCCGCTTCATGTGACCTGGAAACTGTGGCAAACAATTCTTTATGCTCTTGGCTCTGCTCTCTCATCAAATTGAGTGCCGTAGATATTGCTTCAAATTTAATGAAGTGATGATTGCAAGAACCTCATGCCTTGATCCATTGAAGAACATTTATTCAGCATTTATAGCTGTTTCCATATTGAAACAATTGTGTCTTTGCGTTATTGGTTGTTGTTCTCTTGGCCATTTTTTCTTAAATGAAGCTAATACAGTGAACCTTGAGACCATGTAGGATTAGAAAGGCCCAAACTCGTCAACTATGGCCCCTTCTAACAAAATTTCCCCTTTCACATGTTTTCTTTAATCACAATTTTCAATTGAATTTTTGTTGCAGGTTTACAAATTAACTCGCATATTACGGATATAAACCTCTTCTCGTCAGGCCAGAATTCCAAATGGTAAAAGCTACTACCCATCATTTTCTCATATATTGTTCACATGCGTTATCATTTTTTGAGGGAAGATGTTTCAAATGAAGATAAATAGTGTGATTTATCAGCCAAACAGTTATGAGATGGAAGAACGACTGTTGCCAAGGGTCGAGGGTTTTATGATCATCCTCGTCAACCCATTATTTTCAAGAACTATGCTTGAAGAATTGATGGACGTAAGGTTTGACACAGAGAAATCTTTTTTGTTAAACTCATTTGCAAATGGAGGTGTTCTTTCGCTAGTCTGAAAATGCCATGTTTATATGTGACTGAGAAACATGTGTTTGTGAAGAATTATTAGTGGAGTGGACTAGTGATGCTGCATGGAGAAGAATGTGAAGTTGTTAAATAGCTTGGGTGGGTGGGAATGACTTCAAAAGTTGGAAGCATTCAAAAAGAGAACAGGCATTTTTGTTGTAAAAATTTTAGCTTTTTATAGAAAATGTAAGTACATATACGGTAGATATCTTGTTTCTTATATGTCCGTACCATTTCAAGTGTTAACTCAGAAAACTTTTTCATTTCACTCTACAAGTCATTTTAGAAAATTGAATTATAATTTTTTTCAAATTTGTCCTTATTTCTTGATGTCTTCACTAAAAATGAACTATTAATTGTTTAGAGAATTAATAAAAGGAAAATTTAGTCAATTTTTTAACTATTTTTTTTTTTTTCTAGAATTGGAGTTAATTATTTTAATTTTTATGTAATTATTTTAAAAGACATTTGAAATGGGATGGTGTATGTTATTTAAAAAATTAAGGTTTTCTTGAATGTTACATTTCTTTCTTTCTTTCTTTCTTTTTTTCAAATAAAATAAAATAAAATAAAATGTTACCTTTCATGTGGGTATCTACAACGAATTGCAAGTACCAGTTGGGCAATCCAAATAATTATAGAAATTTAGTTCCAAAAAATTATCAAAGATTAATGAATTAAAACTGAATAAAAGATATTTGTAGATTAGAATAATAACACCTTTTTAAAATCATTTACTTTACTTTTATGATATCATAATCATTTACTTTTGAAATCCTTACTAATCTGATGCTTATCTCAGCACATTAAAATTATTCACTTCTACAGTTTTTAGTTTACAATTTTTTAAGAAAATTGAGAAAAGTAAATACTAAGCTATATATACATATATTTCAATTAACAACAGATTTAAATATCATTCCCAGCTCAAGCGTGGAGACACATATAAAAATCTCACAAATACAGTTTTGGAGTGATAATTAAATGGATAAAATACGTTTAAGTCTCCAAATTATGTTTTAATTAACACTTTTATCTTCTTCTTTTAGAGAAATAATAGTGTGTGTATATAATCTTAGAGTGGTATGAGCTATGAAAATTTAAAAGAAAAATAAGAAGTAAGAGGATAACATATAGCTGGGTATTTAAATCATGTCTTAACTAGGCGTATCGCGTGGGGTTTTCTATATTAGTTTTTTCATTAAATAATAACAATACTATCAATTAATATAATATTGTGTAATATTATATTATTTTGATTATTTTGAACCGGATTCAAACCTTTGAATGCAAAAAACAAATCACTTGATATGGTGTATATAATTATTGGTTTCAATAAACATTTGGATCAAAAAGTCCATGATTTGTAATAATCTTTTCATTCATAAGCATAATATTTAATTTTTGTTGAAAATCATTTTTGAAATTTACAGACTCTCTTCTTCTTCTCCTTCTTCTTCAGGTCTGTTTGATTATTAAACAATCCATGTATAATGATTAAACAAATAGAATATCAAAGGCACTTGAGAAAGAAAACAAGTATTTTAATAAAACTTCACCTGGTAATAATAAAAAATCATATTTTAATTTAACTTCACAAATATTATTCATAACTTTCATAATTAAAAGAAATAAAATGATATAAAATAAATTTAAATATTTTTATGTAAAATTTTTTGAATTTTTATTATACATGATTAAACAATTAGAGATATCAAAAGGCACTTGAGAAAGAAAACAAGTATTTTAATAAACTATCATCCCTGGGTGAAATAATAAAAATCATATTTTAATTTAACTTCACAATATTTATTCATATATCATAATTAAAAGAAATAAAATGATATAAAATAAATTTAAATATTTTTGTAAAATTTTTTGAATTTTTATTATTGATTTTTATAATAATAATAATAATATCATTTTGTAAATTTTTTAAAAATAAGGATATAATAGTATTTGTAATAATAAAATTATTATTGTATAGTTTATTAATTATATTTTTTTTGTTTGGTTTTTTTGCACCAGACTAGGTATTAGTTTAATAATTCTTGAGAGGGGCTAATATAGAAAGAGAATTAACATTATTTAAGAAGTTTGTTAGAATTAGTTTAAAATGGAAGCATTTAGTTCGTTTGAATTTCCCAAATGGGAGAAGGTAATTTTCAATTCTATTATTGATTCTTTGTTTTAATATTATATTGAATATTTTATTGGACTTCAATTTTTAATACCGTATGTAAAGGCCTCATTATGAAAGAGCTAAGGTTAGACATGGTTAGGCCTCTATGTTAAAGAAGAACACTTCCATTTAAGAATTAATTAATATTATTAAACTCAGTATTTAATTCCTATTAAAGCTCAATTATAAAGGACAAACTAAGGGTGCTTCGTATTTTTAAGAAGAGACCGAGTTCATTTAAATGTATATAGTTTATTACTCCAATTGTTAGATTCATTGATTAGAAGGAGACGCGAACCTGGTCATTTAAGAAATTATGTAGTAGCTTGATAGTGGGATTCAATTTATAATTTTCTAATTGAAAGTGTCATTGGAAGTATAAAAGGCAACGTAGAGGTTTATGTGCTATGTCCAGTTTAAAATTATTAGCAATTGGTATTGAGTCAAAGTACTGATGTATATTCCTATTAAGAGCTTGAAATTATAGGATAGGAGATATTGATTTCCAGTTATGACGAGAAGTAGGGGGCTTCCATTGTTAATTGATTCAGTTTTAATTCCTATTAAAGCTTAATTATAGAAGGCTTTGATTCCATTCAAAGAAGGGGCTTCCATTTAAAATTATCAATTATTATTGATTCAGTTTTAATTCCTATTAAAGCTCAATTATGAAAGGCAACTAATGTTCGCTTCCATTTATAGAAGATGCTTCTATTTAAAGAATGTAATATTTCAAATTTTAAAATTTAATTTTCTTTACGAATCATTAGTGTATATTAACTCAATTTTAACTCCTTTAGAAAAACACAGTTTTAATTTTAATTATCTAAAATACTAAATAGTGCCTATAATTTAATTGTTGCCAAATATTATTTCTTCTTTGTTACTCTTAGTTTGAAACTGTATAATTTAGAAAGTCATTTTCTCTTGATATTAGAAAAGGCAATAAAAAGGCTAATGCTTATAATGTTTGTAATAAGACGAAGAATATCGAAATCTAATATTATAATTATTGTTAATGTAATAATTTTTTTTTTTTGCACAATTTATTAATGTTATTAAGACAGGATTATAAAAGACAATTAACATTTATTAGAAGATTTTAGATCACTAAAATAAAAAGGCAATTAATGTTTGTTTCCATTTAAAGAAGGCAACATTCAAATTTTGAAATTTGATTTTGAAATTAGCTTTGAGATGTTAGCCTCTAGGCACTGCAATAAAATTAGATCTCTTTCGCATAACCTTTTTACAACAATACAAAGCCAATGTAGGAATTGTTCAAAATATCAAATTTCAAGCAAAAATCTTGTTTACACCTGATATCCACCAAGGAAAACACCACCAAAAAATGAGATTAAATTTCCAAAGCATAGAAATGACATTATTGCAGAATATGACAGTAACTGTAAGATAGAAGGCCTTACAAACCTATTCCAATAACAAGTTCATTATCTATGAATATCAATAGCCCAAAAAAATGATATATAGTCGACCGATAAAAAAAAAAAAGATGTATAGCGTAGAGAGAAGCAGAAGCAGAGAGATGCATATTTCTATCTGGCGTTGACATATAGACGAACTACCATAGCTTACAATTTCCATCTCCATCAATTTTAAAGCAATCAGTAAATATAAGAAATCAGATAAGCAAATAACGGACAACAACACCGACATAGAGCAAAAGGAGCAGAGAAATTAGAGACCAATATTGATAAACCGGTAAACAAATAAAAAAATGAGAATAGCATAAAGAGAAGGAGAGAGATACATACTCTTATGAGGCGACCATCGAGAGAAGCTTTAAGTTGTATCAAGGATCACGGATGGAATTATATTTTGTTGGAAACTGATTCTCAGTCAGTTGCAAATGCCATCAACAATGTTACTATGAATGATTCGTCTGCTTTTAGTTTGATAATTCAGGACTGCAAATCTCTTTTGTTGAGATATCAGTCGCAAAATGTAATTTTGTTTATAGGTCTGCGAATGTGGCTACACATACGTTAGCAGTTGGAACACATTCCGAAGCAGGCTTGAGGGATTAGAATTCTGTACCACCTCCTGCTCTACTTGATTTCTTAGTTTCGTAATAAAGTTTCTCATTTTACTTTCAAAAAAAAAAAAAAACAAAAATGGTAAATGTTGTATATGTAGTGTTATAGGTGTCTGCGAATGGTGGCGTACACAGTGACAGAGTTAGGCGATGTTTGAGGAACATGGCATTCGAAGGCGCAGGCTATTGGAGGGATTGGAGAACGTTATCTGGTAGGCGCACCGTGATCCGTGCGTCGTGCGCGCGACGTCGTGAAGTTTCTATGTGAGTGCGGCTTCGTAATACATAGTGTTCTCATGTTACCTTTCAAAAACAAAAAAAAAAAAAAACGAGGCGACCATCGAGACAAATTATTGAGGCTTATAAATTCCATCTCTTTGCAAGTTTAAGGCAAGCAATAAATAGAAGAAATTAGAGACGCGTATAAATGTTAAATCATTAAAAAAATTCAAAATTTACGAGTAGTTTTAATTGTACTATAAATTCAACTTTCTTCTCCTAGTATCCTGAACTTCAATGTTAGTTAAATAGCGCCATAATTTCAAATTGTATCTAATTTAATGAATAAAATATTATTTTCATTAGATCTATATTCTCTCTCTCAGTCAGATTAACCAAAAACTCACAGTTTAACAATATCATAACTAATATTAGTTAGGAATTTAAATTCATAAAAACCAAGTGAAAATAATAAATTTTAGTTAGTTCTAAGCATATAATATTAGTTTATATTTTTGTTTTACCGTTTTTTAAGCATGGAATTTTAGTTAGGATTTGTTGAAATTATACTTAAATTATATCTCTTATAAAAATAGGTTTTATTCATTACGAAGTCATTAATAAACAATGTTATACTCTAAGGTCAATATATTATTTTTTATTTTAATGTTTATTTATTTATAAGTAGTGGTAAAAGTAGCTCTCATGAAAATAATATTTTATTTATTAAATTGAGTACAATTTCAAAGTAGGGTGATATTTGTAACTAAAGTTAAAGTTTAGAGTACTATGATAAGAAAGTTAGATTTAA